CCACCTGGAGCTGGATTGGGTGGCTCCTGTGGACCAATCAGACTGCTGCATTCTGGACCCTATTGTTCTAGGACCAATCAGACTGCTGCATTCTGGACCCTATTGTTCTAGGACCAATCAGACTGCTGCCTTTTGGATCCTATTCAACTCAGTACATAACAGGGGTTTTTCTGAACAAGCAGTAATGTATTGTGGCACCTTAAAAAGTACCAAATTGCATAATGGCATATGAACTGGTGAAGAGGAATACAGTGGTACCTCGGGTTACAGATGCTTCAGGTTACAGACGCTTCAGGTTACAGACTCTGCTAACCCAGAAATAGTACCTCGGGTTAAGAACTTTGCTTCAGGATGAGAACAGAAATCGTGCTCCGGCGGCGCGACAGCAGTGGGAGGCCCCATTAGCTAAAGTGGTGCTTCAGGTTAAGAACAGTTTCAGGTTAAGAACGGACTTCTGGAACGAATTAAGTACTTAACCCAAGGTACCACTGTATAGAGAATAAGGTCAGAGGAAATTAAATGCACACTTTGGCAATTGCATCATTAATCCACAACAGCAGTTCACAACAAGCATAGGTTGCAAGGTCCTCCACTCTGCCTTCTCATGTGTTGTACTGCAGTTAATGCTTTAACATGTCATGCTTAATGACATCAGCAGGACCCACCAACTAGCACTTGTGAGACCCAATGAGATAATGATGTTGCCATTGGCTATGGACCATCGGTGATCACAAAAGTACATGGCAGGTGAGCAGCTATAAAGGTGGGCCTTTTCCTCTTTCCCAACAGAACGTACAGTACCAGGCTACAGTTGTGACCTTTCGCATTGCCCAGTCTTCTTCCACTTGAAGGAGAGGAAATGGCAGATAGACAGAGGCAATCACCTGGCTGTGGAAAGCGACCTGACAAGGTGAAATACAAGACATAAAGGCAATTTAAAACCAGAAAAAAGTAAAATGATGAACAGTACAAAATACATAAAATGCTCATCCAGCAACATGTTAGTAAAGACAAGGCCTACCCACTAAAAGATGAGTACCACTGCTAATTAACCAAAGGCCTAGAAAGGTATTTGCTTGCTGCTGAAACACAATGATGGTGCCAGGCATATCTCCCTAGGGAGAGTGTTCTACAGACACGGGGGGAGCCACGGAAAAGGCCTGTTCTCATGTGGCCACCCTCCACATCACTCTCAGGTGGAGCATATGGAAATAGCCTCTGATGAAGAGTACAGACTGGATCATATGGTTCAAACTACAGTGGTACCTCGGGTTACATATGCTTCAGGTTACATACACTTCAGGTTACAGACTCCACTAACCCAGAAATAGTACCTCGGGTTAAGAACTTTGCTTCAGGATGAGAACAGAAATCATGCTCTGGCAGCATGGCAGCAGCAGGAGGCCCCATTAGCTAAAGTGGTGCTTCAGGTTAAGAACAGTTCCAGGTTAAGAACAGACCTCCGGAATGAATTAAGTTCTAAACCCGAGGTACCACTGTATATGTGTGGGAAGACATAGAATCTCAAGGCTCACTTCTCATGTACAACCATCTTGGGACCAATGTCATGTGTACAAATTCTGGGTGTTGCACAGGCACCAAATATCCTTTCAGAACTCTTAATACACAACATGTACATTAGCAGAAGCTACAGCCAATGGCATTCATGCTGCGCAAGACGGTACTTTTTAAATTTTGTGATGTGCGCCATAATTAATACGTAAGTTTATTTTTCCAATGTCTGATGTGCCAACTAATAGTTACATTTAGTAATTGTTCTTTTCTTTTTTTTCTTTTGGAAAAGGAATTTGGATTACACAATGCTGGAAAACAAACCTGTTGTCATGAAGCATGAGCTAACATGTTTTAATACTTTATGGCTTACAGTTGCTAAAGCAGCACACTGAGCCAAATAGTTTTCACTAGGTTATCAACCATAAAAATAAAAAAGACATCAAGCAAGATAACAGACTCAAGTTGTAGACTAAAAGCACCATTGTTTTTTCTCAACATTTTGGAATTTTCTCTCATTTATCCCTGGAGACTGAGATGCTGATGTGTTCTTATTTATAGAGCCATGTTTCCTATTTTTGATTATAATTTTCCCAATAATTCAAGAAAAGTGCTCCAGGCGAGAATTATCAGACTCCATAGCAGCAGGGCAGGGCCAGTGTGTGTGTGTGTGTGTGTTTGTGTTATTTAAATCAAAGTTACTTGGAGTGCAATTCTACACATGCCTAATCAGAAGGAAGCACCATTGAGTTCCATGGGCTTTATTCTCAGGTAAGTGGGTATAGAGCACAGATGGAAAATCTCAGGTTCAAAGGGCTAAATGAAGCCTGACAGCCTCTTTATCTGGTTCTCAAAACTCTATCCGAGCCACGTCCCTTAGACCACAACTCTCACTGGCCCTGCTCTGTGCAGTGGTGGACTTGGGGCTCTCAGATTTCAGCAGCGCCCTGTGTGACGCTAGAATCTGGCACGCCCACCTCTCTCACTCCATTCCACAGCATTGTTGTGGCGCCCCCTGCAGCACAGCACCCAGTGTGGCTGCACCGATTGCACTACCCTAAAACCACCTCTGCTCCTTGGCCTCCTCTAGTGATTTTACCCAGCTAGAATGTGCCCTTGAACTGTGATAACATATATTCCTTGCCTGGATGGAGGTTGGAGAGTGATGAATGTCTGGGCACACCCACCACTGGAATGTGGCCCCTGGAAGGCTATCCACAAAGGAATGTGGCCCTTGACCTGAAAAAGGTTCCCAGCCCCAGGCAAATGAAATAAAATATCTCACATAATGGTTTCTGATTCTTAGGTGATATAACCCCGCCGCAACCTACACACCCAAAAAAGAAAAAGGCATGAGGTCATTGCTTTTGAAATTATTGCCTTGACTAGCTTACAGACTCAGGTCTTTCCTTTATCTGTGCAAGTCGGCACTTAAGAGTGCGAACATAAGCAGTTGCTTTTTCAACAGTGATGGGAATACTGATCTTCTGCCTGAGCTGAAGCCTGTTAAGCTCCGTTTAATATATTTTAATGGGATGCTAGCATGGATAATGGGGAAAGGGTCAGTGTAAGAGGTCTGAAGGCCAGTCACAAACTGAAGGGTGAAAGGAAACATAATAACCATTTGCATCTGCCTAAATGTCTATTCAAAAATGAGGATACGTTCACATGAAATGAAAATATGTGTTTAAAAATGTATGTTTGTCAGGGCTGAGGAATGGCCCATACTTCATCATTAGCATTCTGCTTGCATGAATCCTTTTCGTTCCGCAGAGGTGGATAGGATTGATTAAGTGCAGGAATAAGGATTGTAGCCTTATTGCTACACTGATGCCAAAAAGCAAACTATTCCAAACACCATGCTAGAGATGTTCCAGAATGTGGTAATCTTTCAAAACAAGATCTAATATCAGTCATCTGACAAACCTGGTACAGCTAGAGTCCTGGTTATACAGCACTCCTAACATTTTTTATTTAAAAAACCCCCACTGTAGACAGATTTCTGCTTTTCCTGTATAAAAGCGAACAGAATTGTTTTGCCTTTTCCTGTGGAAAAGGGAATCACCTAGTGGCAAGAACAGATAAAGTATTCTGATCTTTCTATTTCAAAAAATCAGGCAAAGCTCATAAATGAAAGGAGCACATTATCAGTTACAGAATAGTTAACATCTTTATTATTGCATACATCCTGGACTTAATTTTAAGTGGAATGACCTGAGAACAGTTGCTTTCAAATATATATGTGCCCCATCTATTCCACCTCCCTGCTCTTGCAGTGGCCAGCCAGATGCCTATGAAAAGCCCATAAGAAGGACCAATAACAACAGCATTCTCCCCGTTTCAAAGCACTTATTTCTTCAACTTTAACAATCCCATGACAAGCACAGTTTTAAATAGGGACTTCATATTTCAATCTTACGCATGTTTACTTAGAAGAAGCAAATCCACAATATCTTCATCCTATGCCGAAACCAAACTTAATTACATGTAACTGAACTGAGCCCATCATCTTCCCATTTGCCTCTATATTTATTCATTTCTTATCTACATGTTTCCACTTATTTTATGAATTCCTATGCCCCACAAATAACCCAGAGATGCATTTTAAATACAGTGGTACCTCAGGTTAAGTACTTAATTCGTTCCGGAGGTCCATTCTTAACCTGAAACTGTTCTTAACCTGAAGCACCACTTTAGCTAATGGGGCCTCCTGCTGCTGCCGCGCCGCTGGAGCACGATTTCTGTTCTCATCCTGAAGCAAAGTTCTTAACCCGAGGTACTATTTCTGGTTTAGCGGAGTCTGTAACCTGAAGTGTATGTAACCTGAGGTACCATTGGAAAAGGACACATTCTACTCATGTAAAAACATGCTGATTCCCGGACTGTCTGCGGGCCGGATTGAGAAGGTGATTGGGCCGCATCCAGCCCCTGGGCCTTAGGTTGCCTACCCCTGAACTAAATAAAGAAAACAAATCTCTCTGGGTGACACATTACAAAAAACAACCCTGTGCTCCCCAGTCTCCACTGCTGGTCTCTTCAGCAGTGAGGACTGGGCATAGCAGATCCGTCCAGGCATAAAGAGCAAACAAAGGGGGTTCCAGATTCCGCACAGCCTTTTCGTGATTACTGTCTCTAATCCACGAGAGTTCATGCCATGCTAAACTGGTTAGTCTTTATTGCTGTGGTGGCTCATCTCTCACCACGCCTCATGTTGTGGACTACAACTCCCGTTACACCTGACCATTCCCCATGCTCGCGGGGGCTGATGGGAGTTGTAGTCCAGAAGGTTTGGCGGGAACCCACGACGCGGGCTACCCTCGCTTTACAATAACTCCTTTGTTGCCTTTTGTGACACGACTCTGAAAGGAACTCTTGGCGCGTTCGCTGTTGGATAAAAAGAAAGCGCAACGTCGCCTCCCGCCTTTATTTTCCGCCCTCCCAGCCAATAAGGTTTGAAGAGGAAACCCAAACTCGCCACTCAGAAGCGAGGTGTCGTCACACCCGCCGGTGATTCCCTATTGGCTCAACTGAAGAACGCAGGAATGAGATTGACATTCGGGGCTGGCCAATCGGTGTCCCGGCTTGTCCTCCGCTAACCGCCTGCGTCGGGGAGATGGTGGCAGGTTTGAATCCTCTGTAAGCGCTGAATGAGGAGCGAAAGCAAGGGTGTTGCAGCGGGAAACGAAGGTAGGAGAGCGGATCTTCCCGTGGGAGGTGAAGGATGGACTCAGAGAAGAATATATGTCTTGCATTATTATTTTTATATTATGCACAGCTTTCATTGTATAGTTTATGTATCTGTTTATCGTGTGTATGCATGTATGTATAGATAGATATTTATCTATTTGATGTGATGTTCAGAAGTTTAAGCCTCATGAAGTTCCATAGGGCTTACTCCCCAGTAGAAGTGCATACGTTTGCACTGACGTTCTTCAATAGATTTCTAAAAAGAAAGAAAGAAGTTTGCAGGGAAGACTTAACCATGCACTTCAATACATGTCTGCTCATAAGAAACTCTGGTTGCATCCAGTGGGGCTTCCTCTCAAGTAAGCGGGGGAATAGAATTGCAGCCTTACTTCCAGGTAGGTGTAAAATCTAAAATGAATGGAAATTTTGAAGCGGTGGGAAACTGCTCCCCGCCCCTCTCCACCTGTCTGGGAAACACAGTTTTTGGAGGGTTCAAAATGTTGCATTTTGCAGTACTTGTGGGTTTTGTTTTGTTTTTTGTAAGTGCTCTTTACATATCAAAATAATAATAATAATAATAGTTTATTATTTATACCCCGCCCATCTGGCTGAGTCTCCCCAGCCACTCTGGGCAGCTCCCAATCAAGTATTAAAAACAATACAGCGTTAAATATTAAAAACTTCCCTGAACAGGGCTGCCTTCAGATGTCTTTTAAAGATAGGATAGCTACTTATTTCCTTCACATCTGAAGGGAGGGTGTTCTACAGGGTGGGCGCCACTACCGAGAAGGCCCTCTGTCTGGTTCCCTGTAACCTTACTTCAAAAGCCACTTTGTCATTCCAGGAACATAAAACTAGCTTCCGGGCCCAATTCAAAGTGCTGATTTTGACTATAAGCCTTAAATGGCTCATAACCGCAATGCCTCAAGGTCCACCTTCTCTCCATATAAACCGTCCCAGACTCTGCATTCATCATCTGAGGCCCTTCTTCATGTGCCTCCTCCATAAGAGGTTTGGATGGTGGCAACACAAGAACAGGCCTTCTCTGTAGTGGCTCTTCATCTCTGGAATGCTCTCCCCAGGGAGAAGCCTGGCACCTTCATTATATATTTTTACATTAAGGGTAAAAATGTATCTGTTCTGCCTTCTAATACAGTGGTACCTCTGGTTGTGAATGGGATCCATTCTGGAGGCCTGTTCGCAACATGAAAAGAGCGCAGCCCGCAGCAGCGCGTCTGTGCACGTGCGGGTTGCGATTCGCCGCTTCTGCGAGTGACGTCATTTTGCGTGAGGGGCAAAACCCGGAAGTAACCCTTTCCAGTACTTCCGGGTTGCTGCGGCACGTAACCTGAAAGAACGTAACTTGAGCGGACGTAACATGAGGTATGACTGTAACTATTTGGTTGGTTACCATAGGTTACCAGGAAATTTATGTAGGTAAGTAAGTGCTGGTAGAAAGGGAACCTATCTGTTTGTCCAGTCTCCTTAGAGACTGGTACTGAGAGTCATACTGCCTCTGATCCTGGGTGAATCATGTAGACATCATGCTTACTAGAAGCCATTGGTAGACTGATCTCCCATGAATTCGTCAAATCCCCTTTTAGAAGTTGTCTAAGGGACCATTGGTTAGTGGGTCATGCTGCCTTACTCAGAGCAAAAGCAGCATCAGCTTCTTTTTACAGTGTGTTGAGTCCCTCATGCGGAGAATGGCGCTGGGCACCTTTGGAATGAAGGGCAAGATATAATTGTAATTAATATTAATCATTATACCCAAAAAAGATACAGTGACATATATAATCAAAACAATATAAGATCATAAAAACATAGTGCCTGGCAATGGCGTACCTGCATAGTGGATCAGCCAAAATATGATGGGGATCAACTCACCTAGGACTGTCTCAGTCATCACAGTCACTGCCTCCTTTGCAAGTTAAGCTGCATCTTAGCTGTTCCTAGGCAGGGGATTGGGGTTGTGAGGAGCAGTGTAAACCTTAATTTTCTGCCCTTCTGTCAATGCCTTCGGGATGAGTGTTAATTATGCCTGCATTTTTGGTGGTGTAAATTACACTGAGCTCTGTGAACGGGGCCAGTGAAATTAAGGGAGTTGGGTGCAGCACAACTTTGTTTATCCCTCTGCTTGCACACAACACACCCACTTCCTGCCTTGACAACCCCCCTTTTTTGCCCTCCTAATCAGAGGGGCAGCAGAGCTTTCCTTCAGCCGCCATCAGTAGATTTGCCAGGGTAGGTCATCCATGCCAGCTTGAGGCCTCTTCAGCTGGGGAGATACACCACATCATTAAAAAAGAAAATATTTTATTAAGATTTTCCTATAATAAAACTGCAACTACAGGAAGTGCAAACGGAATAAGTAAAGTATGGAGTGCTCTCTTAAAAGTAATTCATGGCCCTTACCACCCACAGAGGACAGTAGTTCTTCCCAGCTCTCACCTGAGATCTTTCCTTTCTTCTCCCAGCCTCTCACCCAGGGAGACTATGCAGTCTATGGACCTTAATAAAGGCCCCAGACATAGGACTCCAAAAGGAGAAGAAAAACAAAAGAAAGAAAAAACAAAGGAAAAAGTGAAATAGAGAAGAATAAAAAAAGAAGAAGAAAAGAACAACAACAATTAGCAAATAAAACACACAACCACATCCTGATCTCCCCCATATGGCCCATCTGAAGGTTAGGATTGCAGCATGACTTAAAAATGTTTGCGTACTTGGTTTTTATTTGTATAAACCACTTAAAAATCAGCATTGACGTTAAGTGGCATATAAATTAGTAATAATAACTGAGGGCTCAACCCACGCACCACCTTTCACCTCAGCCTTCGGCTCTGTAGTCTCTGTAGTGAACAAGTAAGACCCCTGCCCCATGCCACCAGCCCACTTTCTTTTACACACACATATATATCACCAGTCAACAGTATAACAAAACAAATAACATACATAAAAGAAAATATTTCTATACATAAAAAAATCCTTCCACCTATAATGACTTCCACCCACTTTCTAAATTAGTACATAACTGAGGAATAAGACTTACAGACACAGAATCTATCCTTTATTTCAATCATATGGACCAGTCTTTTCCAACCTGGTGCCCTTCCAACAATTTGGGCTGATAGGAATTGTAGTCCGAAACATTTAGATTGCACCAGCTTGGCAAAGGCTAGCAGAGAAATATTTGTGGACACTCAAAAGGGCAATGCCTTTAAGGTCATTATTTTTCTTTTCTTTTCTCCCCCCCACCCCTTTGTGAAGCCTCCTGTTCCTTAAGGGGTCGGAATCTGACGAGATGAGCTGGGCTGTGGAAGAGTGGAAGGAAGGCCTTTCCACAAGAGCCCTTCACAAGATTCAAGAACTTGAAAGTCAACTTGAGAAGCTCAAAAAAGAGCGGCAGCAAAGGCAGTTTCAGCTGGAGTCTCTGGAGGCTGCTTTGCAAAAGCAGAAGCAGAAGGTAGTATAACTATATAGATATAAATATAGCACCGATTTAGGGGACAATCTGATATTGCTAGTATATTCTCATAATTTTTTCATTGCTTCAATTAAAAAGGCACATACTGGAAATATGTAGTATTTCTGCTTCTAGCAAGTTTTTACGGTTTAATGACTAGAAGCTGAGAGGGGAAGAGCCACAGTGGCCAGAATCACCATGAATGTCATATATTATCCTTGGGCGCAACTTAAAAAGGACGACACTATAATTTATGTACAAGGACACTACACTGGCTAGCTTTGGTTTAACACTTAGATTAGACTTTTCATATTCCACTCCAATGTTATGTTGATATCCCATTGAAAAACAGTCGGGATAAAAATAGTAACTCTTCTCCAGAACTGATTGACGTGGTTTTTCACAGAACAGCAGTGAAAATCATCATCTTCATCACTTTTAATTTGTATACAGTCTTTCTAACTTACAATACTCAAGACGGTTTACAAGCTGAAAAAAACAAAGAATGTACACCTTATAACAATCTACTGCAATACAAAAATGTGATAATAAAACATAACTTTAAAATAAGCAACCTACATCAAGTCATACTGGGTGTGGCTGTGCACTCTTCCAATTAGGTGGAAAATGAAAAAAACGAAGGAGCGACGCTGAAGAGAGAAAACCAGAACCTGATGGAACTCTGTGACAGCCTAGAGAAAACCAGGCAGAAACTTTCTCATGAACTTCAGGTGAAAGAAACACAAGTTAGCGTTCAAGAAGGACAACTCCTCTCGAGCAAGAAACAAACTGAAAGGCTTGAACAAGAACTTAAAAGGTGAGGTTCTACGAGCTGAGCTCCTCCCAACCAGGGGTAGCCATCTTTGCTCTATTAGATGCAAGGGGACGCGGCTGGCGCTGTGGTCTAAACCACAGAGCCTAGGGCTTGCTGATCAGAAGGTCGGCGGTTCGAAGCCCCACGATGGGTTGAGCTCCTGTTGCTCGGTCCCTGCTCCTGCCAACCTAGCAGTTCGAAAGCATGTCAAAGTGCAAGTAGATAAACAGGTACCGCTGTGGCAGAAGGTAAACGGCGTTTCGGTGCGCTGCTCTGGTTTGCCAGAAGTGGCTTAGTCATGCTGGCCACATGTCCCGGAAGCTGTACGCCAGCTCCCTTGGCCAGTAAAGCGAGATGAGCGCCGCAACCCTAGAGTCGGTCACAACTGGACCTAATGGTCAGGGGTCCCTTTACCTAACTTGCTTCTAAGTGAGTGTGCAATGGATTGCTAAGTAAATTATTTGAGCTTGGATCACAGTGAAATCATGGCTAACTTGTCCCAACGATTTTAATGTGACCTAAGTTCAGCTAATTTAGTCTGAATCCAAACTTACATTTCTTATTATTAAGGTAACTTTCTATGCCTTTATTTATTTTTATTAAAAAATAGATACAAATACGAACTAGAAAGAAGCCAGAAAACTTTTGCTGCTGCAGATATATCTTTCAATAGTACACCACAGAAGAACTTCGCTGCTCCTTCAACACCAAGTCACAATGGTATGCTTTGTTTTTATCTTAAGAACTTTATGGATAGAATTCCTAGATGTTTTTTGTACCCATATGTTTTTAAAAGTTAACAATGGTGCAATCCTGCCCACATGGCCAACTGTCATCCATATTATATGTTAATTGTGTCCTGTTCATCTTGAGGGCAAAGTGCCCAGACAGTGACTGTGTTCACATGTAGTGGTAAACCGAGGTTCTTAAAAAGCAAACACTTTATAATTGTGCATATAAGCATTTTCAAACTTCCTGGAAAATCAAGAAGCCATTTACAGCAATATTGAGGTTTTTATCAAAATGCCACATGAATAAAACCAAACTTATTAACGTAACAAATAATGCTTAAAACTTACATTTTAACTTTAGTTTCTTCATATCAACGTATAATATAATCTATCCCAGTTTCTTATGTTTTGAATGCTCTTTATGTACGGTATTGCTCAACCGGCCTCCAGACTCCAGTTTTTCTCTATAATTTCCTTGTTTCCTTAACATTATGTCCAGCTTAACAACTGCTTTTTGCTGTCAAATATTTCCATCTTTCCTCTTTCCCAACTATCCTTCCTCACTTTTGCATGCATAATTCTGACGATTGTTAAATGTGCAACACTTGGATACCAATGTTCTTTGTTACTCTTTTTCCTTAACACAATTCAACAAACATAAAATTAGTAAGCCAGGGCTCTTTGCTTATTACACCACATTGTGCTGGTGCATATAAACAGTTGCTCCTGATTTGTTCCTCCTCTGGTGTGAGTGGATGAACAAGCCAGAAGAGGACAGCTTAGCCTTATGCCTGTACAGTGGTACCTCAGGTTAAGAACTTAATTCGTTCTGGAGGTCTGTACTGTACTTGGGACAAAAGTTTGTTTTACCCTAACAAACCATACTTGTTAGCCAGCCTTAACTCCTGGTTGGTTTCTTATGGAAAAACAAACCACAACCTCAGGTTCAGACATAACACTAGACTGTTCTCTATACAGTGGTACCTCGAGTTACAAACGCCTCAGGTTACAAACTCCGCTAACCTGGAAGAGTTACCTCGAGTTGAGAACTTTGCCCCAGGATGAGAACGGAAATCGTGTGCCGGCGGCACAGCAGCAGCAAGAGCCCCCATTACGAAAGCACACCTCTAGTTAAGAACAATTTCAGGTTAAGAACCGATTAAGTTCTTAACTAGAGGTAACAGAACAAATTAAGTTCGTAACTAGAGGCATCACCTGGTTTGTTTGCCCTAGGGAATGGCGAATCTGAGAGCCAGTGTGGTGTAGTGGTTAAGAGCGGTGGACAGGTAATCTGGTGAACCGGGTTCGATTCCCCGCTCCTCCACATGCAGCTGCTGAGTGACCTTGGGCTAGTCACACTTCTCTGAAGTCTCTTAGCCCCACTCACCTCACAGAGTATTTGTTGTGGGAAAGGAAGGGAAAGGAGAATGTTAGCCGCTTTGAGACTCCTTCGGGTAGTGATAAAGCAGGATATCAAATCCAAACTCTTCTCTTCTTCTAGAAATTGTTTCACGCTACCTTCCATCAAATGGGACGCGGGTGGCACTGTGGGTTAAACCACAGAGCCTAGAACTTGCTGATCAGAAGGTCGGCGTTTCGAATCCCCGCAACGGGGTGAGCTCCCGTTGCTCAGTCCCTGCTCCTGCCAACCTAGCACTGCAAGTAGAGAAATAGGTACCGCTGCGGCGGGAAGGTAAACGGCGTTTCCGTGTGCTGCTCTGGCTCGCCAGAGTCATGCTGGCCACATGATCCGGATGCTGTACACCGGCTCCCTCGGCCAATAAAGCGAGATGAGCGCCGCAACCCCAGAGTCGGCCACGACTGGACCTAATGGTCAGGGGTCCCTTTACCTTTACCTTCACCTTTAACTTCCATCAGTCCTAGCCAGAATGACCAAAGGTCAGGGATGATAGGAATTGTAGTCCAGCAATATTCCAAACTTGTGATTTACAAGATGCCATTCTTCTAGTTGTCAGGAAGCTCTTGCTTTTTGCACGCTCTGGTTTCTTAATCCAAGTACTTTAGCTTGCCTCTGTATGCAGACAGAGCCATTATGTATTGTAAAGGATGCTCCTTACATCAGAATGGCATGATTTGCTAGTATGCCATGTTGAGAAACATCACACTTCAGTATCTTTGTTCTTTTTATAAGGACACACAGAGACGTATAACATTTGCTTCATAAGCTTATTGAGATGTTTATTTTTTGCACGAACAGATTCAAAGTTTGAGGAGCTTCAAGTAAAATACAACAAAGAAACAGAAGAAAGGAGGAGGTTGGAAGCTGAACTGAAGAGCGTGAAGTGTCAAGTAATGGTATGAAACAAGGCTTAGAATGCTGTTAACACAAATAATTGGTTCAGAATAGGAAAGGTGGAGTTTCTCAACCAAAAGAAAGCTAAACAAAATAGTGAAGCAGCCCACAGTTGACTTTCAGATTGCAAAACTGTCATACAGGTTGAAGAATGATGAATGGGTAGAGGTTTTCATTCTCCTCATAAAGAACAGTATTCTAGAGAGTGACCTCTGTTGTTTGTTCCAGCTCTCAGTAGTCAATTCTTTTTCTCTGAAGAATCTTCTGTATTGAGGCCAGTCCAATTAGGTAAGCATTTTTTCCCTCTGTTCTTTTGTTTTTAAAAGAAAACAGTCCCCTCGCATCCTGAAAGTACTATAAGTCGCAGAGAAATTGCCCGGCAACAGGCTTCCTCGTCTGTGTTCTCATGGCAACAAGAGAAAACGCCAAGCCAGCCTTTATCTAGTAGTCAAGAAACTCCTGTGAGCAGCGGGTCAATGCCATCGCATTTTCCTTGGGAATCTGGGACAACTCCTAGTCACAAAGACCGGAGATCGGCAAAGAAAGAGTTCGCCAGCAGTGTCTCAGACAGTTGCAAGGACTCTTCATTCGTTGACAAGATGAAAATCCAGAACCAAGGTATCTCGCAAATATTGTAACAAACTTGAACTCGTTCTTGAACTTTGCAGTTAGTTCGCCTCCTGCAACACAATGCAACTGATGTCCTTGCAATGCTGGCACTACAGTGGTATAGTAGTGCTCATTCCAGATTGCAAATGCTTGCATCAGCGATGGAGAACCTGTGGCCCTCCAGATGTTGGGTTCCATTAGCCCAGCCACGAGTTGGGTATGATGGGAGTTGGAGTCCAGCTATATCTGGGGGTCTACAGGTTCTGCATCCCTGAGTTACATGCTTGCACAAGATCAGGACATTAAAAGGTGTCCTGCAACCATTATTATTATTTTTATTATTCTATCTAGAGAACTCAAAAGAATTTAAGTATGATTCCCCCCCATTTTATTATAAATATAAATACTTTACAAAAAAATATATACTTAACATTACCTTACATATATTACATACAAAACATACAACACATACTTCACCTTCATCACCCCTTCTACCTACCTACCAACCAAGATGCGAACATACTGTGATTACTGACTTCCAGCCAGTCTCACTGTGTAATTTTGTCACTCATTAAATCTATGCACATTTCATATTGCTTATTTTGTTTTTCTTTTGCAATAATTACATCTTTTCTCTCGTCTTAACTTCTCTATTTATTAGAGTTATTCATACATCTCTCAGGAGATTTGTATTTTCTATATAAATTTTGAGATAGTCTTTAAATATTGACCAATCTTTATTGACTCTTTGTATGGTGTTTCCTCTTAATCTCCCAGATAATTTGCAAGCTGTGAGGACTCCATCATTTTTACTAACCAGTCAATTTTCGTGGGAATGTTATTGCTTTTCCAATTTTTGGCTATTATAATCCTAGCTGCGGTGGTCGCGTATATAAATATGGGTCGGGCAGTTTTTTAAATTTCTTGTTGCATAATACCAAGTAAGAGAGCCTCAGGTTTTTTGTTAATGGAGAATTTAAACATTTTTAAAAATTTCATTGTAAATAACCTCCCAAAATTCTCTTATTTTCTTCCACTCCCACCACATGTGGATAAACGTGCCTATTCCTTCTTCACACCTCCAACACATATTTATGTTATTTTTATATATCTTTGCCAATTTGACTGGGGTTAAGTTCTACCTGTATTGCATTTTCATTATATTTTCTTTTAAATTATTACATAAAAGTGAACCTAATATCTTTTTTTCCATAATTGTTCCCAATCACTCATAGGTATATTATGCCAGAATTTAAGTATGATTTTTAAGAGGGTTTCATCGCAGATGTGTTTACAAAACTAAGCTAACAATGCATTTTACAAACTCGTATGCAGAGATGATTTCGATATCTCCCTGTAGAGAAGCAAGCAAACTCTGTCCAAGGTATATGAAGCAACACTATATTATTCACACTTTTGTGTATATACAGAGTTAAGATCCAGGATTCAAGAACTGGAACGTAACCTGCAGATTCAAACACAGGATTTGAAATCAACCACGGCTAAACTTCAGGAAACTAAGCTGCAGCTGGAACATATAAAAATGGAGTCGACAGAAAAAGATAAAGCTCTGAACAAGAGTAGAAACGAAGTAACTAGAATTAACGCACAACTTGACCAGACCACGAATCAGGTAAGGTGCTTTCTTAAATCTTAGACTTTTTAAGAGGCATTTCCCACATGTATGCACAACACTCATTGTATATTTTTGTGGATCTGATATTGGAGAGACATTCATATAATCTGATATCTGCTGAAGCAATGCTTTTCAGTGGACCTCGGTACTGGTTGTTGTGGAGCAGAACCATGGAACCAGCCTCCCGACATTGCCTATGCAAGCCTGATGTGGTGGAATTCAACTTGGTTGTCCAGTCTACCATCTAATTACCATATTTTTTGCACCATAGCACTCACTTTTTTCCTCCTAAAAAGTAAGGGGAAATGTCTGTGCGTGTTATGGAGGGAATGCCTACGGGTGGCATGCCTACGGATTTTCCTCCTCTAAAAACTACGTGCGTGTTATGGTCGGGTGCGTGTTATAGAGCAAAAAATACGGTAATCTAGTTTGCTGCCTAATATGATTTTAAATTTGGGATTGACTGGCCAACTCTCTCTCTCTCTCTCTCTCTCTCTCTCTCTCTCCCCCCCCCCAACCAACCAACCAACCAAAAAATAAAATAAAATCCTGGCCCTAATTTTAAGTCTTCCATTATGCCATATGCTGAAATAAGTTATGGCTATATCTATTGAGTTGTTGTTTTTGCTAGTAAGAACTAGCAAAAAAGCATTTTAACAGCAGCAATCCTACCTGAGCAGGTGAAACGTAGTCTTTCCCATTGCTCTGTGAGGGTGACAACTTCCTTACAATCATGCTTCACAATTATTCATCTATAAATCATTCATTCTTATTTGTTTTATTCTAGGATGCTCTACTGTCTCTCCCCCCCCCCTTTCCAGCTATAATTTAATTCAGCTCATATCAGTTTCAGATATTTCTAACTCGTGTGATATTTAAATTACTCGTTTTATAGCACACCGCATCCGAGGAAAAGGTGAAAAGGCTTTCGGAGGAGCTGAACTGCCAGAGACAAAATTTTGAAAGAGCCCAACACTCTTTGCAACAGAAAATGAAAGAGAAAGAGAAAGAGTACCAGGAGGTAAAGCCAGGGAAGGGGGAAATTCTCACAAGTGAAAGGGGGTTGTGGGAGCCCATGGGTCCCTGGAAGGATCCTGCTAATGTTCAGTCCTGCATCGCACTTCCATCAGCCCACATCCACAGGTGAACAGCCTTACTTACAGCTGTGGCGTTTGCCCTCCTAGGTGCCTGACATCATACTGGGTCATAAGGAAAGGGTTAACTAAGTGTAAAATGATTAACCAATAGGAACCCAAGGGGAGGAGTTAGAGTTGTTAAGAAGTCAGTCTGGAGTTAGAGAAGGGAGAGGGAGGATAAGTCTGTGGGTTGGGCTAGTCTGATGTGAGAGAGTGAGAGAATTTGTTAAGAGGAGTCAGTTAAACAGTTGGGATAATCAGTTAGAAGGTATTAGAAAGGTATAGGCTGGTAAAGGTTAAGAAACTGAGACAAGAAAAATTATCTGAAACCATAAACTTGTTAATGCTTATAAAATAAACTTGTTAATTTGGTTTAACGTTAACAACTGTCTGGACTCCATGTGTACCCGAGAGTAACGGGTTGGTGGCAGCGGGGAAGCGAGCACAGTGGTGGCACAGGGATCAATAGACCGTCAAATGTCCGGGGACCCTATGTGATCGCCACCACAGCACAATCCATTTTCATGTCTGCTCAGAAGTAAAGCCCCATTCAGTTGAGTGGGAGTTACTCCCAGGCTGTGTGCACATAAGACTGCAGCCTTTGTGGTGAACATAACTTCTAATGTACTTTGTACAGTTGCAAAGGAAATTGCTTACACAAAGGTCTGGCGAAATTGGTTTAGAAAAATCCTTCCTTTTCTCCTTTGGTAAGGAAAATAAAATGTTTGGGGTTGTTGTTTGATCCTTGGGATGGGATGGGAGACAAAAGGGCGTAATCCAGAGAAGTTGGCATGCAGTGGTGGTCTTCACACATATCACTGGCAATGAACGAAAGCAAGTTTATCGGCTTGTTTCTTCATTTCTTGGGCATCTTTTGAAATACCAGGACCATCAAGGTTTAAAGAAGATTTGCATTTCTTTTAAGAATGAAGACCAGCAGTAAATTTAAAAATATATATTCCCATTTCAATCCATGGAAAAAATGCTTCTTTTTACCTTCTAAATAAGTGCATAGGATTGCAGCTTTAATCTGCCCTGCTCCTTAATATTTCTTTCGTTCCAGCCCCAGATTTCCTGCCACAAGTTGCATACCAGCAGATACATTTAATTTCTCTCCTACGTCCTCCAACGTTGCCTACTTAGGCCAGGATCTGCACACTACTTAAGCTAACATGCAGGGTGTGCAATTTCAATGGAGTTTTTGCCTTCTCCCCCCTTTTTTTTCCTTTGAACTCCTAACCTTCATGCCATGTCACAAGCTGCTTTTGAAACTCTTCTGGTTTCCAAAGCAATTTGCCATAGGAGGGCAGCTGTTCAAGAAAAACTAAGTCTCTAAAGCTCCACTGGGCTGATGGTACTAGTTTTACAGGCCATAGATGTGATTCAGTGAATTGTATATGCAATTGAATCCTTCCCACCCTTCTTGTCAACAAAATCATAATGAAAAATACTGAAGTGGAACAGTAGAAAATATCTATTTATATATTCCAATTTCCTCATTGTTCCCTTCTTAGTTAAAGGCTCACCAACAAAAAGACATGCAGGTCTTCAGGGTGCATAGCAACTGGGAAGTTTCACCCATTCTTTTTCTTTTTCTTTTCCTTCACCACCTGAGATCAGGTCAGGAATATCTGACAATTTACCACATTCCTGGTTTATAATCATTTTGGTTTCCCCCAACGTTGCTGTTTTAGGAAGCGTCTCTCCAGCTCAATCAGGTGAAAACGAAATTGCAAGGGGAACTGCATCAAGCCAAGAACAACTACAATCTTCTTCAAGCAGAACTCGAGAAAGTAGGTAGTTTTTAAACATGACTGGTAAAGGGGAGGGATCCTAGAACTTTACAGAGTCTGATGGGATCTTGGAGGTGAGCTTGTGCAGCTCCCTCAGCGCATGAATCTTTCAAGTCAATGACATTTTTTTAATAATAAAAACAAACAAACCATCCAGTCACTGCTGAAATAACTCCAGTAAGGGACAGCTCACCACTTCCTGAGGCTGTTTGGTTCACCAAGAGCTCTTTAGTTAATTAATTATTTTAAATTTAGTGTTTTTATTACATTTATATCCCACTTTTTCTCCAGGGAGCTCAAGGTGGTGCACATATCCCCCTTTGCATTTTTTTCCTCACAGCAACCCTGTGAGGTAGGCTAGGCTGAGAGATAGTGAGTGGCCTGAGGTCACCCAAGGAGCTTTATGGCCGAGTGGGGATATGAACCCTGATCTCCCAGGTCCTGGGCACTAGGCCACCCTGGCTCTCTTAATGCTGAGCAGAAATCTGCCTTGGTTCTAGGCCTGCTCTCTGAAGCAACAAGTCTGCTCTGTCTTCTGTCTTCTCCCCTTAGCCTTCTTCAGGCTCAACAAACGTGGCTCTTTCAAACGTTCCTCATAGGTTTCTAGACCCCCTCCATCATCCCAGTTGTTGACCTCTAAAAACATGCTTCTAAGTGGCCTCTTCTGTCAATCCCCAGCTGCACTGAGAATATTTCCTTATCGTTTAATGTCACACGTGGCTGCAAAGTAAAACGTGCCATCTTTCCCCCTTTAGACCAAGTCTGCAAAGCAGCAATTGGAAAAAAAGGTTGACGATTTTTCACAGAAGTTGAGTCGAGCAGACCAGGCTACTCAGGCAATGCAGCTGAAGGAAAGCGAACTGAAAAAAGCCTGTGAGGTAAACAGAATTACAGGAATAATTGCATATTTACGACCCATGGCCTGGTGTCGCTGAGGTGAATCCCACTTGCCCTTTCAGTTCTGGCAAAGAAGAGATATATTTAGGAGCAGGACACTGCATGACCCATCAACTGCACAGTTAACAATATCACTGTGACCTGGCCCAGAGCAGTCAGACTGGCTGCCAGCCCCGATCTGCAAGCCAGAGAGAGCGCGAGTGTTAGTGGTGAGAGATAATGGAGGTTTTTGCCTTATGACCGTGTATCGACCATCAGCCAATATATATTTGAACTTGCAAGCTGCAGCGAAGGGCCTGGTTAGGTGAAGGGTACTGTTCCTGCAAAGTTGAAATTATTTAGCCACTTCCACTGTAGCCCTGTGAAACACAGCCCAAGGTTTTCCATAGGCGTCCCCTCCAATCCTCTGGAGAGACTTTTCAAAAGGTGGCATCAAGGAGGCTTTTGTGAGGTATCTTCTGCCCTCGTTACTGTGCATTCAGCCAAACGAGGCAAGCTGCAGGTCCGTCTTGGAAACGCCTGTGACTGCTTCCCATCCAGTGAAATGCAGCAGACTCGATTGCTGCTGCAGAGCCTCTGGTCCATGCAATGCCCAGGCTCCCAGACTGGCTGAGGTTTTGCCAGACCCCCGGCTCCCTAAGCTGTTATTGGGGAGGGGGGGTGACCCTGCAGGGCCCCATCATTAATAAGAGGCTCCGGCAAACGTTAACGGAGCCTACAGCTCCTTGCACCTGTTATCTCAAAAGAGTGATGTGCAAAGCTGTCAACTTTTCCCTTTTCTTGCGAGGAATCCTATTTGGAATAAGGGAATTTCCCTTTAAAAAAGGGAAACGTTGACGGCTATGGTGATGTGCCTGCTGGTAGCATCGCTGGGAGAACTGGGATGTGGGAGGAGAAAAGCCAAGCCGGGTGTGTGGAATAAAAGAGTATCTCGTTGCTTCCTTGCGCACAGTTTGATTCTGAAGGCCAGAGCTCGTGTCTTCTGTCAAAGTCCCGTGAGCTTATTGGTCCAGCCCCTAATGATAATCACACAGGATGCAAAGCCCCATTGCTCTCTGCATCCGTTTAAGCCACTTGACCGTGATCGTATTCCAGCAGCGCTTTTTAAATCGCCGGCTAATGGTCCTTATGCTTGTGCTTAAAACTGTTAAGGAGCCTTTAACTGCAGGATGCTCATTACGCGCTGCGCATCCAAAAAAAAGTCAGAAAAACCCTGAGCTTTTGCATTTGGGCACTTGTGTGGGAAACGTTGGCGCTGCAGTTTGCCTCTTCTCTTTCTTATGGGAGCTGAGCGGGGGTTGCGGCACGGGGCGTGCGGGGAGGACGGGCGATGAGCAGAAGCAACAACAAGTTTAATCTTGCTCTCGGGCTGATTTGCTTAAATAGCTGGAAATACAGACCTGCTTTGCCAGCAAATTTCCAGCTTATGCTTCCCATCCTGGTTGTCCCTTCTCTTAAATTTGGCTTTGGTGCGTTTGGTGCCCATCTGCTAGTAGTAACTAGATGGATAATTGAGGGCTCGAGACCAACAAAGCCCTGCCAATGCCATCTGTTATCTTAGCGGCTCAGGAGTGGGCGGTATGTGTTTGTACGTGCCATTTTCTTTAGGAACTGGCTTTTTATTTTTGCTTCCCAAGGGAGAGTGAGTTATGATGACAGGGGCCAGTTCTTTTTTCCTTTAATGCTTTCAAGGTTCAGTGCAGAGTGCTCCAAATTGTTTCACACTCCTTCCTGGGGAAGAGTTTAGATGCAAGGCGATTGTGTGTTTAGGATCTACTGTGCAGGAGGGCGGCTAGCTTTTGATTTATCTATCTGCGAGATACCTGCTTTCTGCAGAAAAGACTTGGCCCCGAAGCCTCCATGAGTTCTAACCCTGTCTCTGATAGCAGTTTTAACTCAGAGACCTTTGGCTGCAGAGTTTCCCTCTTCCATTAAGCACTAAAGGGGCCGTGATTGGGTTGTGGTTCTCTGATACTCCCCCCCCCTCTTTTTGACCTGCAACACCCCCTTGTCCTGGCATAATTTATAACAGGCTAGAGGTTTCCTTACTTAGCATATGCCGCTTGGCAGCTGCTTAGAGTGCACTGCCTGTCAGCTGTAGCCTGCCAGTGTGATAATATTTCTGCTGCCGTTCTCTTGGTGTATAAGAAATGATAGGGCAGTTGTCAACCGATAACTCACACTTGATGGAGGAGAAGGTTATTTGCGTTTGTGGAAAAGTGTGGTGGAATTGGGCTACCAGACCAAACATGGCTTCTTTTCAGAAGCCCTCTAAGCCAGAAAGTATATAGCATAAATGTTTCCCACAGCTGAATTGCTCAGATGTGTGCAGAACCGCTAGATGTCAGGAATTCTTCATTCTCTTTTGCATCTTTTTTATCTACTTAGTTCAGATAGAAGAGAGTAAAGGTAAAAGGACCCCTGACAATTAAGACCAGTCACAAATGACTCTGGGGTTGTGGCGCTCATCTCGCTTTAAAGGCCAAGGGACCCAATGTTTGTCCGCAGACAGTTTTTCCGGGTCATGTGGCCAGCATGAATAAGCCGCTTCTGACAAACCAGAGCAGCGCATGGAAATGCCGTTTACCTTCCCGCTGGAGTGGTACCTATTTATCTACTTGCACTTTGATGTTCTCACCCCATTGCGGGGATTCGAACTGCCGACATTTCAATTGGCAAGCTCAAGCTGCACAGTGGTTTAATCCACAGGGAGAAGCCTTATATTTCAGTGAATAATGTCTTGAACTATTTGTAAAATTATGGTCCCGATGTTGTGCAGTTGTCTTTGTATTATATCTGTAACACATTTTTGTGGGGGTTTTTTTTCTAAAATAAGCCAGATTGAGGGCTATAAACCTTTAAATGATTCTAAGCACATTTCAGGGTACTCTCCTCTCTTTCCCCCCCTTTTTTTGGAATACACTGAGGGACATCATTGCATCTGGCAGACATTAGTTGGGATTTACATTTAGAATGGGTGTGTCTTAAGCAGCTAGTGTAGCTTCAAGTTCCTTTCGCATTTTAGAGACTTTAGCCCTACAGACCACCTTGATACAGTCCAGAGCATATAGACCATGTCTGGACTGGTAAGGCTTTCTCCAATAATTATTTGCTTATTATTTAAATAATTTCTGTACTGCTTTGTATGTAAAAAAACAAAGAAAAAATTCCTCAAAGCGCTCCACAACCTAACTTAAAGCATCAAATGAAGCATTGCAAAAGCATCAACATAAAACCTTACAGATGAAGGTCAAATACAAAATAATGCATTTCAGCCAATGTATTATCAGGAAAAGAAAACATTTTCTTAAATACAAAAAATACAGGAAGATATCAAATACAAAAATACAGTAAAACTCCACTAAACAGCATCATTGGCAACTAAACGAAATAACTGAAATAGAAGCTGTGCCTGCACTCCTAATCACCCCTCACACGGTGGCAACCTCTCCAAAATACACCCTTAGCAGTTCTCCTAGTCTCACTCATGCATCCCCATCAGGCATACAGATAACAAAGCTAATTCACAGCCAACCATTTATTACAAAGCAAACATCTGGTCTACAAAAATACATAGCAGCATTAAGCATAATTGACAACCAGCTTATTCACCCACCTCAGACTAAGGCCATATATAGTATATAAAGAGCAACATTTCCACCCCTCCTTCCTGTCTCTCTCCAATGCAGGGTTCGGTTCAGTCTCTCACGCTGAGCGGTATTAAGCAGCTCTGAAATGCACAAGTGCATGAGAATCAAGACAGTTGCTCAGGGCGGCAAAAATGCAGTTCTAGCTACTGCCCAATAATAATACACCACACACTTCCTCCTACCAGATAATGCATTCAACAGTTCAAAATTAAAGGGGTTGGCGCCCTCACGGCGATCCCTAAAGGCCTTCATTTCAGCAGCCCTCTTATCTTGGTCTGTGGGCTGGGAGGCAAGTCAATTAGCCACAGCCGTTTCCACTCTTCTCCTGATGATGGGACTGTGTGGGCCAGACAACCTGAAAAGGTATAGCCGGCTAGATAATTGCAATGTTCCTACATGTAAAGTGCCTGAATTATATGTTTGGGCTTGGATGGTAGGCTATGCATCCAGAAAGAAAAGAAAGTATGGTTCAAGGTCACTGTTGTGCCTGGAATCACATTGGAGACTTCATCTCCCTTGATATTTTTCCTAGCAAAGCCTTCTCAGCAGTTGTTTTTGTTTTATTTCTTACTGGACCCTCTATTTGCAATTTAAAAGTTCCCTGCAAGCAGTGGCTATACTTTAGCAAGCTGGAGTTGTCTATGCACGCTCTCCTCCCTTTCTCAGCACATTGCTCCTACTTCCATTATGTCTGAAAGCAAGGAACTATGGTTTGAAGGTCAGCTTATTAACCAGGATCTTAAACGATGGGTAGTAAACCGACATTAAACCATAGTTCCCCATTTTGGGCATAATGGGGGAAGTGTAGTTTAAGCTTCTGAGAACTAATACGAAAGGAAGGGATTGGGTACCCAAGATTGCTGAGCAAGGGGAGAAGACCCGCTGCTAGTTCCTGGCTTGGTAAACTATGGTTTAGCAAACTCGGAATGTATGTCTTAGCTGGCTCAATGAGTCAAAGAACCTTAGTCAAAGGTAGCCAATTCTTTAACTGTCACTTGTTTAATTCTTGCTGTCCAAGGAAACAAAGAAGCAAAATGGCCTCCTTCACTGCCAGTCGGCTCAACAGTTGCAAGAAATTTGTCAGTTAAAAGAAGAGCTCTGTGTAACCAAACGACTTCTGCAGCAGAGTCAAAACGTCGTTGAAGATATGAAAAGTGAGTCACCAATTTTTATTAGGTTTCCTTCCCATTCTGAACCTTATTCTGTGTTTTGAGGTCCCTCTGTATAGCATATACTGAGTTAAATCTTGTTTAGCATGTTGTAAGCAACTTGGGCGACCATTGTAGTTTTCGATAACTGGATATAATAATAGTAATAATAATAATAATTTTTATTTATATCCCGCCCTCCTCAGCCAAAGCCGGGCTGAGAGCGGCTAACAACAACAAAAGTAACACAGTTTACATAAAATCACAATCAATTAATTGAAATGCATTCTAAAGTCAATTCATTCTAAAATCAATTCAAAATCAAATTAATGGCAACCATTGGGCTAGAATTCTATGCAATATGCATTATGTTTTGCAGTGTACAGGGGAAAAGATAAGATCCAGGTGTGTCTGTGTAAACCTTAAGTTACCAGATGAGAACAAGTGGGATAAAATAGATAAAATAAATGAGTAACACTAATAAAGAGAATAAAGGAATCTTACATTTTGTAAATTAAATACTTCCCCTTTTCTTTCAATCCCTTGGATTGCAGATAAAAATTTCTCTCTGGAAAAAGAGTTAAAACTACTTGAAGAGAATCTGAGCAAACAAGAGAATCCTCTCACTTTGGAGAAAATGAAACTTGCTATTTCTGAATTGGAAAACCAACGAGATTCTCTCCAGCAGCTTCTGAAGCACAAAGAAAACACCATTGAAGAGCTCAGTGTAAAACTGGAGGATCTGGAAGCTTTGCAGAAAGTTCTTACAGAGTGTGAAGGACTTAAAAAAAAGGTTGAGGTTCTTTCCCAGTGGAAAAAAGAAAGTGGGCAACGCATAAATGAACTTGTTTTAGAAAAAGAAGACTGGATGAGCAAGATTTGCAGCCTGGAAAGGGCCTTAATGACCGAACAACTTAAAAGTAATGAGAGAGTAAAAGCTTTAGAAGGTACGAATGAAAACCTTTGTGTGGAGATTAGAAATCTCAAAGCTATGGTGGAAGACAAAACAGCAGAGCTAGAAGCAGAAAGAAAAGCCCACAATGACCTTCAGGATAAAACAGCAGCATCTGAGGAAAAACACAGAAAAGAGAGAGAAAACAATTCACTGAAATTATCTGAGTTCACCAAACAAGTGGATGTTCTACAGAAAACACTGGAGACGGTAGGAGAGGAAATGTTGGAAAAGGACAGATGTATGGCCTTTTTGGAAACATCCTTAGCTTCCCACGTGCAGTTAAAATCCAGCTTCGAGAAACAATGTGAGGAGCTGGTCCAAGCCAGAGATGAGACAGAAAGAAAACTGGCTGCCGCAGAGCAAAGGCATAAAGATTTTGTTAGGGAGAAGGAAAAGCGCATAAGTGAGTTGGAAGCAGCTGTTTCCGAAAAGCAGGACTTGGTCACTAAGACTTTACAGGCTCTCCAGGAGAAAAACAAGACATTGCAAGCACTGATCGCAGAATCAGAGAGGCAGCAAGCAGAGATTCTGAATTTAAGAAGCAGTAACTCTTTCCTTGAGGATACAGTGCAGCAACTGAAAATTACGCCTCAAACAGTTAGCCACAAGGAACCAGATGCGTTGGCACCAATAGCCTTAAATAAAAAGCTAATTGAAGGAGTTAGTGATGAAAATCTCGGCCTTACGATTGATATCAGTGCCATGGAGCAAAGAAATCTAGACTTAATGCAGACAGGCTTCCGTCTGTCCAGAAGCCAGAAGGAGAGGGAGGAAAGCCTCTTGGACCTGTCAGAAAGGCATAGAGAGAAAAGCTTGTTACTGTCTAAAGCCGAAGAAGAATCAAGAAGGAAATGTGGATCAGTGGAAGCAGAGAATAAGGACTTAGAATGTGCTTTAAGGGAGCAAGCATGCCATTCTGAAGTGGAGAAAGCCACATTTGAAGAGCGAGAGAAGCAGCTCATGAACGAACACGAGGAGCTGAAGTGTAAGGTCATGTCCTTGGAGAAGAAAAATAACACTCAGCTTGAAAAAATGCAGGCAGTACCTGAAGAAACTGAGATTCTGGGACAGGAAAGGGCAGCACTTAATAAAATGCAGCATCATAACGATGTGTTGCTGCAAGAGAATGAGGAACTTGTCAAGGAGCTGAAAATAAGGGGCGAACGTGTAGCTGGTGGCTTTCCTGTGGAGAAGACTTCGCTGGGACAGCTGAGAGGATCTGCAGAAGAAAAGGAGGAGGAACTGAATAAATATCAGGTTCAGCTAGAGCTGCTTCAAATGGACCTTGAGGACAGAGAGGCCTCAGTAGAGAACTATGCTGATCAAGTAAAGCAGCTGGAGAGTGCTCTGAGAACTATGGAAATAAAACTGGAAGAAAACGAAATGGAGAGAGAGAGGCTGAACCACGAATTGCAAGCTCTTAAAGATGTGGAAAATCCACATTTAGAGCTTACAGAAGAGGAAGGGAATGACCAATCAGCAGCACATTTCAATGCTGTTTCCAAGGACAACTTTAGCGGACAGATAGATGCCAAGTGTTCGTCAGTTCCTCATGATCTGACGCCCAGCCAAAGTGATTATGTCCGATTAGTAGCCTCCCTACACATGACAATGAGCAAGCTCAATGAGTTGGAGAAAATGTTCGAACACCTGCAGATTGAAAAGTCAACATTAGCATCCCAGCTGAAAGACTCTCAATTGAAATGCATCGCAGGCGCAATGGCAGAAGAGCTCATCGGCAGAATTAATAATGCAACAGAAGAGAGCGCTGCTTTTTCTGGTGGCTTAATAGATCACAGTAAAATAGCAGCACAATCTGATATTGAGCAAATGCCCTTAATAGCTCTGGAATGTTGTGGTGGACTTGACTGCAAAGGTTTGAAGCCATCCAGCAAAGAAATTAAAATGCACTTTGACGGGGTCAAGGAAAAAATCTTCTCTTTGACAAATGAATATAGCAGCTTGCAAGAGCAGCACTCGGGTATGGCCTCCAAAATATCAGAGCTGCAAAGCTATATTGACATGCTCAAGGAAGAAAATGCTGCACTATCAACCAGCCTCGACCAAGTCACAAATTATTCCTTCACAACGCAGGTAACCCCTCTTCTAATGAATGAAGAATTTCATTCGGATGGAAAGTTCCCCATGAGATTTCCTTCTTGCAGCAAAATCTCCTCGTGTACAAGTTCAACTCTTATGGAATCTGATATAGACTCTGATCAGTACAGACCGTCAAATGAAATAAGTGACCTAGATAGTAACAAACAAGCTGATCTAGAAAGTACCCCTGAGGAACATGGCCACTTTCTTTCAGAAGGGAATGGCAGTGACACACGGGCCTGTATCATGAAGCAGGGGCATGCCATGCCTGAAAGACATCATTTAAAAAAGAGAGTCGAATACCTCCTACGTGAGGCTTATGAAAAGTCCTTCAGGATGCTTGAAGACTCATTTGAGTCGCATAAAAATCTTGAAGACGAAGAGATCCAAAAGATCCAAGAGCTGCTCCTTTCTGTAAGGAAGGAAGTTGATGGTCTCCAAAAGCAAAATATATCGGAAAGCAAACAGTGGCAACGAAAACTTAATGATGTGGTCTTGCAGGTGGCATCTAAATTGCCAGCCGAGAAGAAACATCCTGACCTGTTGCCTCAGGAACTGGAGGAACCACTGCAAGGCCTTGATTTAGGTTCTCATTCTCTGCTTTGTGTTGACACTGAACACGTAAGTGTGCCTAATTTCTTATCATGCAGTTTTTCATGTATGTTCAATAGATTACCCATGTGTACTGTTTTGGGAGGGAAGGGAGGAAGTCTCTTTAGACTGGGAGCAAAGGCAGTTCAAAAAGCATGGTGGCTAGCTTCAGATGCTTTGTTGGACTTCAACTCCCATCATCCCTGACCCTTGGCCACATTGGCTGGGGCTGATGGGAGTTGTAGTTTAACAACATCTGGAGGGCACCATATTAACTATCCCCGTTTTAAAACTTATTTCTTTCACACACGCACCCAATTTGAAACTATTTTGACAGCCTTGAAAAGCTGTAGTTTCTGTATTCTAAGAAATAGTGTGAATCAAGATACATAAAGATTTGGTTTTGTATCCGAATTCTGAAAGAAGAGCTTCGCATCAACTGACTCATTTTTAAAGCCTCAATTTATGGCCATTATTGCCAGTTAAATTCTGTCCCTCCCTGGCTCCAGCCAAGAAATATGCTCAGAGAGGGGAAAAGAGTATGCTTGACAGCAAAAAAGCGATCTTGTTGAGTATGCTAAGGTTGCTAAATTAGAATTTTAGTTCCAGGTTCTTTCATATACAGTGGTACCTCGGGTTACAGATGTTTCAGATTACAGACTCCTCTAACCCAGAAATAGTACCTCGGGTTAAGAACTTTGCTTCAGGATGAGAACAGAAATCGTGCTCCGGCGGTGCGTTGGCAGCGGGAAGCCCCATTAGCTAAAGTGGTGCTTCAGGTTAAGAACAGTTTCAGGTTAAGAACGGACCTCTGGAATGAATTAAGTACTTAACCCGAGGTACCACTATATTAAATCCAGCAACAACAGCTATGTGTGATTATTGCTACAGTGGGCCAATTTATGTAATAGGGAATGACATCAGTAGGTGGGAAGAGCCTGCTTTGGTGAAATGTTACATAAGAGATGAGGTGTCTTCAAGCATTTGCCTGAAAATGTGAGCACCAAGTTGTGTAGCCAGCAGGGCAAACATGCAAGTCCTGCCCCCAATGTCATCATGTGCTCTGCCCCCACCTGCCCAAGTTCCCCAGCCTTCCCTGTGTTGGACTAGGAAGGTCTGTGCAGCAATTACATTTGCATTTCTCTGAAAGTGAGTAGAGCTCTCCACACAATCAGAGGACCCTGCTGAAAACAATTTCCCCAGGTGATCAACAGGAGGGCCCATATTAGAATATTAAGTGTGTTCTTTATCTACCAAAACATTACATATTGGTTCCCATTTTATTCTGCAGAGGTCATTGGCATTGTTTTTGAAGATGTGTTTATTTATTTTTTTGCCACCCTGGACTCCTTTGGGGAGGAAGTATCACAGTTAAATGTAATAAATAAAAGAATAAATATATCAATTTGATAAAAGTGACTTATTAATTAAAATGACTCTCTTTTTTCTATCTACTTCTAGCAAGTCCAGATTCCTTCTAAGCAAGCAATTGATCCCTTGGGTCAACTGGAACTGTATGGCACGTCTACTGAAAGCACAACGTTTGAAGTTGAAAATAGTAAAATATCAGCAAGGGCAGGTGAAGCAAATAGAACAGAAGATGAAGACTCTATTTGCCAAGCAATTGGCATGAAATTTAGAGAAAGAGGCCTTCTGGACTTAGACACAGAATTCAGAAATGCAACAGATATATCCATAAGTTCTCCAAACTATCCTCATGAGTTATCGTTTCTTCCTTCTCAAAACACTGATGTGATGCCTGTGGACACCCTGGAAAGCCAAAGGACCCCTGAAAAGCCTCTGCTAGAAGTAGAGCAGACATGTAATAAAATCTCCAAGCCCTTCCCTGACGTGGAGGAAAGCAGTAAAAGAACTGATATTCTACTAATGGAGATCCAAAACCTAAAGTCAGGCCTGGATTCAAAGGACAAAGAGCTGGCTGCAGAGAGAACTGCTTGTGCAGAGTTGGACAAAACAGTTGTAGCACTCGAAAAAGAAAAAGGAGACTTAAATGAGTCACTTAAGTCTGTTACTTTTGATAACCAGCAGTTGTCTTACAGCCTTATGGCTCTTGGAATAGAACTTGAGAAGGTAAAATCTGATATGGAAATGTACAAGGCAAGACTGTCCAATACAACAGAGACTCTGGAAGATTTGGAAATGGACAAGGCCGACTGGACTGAGAGGCTTCTTGAAACTGAAAATGAGCTGAGGAGGATAAAATCTGAGAAAGCAAATATTGAGAACCATGCCTTATCCATGGAGACTGACATAGAGGAGCTTCAGTTAAAGAACGAGCACTTGGAAAAAGAAAACGAAAATAAACTGAAAAGCATTTTTGGCCTTCAAGAGCAGCTTCATATACTCGTCACTGAGAGAAACCAATTTAGTCAAGATCTGAGTGCTTTGTTGAAGGATAAAGAAGAATCGGATCAAATGTGCCAGAAAATGCAAGAGACTATCAAAGAACTTGAGTCAAGTAAAGGGGATTCTGCTGAATTTATCAGGATATTGGAAGCCGAAGCTAATACTCAGGCAAAATTGCTTCAGGCTGCGAAGGCCGATACTCATCGGTTATCAACCGAAAAGGACAGACTTCTGCTGCAGTTACAGAATCTGGATCAGGTTATGAGGACTCTTGTGTTAGAAAAAGAGGCAGCGCAAAGCCAAATAGAGCATCTGAATGAGGAAAAAGAAGTGAGCCTTAGGGAATATGAAACTTTACACAGCAAGTTAAGTATCTCTGAAATGGAATATGCCAAGATATCAAAGTCTCTGGAAGGGTCGCTAATAGAAAAGGGTGAACTTGCAACTAGGCTGAACTCAGCACAGGAGGAGTTGTCTCAGCTGCGTCGGGGCATCGAGAAGCTCAAAACAAAAATAGAATCCGACGAAAAGAAAAGGTGTCACCTTGCGGGAAAACTGAAAGAAAGCGAGCGGAAAGCTGACTCCCTCGCAGACAGAATTGAGAATCTCGAAAGAGAATTGCAGATGTCGGAGGACAATTTGGAAGATGCAATTCTTCGGGCAGAGACGGCTAAAGCAGAGACGGAAACAGCCACTGCGGAGATAGAAATGATGCGTGCGACTTTGCAAAGCTTGGAATGTGAGGTGAATGCCTTAAAGTTAGAAAAAGGATCTCTAGAGAGAGAGCTGAAAGAAAATCAGGATAAAGTATCTGAATTAGAAGGTCTTAATTCCATGCTTGTGAAGCAGCTAGAAGAAAGGGAGAAGGAGAAGGTGCAAATTAGAGGTGAATTTGAAAACGCACTGATGTCGGTGGAATCCCAGTTGAAACTGGCCCGTGAAGAAGTTAAACTTTCTCATTGCGAAGAAGAGAATTTCAGGACAAAAGAAGAGGATCTGATGGATGAAGTTGCTTGTGTCAAAGAAGAGAATGGACGGTTGGCTCATCATCTACAGGAAGCCAAAAGCAAACATTCTGAAATGGAGCATTTGCTGGAGGTCCTCGCCCAGCAATTCCAAGACCTCATACAAAAGCTGGATGACAGCGATCCTGTTCTGGAGCAGTTGCCAAAAAATGAAACTCTGCAGTCTAGTCTTGAGGCTACAGAGGTGGAGTTGGAAGCTGCAACTTCTGAAAAACCTGCCTTCCTTGAAAAGGTACAGTATATTGTTGACATCATGGGTAGAATATCTTGTAGGTTAATAGGTTCCTTCTGAAATTAAAGGCTGACTTGGGTTGTTGTTTATATTGGGGGAGTTTTCTAGAATTTGCATGTTTGGATTTGATATCCCGCCTTTCACTCCCTTTAAGGAGTCTCAAAGCGGCTAACATTCTCCTTTCCCTTCCTCCCCCACAACAAACACTCTGTGAGGTGAATGGGGCTGAGAGACTTCAAAGAAGTGTGACTGGCCCAAGGTCACCCAGCAGCTGCATGTGGAGGAGCGGAGACTCAAACCCGGTTCCCCAGATTACGAGACTACCGCTCTTAACCACTACACCACACTGGCATGTAGAGATTAAATACATTTTGCCTGGCGCCAAATAACAAAGTAACATTGAGTGACTGCAGATGTGGTTCCCAAAATCAAAATCCACTTTATCTGAAGAAGACAAGCTGATATTTAAGTTTATAGTTCTATTGCAATCATAACTGTAAAGTATGTTATCTATAAGTATAACATGAAATATGTAGAGCAGGCATAGGCAAACTCAACCCTCCAGATGTTTTTGGCCTACAACTCCCATGATCCCTAGCTAACAGGACCAGTGATCAGGGATGATGCGAATTGTAGTCCCAAAACATCTGGAGGGCTGAGTTTGCCTATGCCTGATTTAGAGCATAATCTTATGGATGTTTTCTCAGAAATAGTACTCAGTGTTCAGTGGGACATACTCCTAGGTAAGTGTGCATCGGATAGTAGCCCTAGTCTATTACTGTGCTACTTACAGCGTACATAGTAAAGAGTTGCTGTGATGTGCAACATAGCAGCCGTGTTTGCACGTTACGGTAAACCATAGTAATGCTTTACTGTGAACATGCAGAAATCTTCCCTTTTACCCATCTCATCTAGATGGCAGGAAGAACAAACCATAATCCCTCGCTTAGTGTTATGTCCGAACTAGGGAGTGTGGTTTGTTTTATTCCGAACAAACCAAGGTTTGCTCAAACACGCTGCAGTTGGTAAGCCGAGAAGAAACCTTGGTTTAGTGTCTGTATTAACATCTCCCTGGCCACATGGGAGGATTGCATTGGGAGCCTTCTGCATGCTTGAAGTGAACCATTAACAGCATGTGCAAACTGGACTCTGCTTTTGGATCTCTAGCATAGACAGCTAGGGCCTGTCTGGTGCAAACCGAAGGACATCAGTAGACGTTTGTTTCGTTTTATGGAATTCATCAGATGCTCTAGTTAACAGGTCCTGTTAGGAAATAGCATAGTTGCCCCAACAGTGTGGGTGTTATGGAAGGAAAGGAGAACATCCATGCACTTTACTTTGAACTAATGAGAAGTCCGGTTTTGCATTTGGCTGGGTAATTATTTCTTCTGCAGCAATAATTGCATGAATGTTTACTGGTTTATTTTTATTTTATTTTGCAGGCAAATAGCCACCAGAAAATAGTGCAACTCAAGAAAGAATTTGATTCTTTCCATCATAGATTTCAGCACTGGCTGAAAGCCTACACAGAACTAAAGCAGGAGAAAAAGATGATGGTGAAGCAGATTCATGAACTTGAGATTCAACTGAAGAAGATGGATCCAGGTATGTAGCGCAGGCGCGGGGAGCCTTTTCCATCCTGCAGGCAGGTCTTCTCCCTCAACCCCGCCTTGGGCCACTTTGACATGTGTGTGGGGCTGCGCAGCTATTAATCACCTATCACTATGATGTCAGGTGACAACCTCAAAGAGGCTTGACTGTCAAGGCTGATCAGCTGATAGGTCCTGTTAGCAAGCCCCACTTGCCAAGGAACAGTCACTTTAAGCTCCTTTGCAGCCGTGTCTTTACTTGCCCCACATCTGATGTCATGTTTGAGGGGCAGCTGGCCGTGGTTTTGGGGGGAAAGCCTCATGGGCCAAATAAGAACTTCTTCTGGGTCTAATTTGGCCTGTGGGCTGGAGATTCCTCATGCCTTTGTGTGTATGTATGCAAAAATGCAACAACAGTTCCCTCATCAGTAGCCCCGGCTGACATTAGAATGCAAAAAAGTATTGCTGTTCGTTCTAACCCTGAAAAAAGGTCATGCTGGGATTCTGGTTGTGCCATGGTCAGCATCAACCCACTATCTAGCATAATCATCCTGGTGTGCATTGAGCTTTTATCTACAGCCTTCTGCACAGATGCCTTTTTTATCCCATTCTGGGCCAGCTCCTGCCACCCTACTTGTTATTTCATCCACTGGCAACAGCAGAGAGGAGGTCCCCACCTCTCATTTTTCGTATGAAGCTTCTGGCAATTTCATAGTAGTTAGGTAGTTGCTAAAATATTTTAACTCATCATTTGGTGCAGGTGGCCCATAGCATGCATCACCCACAAATTACTTCTTTTAAAATAAAAATTAAAGCAATTATAGCATTCCCTGAAAAAGCACATTGGAAAACCATCAGAGAAACTAAAGACAGGAAATGAAATAGACATCCAGTGAGTGGGAGTTTCACAGCATTGGTGCCACCGCAGAAAAGGCCATGCTCCAGGAGGACTGAGGAAGATCTTTAGGTCTTAAGATGAACTACATATCTAAAGGAGTCGATAGTGTTTGGTGTTCACTGCTGCTGAAATGCTCTTTACAATATTTTCAGGTAAAGTATATTGAAAGTCTCTGTTGCTAATCCTTCATTTATTAATGACTGTTCTTGCATTGCATAGGTTCTGATAGGAATGCCACTGCAGAAGAGATAAGGTTGGAGCTGGAAGAACTGAAGGAACTGGTTGAAGAGAAAACTGCAGAGGCAGATCAAAACCTGGATAAGTACTGTACCCTGATAATTGATTATGATAAATTAGAGGAAGAAAACGAGATGCTAAAGACACAAGTCTCTCTTCTGAACACTCGGCTCAAACAGTCATCAGACTCTTCCAGTTCCCCTCTACAAAGTCCAGGAAGCCAAACTAAAATCACTAATAGGCTGCTTGTGGAAAAGGCCTTGTCTGAAGATATTACTAAGATTACTGTGAGGAGGCAAAGGTGTCATGAAAACCGAAGCAATGGTGAAAGTGCTACATCTCCTTTTCCAGAGGCTGCCTCAAAACAAACTAAAAGAAGAACCACATTTCAACAGCACAGCCCAAAAGTGCCCCTAGAAAATGCAGAATTTGAGTCAGATGGTTCCACAGAGGTGGGAGGCAAAGGTAATCACTTTCACAACAGTATTGATGTTTGTTTAATAACATTCTTGTTACAGCTTGATACAGAGGGACAATAGAGGTAACTGAATCTATCCCCCTATGTTTGCCCTTTACCATTTTGTATTCTCAATATGACCAGTGGAGTAAAATTTAAGGCTGCCATTACAAGGCATAAGGGTGTAAAATTCTGCATGTAAAGTGATCATCTTCTTCTTTGGCAATCACTCATAGCCGAGTAATACTGTCTTCCATGAACACGGTCTTAACTGTGAGTCTGTAAGTGACTGTGGAAGCCAATTCTGGATCCACACGTCCTTCCACAGTAGGGACATAGGTTTCCGGACAGAAGTGGATCATGGTGAGGGTTTGCCAAGCGTGCCTTCCTCTTAGCACGTTTCCCCCTTTCGACCTGAATCCAAGTGTCTTCAAAGCCCATGACAGCTTTGGTAAAGGCTGTTCTCCAATTGGAGCGCTTGCAGGCCAGTGTTTCCCAATTGTCGGTGTTTATACTACATTTTTAGAAATTTGTCTTTAAACCTCTTGCGTTGACCACCAGCATTACGTTTTCCATTTTTAAGTTCGGAATGGAGTAGTTGCTTTGGAAGATGTTGATCAGGCATCTGAACAACATGACCAGTCCAACAAAGTTGATGTTGAAGAATAATCGCTTCGACACTGGCGAGCTTTGCTTCTCCCAGTACACTGGCATTAGTTCACCTGTCTTCCCAAGTGATGTGTAGAATTTTTCGGAGAAACAGTTGTGGAATCTTTCGAGGAGTTGGAGATGGCGTTTATAAAGTGACGGGAGAGTCGTCTAACACTATTGCCAAACCTTTACAACCGCAGAAGTATAATATACCCAAACATACGGTTGCCTGCAAACTGCTTTTTCCTGCGATCTCTGTAAAGGGAGATCTGTTCACGTGGAAGGCTTTTCTCCATTCAACATTCCCAGAAAAGGCTCAGCTGGATTTAGGATTATTGCCAACAACAGGAGTGGGGGCAGCAAGATACAGTGGGCGCATTCTGGTGAGGGCAAGAGAGGCCTTTGTGGCCATTGGAGCTGCAGCTTGCAAACCACTGATGAAACCGCTGATGAAATCGCTAAGCTTGGGACTACTCAAGAACGCAAGTCTGTGGGCTCATTCCATGAATGCTTGACTCCTTAATAGCCTTGGGGCCAGTGGCCTCACATTATGCAGATACTAACTAGCAAAAGGAAACCATTATCTTTCAAGCTGAAAGCACCCACCTGGGAGACTGCAGAAACACTTTACCTGTAGTACTTGAAATGAAAATAAGTATTATGTTCCTGTTGTAAGGATTTATGTCAGGGAAGGGCTGTGCATCAATGGTAGATCAGCCACTTAGCATGCAGTAGATCCAGGTTCAGTCCTTGGCGTTTCCAGGTAGATCTAGGAGCATCTCCTGTGTGAACCCTTGAAGATCCACTGACAGTTCACAGCTAGGTGGACCAATGGTCTGACTGTAGAAGGGAACTTCCTATATGGCTCAGTTGGTTAGAGCATGGTGCTGATAATGCCAAGACTGCAGGTTCGATCCCCGTAGGGAACATATTCCTGCAGGGGGTTGGACTAGATTATCCTCAGGGTCCCATCCAGCTCTACAGTTCTATGATTCTATGATAATCCTAATTGACAAACAACACACCTCTGTAAAACCTTGCATAGTCTTCAGATGCTGCAGGGCCGGAATGCATACTGTACAGCAACAAACTACCATTGCTATTATTTATTTCTTCTTTTGGGTATCTTACTCATCCTTCAGCACGTTGCAACAATATAAAAACACAAGATTAAAATCAATTTATACAATTTACAGTCAGAAAAATAAGGTAGTATATGGGGCCTAACTTGTTTAGGGATTTAAACACTACAGTGGTACCTCGGGTTAAGAACTTAATTTGTTCCGGAGGTCCGTTCTTAACCTGAAACTGTTCTTGACCTGAAGCACCACTTTAGCTAATGGGGCCTCCTGCTGCTGCCGCGCCGCCGGAGCACGATTTCTGTTCTCATCCTGAAGTAAAGTTCTTAACCCGAGGTACTATTTCTGGGTTAGCGGACTCTGTAACCTGAAGCGTCTGTAACCCAAGGTACCACTGCAATATGAGCACCTTGAATTGGACCCAAAAAGCGAGCTGGCAACTGTTTTTAAACAGTTGGTTGTTGTTTTCCTTTTTATTTCTTTTTTGTTTTTATCCCTGCTATAGTTTTTTAAATGTAACAAACAATGATCACCACACACTTTCCTCCCTCAGGATCTTCTGATCTTCCTCCAGGAAATGGCAGCTCTTGGATTTCTCACGGGGCATATCTAATTCCCAGAGCGAGCCCCTGTCTTGTCCGTCCAAGCTTGAGATCGCCACCGTTTACTGATGACTCCCAAACAACTGAGAGCGACTGCTTGCTTGAAAACCAAAAAGCAACACCAGAGGGCAGCAAACTACAAAAGGTAACTTGCAGGTATTATTAAACATGAGTTTGAACATACCAAAGCACAAGAAATTCAGATTGTGAATGTATCTGAGCAAGTGCTTATGGGAGTGTCTCGTTGTACTTATACAAGTTGTGAGCAAATCAGCGTGAAGACGGGGAAAGTGAATATAGGAGGAAGTGACCATAAATTAGCAGCAGAGATCTTGTATGGCTCCCTCCACACACCCCCAATTATAAAATCTGAAGAGAACTTTGTTGTGTAGATTTGGCTTACAAATCATGAAGCCTGTATGGAATCATGGTACATGTATAAGAACTTAAAAGGGATGTTTGTGTGTTTTTGTGTCTTCAAAACACTTAACTGAGTACCTACCTGGAGTGAGTGCTAAATACTTAGGTGTATAGTTACAGGTAGGTAGCTGTGTTTTCATTCCATTAGTGTTTAATTAATTGTTAATGGCTAACTTTTCTATGTTTTTTGCTTTTTCTGTTTTGTCTGCTTTTTTGTATTTTTATCTGCAAGCCATCTTAAGTCTCAATCTGAGAAAAAGGTGGGGTATAAATACATATAACAATAATAACAATTTAACCTAATAATAATAATAATGTAATATAAGGGTGGCGCTGTGGGTTAAACCACAGAGCCTAGGACTTGCCAATCAGAAGGTTGGCAGTTCGAATCCCCACGACGGGGTGAGCTCCCGTTCGGTCCCTGCTCCTGCCAACCTAGCAGTTCAAAAGCACGTCAAAGTGCAAGTAGATAAATAGGTACCGCTCCAACAGGAAGGTAAACGGCATTTCCTTGTGCTGCTCTGGTTCGCCAGAAGCGGCTTAGTCATGCTGGTCACATGACCCGGAATTGTACGCCGGCTCCCTCGGCCAATAAAGCGAGATGAGCGCTGCAACCCCAGAGTCGTCTGCGACTGGACCTAACGGTCAGGGTCCCTTTACCTTTACCTAATATAATATAACCACATAAACAAAACACAGAATCCTTTGCTAATTTCCTCATACATCTAGAAAATTAGGATGCCAAATTCTAAAACCAGCAGTTAAATTTTGCACTTCATTCATTGTTGGCATCTGTCTCAAGAAACAATAGAGTGTGCCTCTAGGGGTGAAGTCAAACCACTGGAGAATCACAGCGCCTGCTGTGGCTGTAGAGACCGGCAACTTGCAACTGCTGCCTCCCACATTCTACATTCTGACAAAGGTCTTGTTTGAAACATCTCTGCTCATATGATCCAGTGCATCAGTGCTGGAATAATAACAATAACAAGTCCCTCTTCTCCTTACACCTTTCTCCATCAAAAAGTGGACTTTGAGCAGGGCCCAGCCAGCTGACCATAAGAGGCAATGATGAGGCTTACACGGGAGCAGGGCAAGGGTTCAGTAGGCCGGTCCAATTGACTTTTGAAAAACATGGCCTTCAGCTCCGCTACTAGACTCAGAAATGCGAAAAGTAGTCCTCGCCATTGGAATCAATAAACGTCTTCCTTGCATGGATTGATACATGTATACTTTTTCTGTGTGTCTGTGTTCCCAGATAAATGACATGCGGCTGCAAGAAATCCTAGCTGCTGCCTCCCCCTTGGGATTTGCTCCCAGGTCTCCCCTTTCAGCTTGCAACCAGTCAGCCCAAGCAGTTGATGGAAGATGTGCTAGGACCCCCAGAGCAATCGAAACGAAAAGCCCTCAAAGTACTGAAGAAAACGAGCTGGACAAAGCCTGCCACGTGCAGTAAATCTGGATTCTGGACTTGAAATGGTGAGAGCAAAGGGTTGTTTAGGAACTGAAAATCCTGAGAACAGATTTCATTTGGCTGATTGACATCTGATGCTCTTTTAAATGTGTTGTGGGAGGAGGAGATTACTGGGTTGTTTTTGTTCTTATCTTTATTATATATTTTGCATTTTTTTATATTGCAATTTTACGTTGCGAACTGCCCTGAGATCTATGGATGAAGGGCAATATACACATTTAATGAATAATAATTTTGTCCATTTAGTTTTTTCATCCCCCTCCCAAAATATAATAAAAACCTAAAAAAACTATTGGTTTTGTGTAACTTCTTTCCTGATAGTTTTAGAAACTCAAAAGCTTGTCCCATTTTTGCGACATTTTGGTTTGTTCCAATAAAGGTATTGCTCTTTTGGAGATTTTCTCCTCTTATGAACCAACACAGTTTGTGTGCGACTTAGAAAATAGTTGTCTCGAAAAGGAAAAGGGGGAAGCAAACTACAAGGAAATGGTTGTGTACAATAGGTCTGCTCTGACATCATTTAAAGTAAACCTTTTTGGAACAGTAATTTTCAAATAGGAACACACTGCCTCAAGGACACTCATGCTCCCATCAAGGTTACAAAGTACCTGAGGGATACAGATTAAAGACTTTAGGGAACAGAAATAGCTTGCTACCTGTACAATGCTGCTAAGTGGATACCACCCCCTCAACCCTCCCTTTTTTGCTTTTTTTTTTTTTTTAAAAAAACTGACTTTTCCTGGAATCGGGGCTTCATTTAATAGTGGCGGCACATAGCTTTCCAATGCTTTAAATCTGTCAGTGGCTGGGTTTGCACAATTAACCATAGTTTATAAGCCAACTGTGAACCCAGCATGGTTTGGTTGTAGTTAATAAGCCATGGTTAAGCTGCTGTGCTGGTTTTGGAGGATGAAAACCATGGTTTAATAAACCATGGTATAGTAGGGTGCGTTGAATTTTTCAAATTTCAAAAATGGATGCCAAAGTGTTGTGACATGACTTGGTAATTCTAAAGATTGTTGTTTAGTAGTGTCTGACTCTTCGTGACCCCATGGACCAGAGCACGCCAGGCACTCTAAAGATATTTTGGCTAAACTAATATAACTCAGTTTCGCCTTCTAAAATGGTATGCCCTAACTCAGGGGTCAGCAACCTTTTTCAGCCATGGGCCAGTCCACCGTCCCTCAGAACATGTGGTGGGCCGGACTATATATTTTTTTGGGGGGGGGGATGAACGAATTCCTATGCCCCACAAATAACCCAGAGATGCATTTTAAATAAAAGGACACATTCTACTCATGTAAAAACACCAGGCAGGCCCCACAAATAACCCAGAGGTGCATTTTAAATAAAAGGACACATTCTACTCATATAAAAACACGTTGATTCCTGGACCGTCTGTTGGCTGGATTGTGAAGGCGATTGGGCCGTACCCGATCCCGTGCCTGTTTCTCCCAAATCAATGCAGACAAGCATCAAAAAAACGGTAAACTCTACTGTTGCCATTAGTCCAGAATTTCCCAGACATAGCCCTCATGAACAGCTTTTGGTGAATTTTTTGAGAGGGACAATTTGTAAAAAAAGCTCAACAACCTTTATCTGGATTTTCACTTTTTGAAATATGGCAACTCTACGGTAAACAGTTCTGCCTACTTAGGAGTTCACTTTGGTGTTTCAAACAGCTCCCACACCAAGCACACACACTGATCCTCCAGTTCATTTCTAGAAATCCAGCCCAGTTCATTTTAACCCTTAGGAAGTCGAGTGCACCAAGCTCACACCTTTTTCCCTCTCTGCGTTTTCTCTTTCAAAAGCACAAGCCAAGGAGGAACAACAGGCATTGCCCACAGCCAGAGGTGCTTTATTTTTTTGGGGGGGGTGAGCCTCTTAGCAGGCTTTTTGAGCTGTTCCCCCCCCTTGTCCAGAAACAGGAGGAGCAGCTTGCAGTGGGAAAAGGCTCTGCAAGAAGTAGGAAACCCCATCATAGAACTGTAGAGTTGGAGGGGGTTCTGAGGGTCATCTAGTCCAACCCCCTGCTATGATGCAGGAATCTTAACTAAAGCATCCATGGCAGATGGCTATCCAACTTTCTGTTCAAAAAACCTCCTAGGGCGAAGAGTGCCATTTCTTGTGGGAATCTGTTCCACTGTAGGAACAGTGCTTAGTGTCAGAAAGTTCTTCCTGATGTTTCGTCAGAATCTCTTTTCTTTGTTTTGTTTTGAATCCTGTGAACCACCCTGAGACCTGCGGGTATAGGGCACTATATGAAATTAATTAATTAATTAATTAATTAATTAATAATAGCCATTGGGTTCTGTGCAGGGGGGAACAAAAACTAATGGAGCTTGCCTGCCTCAGCCAATGCATTCTATTAATATTCAGCCCTGCAGAGCTTGGAATTGCCATTTAAAATGCAAGAGTTGGAGCCTGGTGGCCATATTGTACATAAACGTTAAGAGGGCTACACTGTGTTATGCAAACTAAAGTGTTTATTCAGACTGCTGCCTGATTAGCAATTTGGCCTTAAAAGATGCTGCATAGTCTACCCATATTGGAGGGGTTCTTGGGACATTTTTGTATGTGGGGGTGGCAGGTTTCTCTCCGATGAAAGGCATAGGGCAACAGTGACATCTGCTGGCAGATTTTGAACTTTAAAAGCCCTATACAGTGGTACCTCGGGTTAAGAACTTAATTTGTTCTGGAGGTCCGTTCTTAACCTGAAACTTCTTAACCTGAGGTACCACTTTAGCTAATGGGGCCTTCCGCAGCTGCTGTGCCGCCACCGTGCAATTTCTGTTTTAATCGTGAAGCAAAGTTCTTAACCCGAGGTACTATTTCTGGGTTAGCGGAGTCTGTAACCTGAAGCGTCTGTAACCTGAGGTACCACTGTACCAGGTTAGCGAGTTTGTAACCTGAAGCGTTTGTAACCTGAGGCGTTTGTAACACGAGGTACCACTGTACAATGCTTACTACTTATGGGTTGATGTGCCTGCTGCTGGCGATATTTCCACAAGGAGGAAGACACATGACACCCCCATTTCATGTGTTGTGCACTTGTTCCTGCCCATGCATTTCACACTCATTGTTTATTAATATATTAATATAAAAATAGAAAGTTGCTGTGAAGGCAGATGTATCATTTTCTTGGAAATGTTATATTGCTTTGGGGATAACCAACAGTCTAAAAAGTAAAGCGAATTAAAACTCATTTGAGTTTTGTGTAGCCTTGCAATTTACAACCCGAAACAGAACTGAGCTCAAGGAAAGCACTTTTAAGAGGAAGAGTTGATTCCTGCCTTGCAGGCCTTTTTCCACCTGGCCTGGGAGGGCAGGGCCCGGACTGACTCCAGCTGCAAAAGCTGAGGTTGCTGAACAGACTCATGGGCTGGAGTGTTGTTTAGGGTTTGTTGTTGGGGGGTGGGTCAGGCTGTTGCAGTTATTATTTTCTGTTACAGTGGTACCTTGGTTGTGGAACATAATCTGTTCCGGAAGACTGTTCGACTACCAAAATGTTCAAAAAACAAGGTGCAAAGGGCAGTCTGCTAAGTCAATGGAGAAAATTGGGGAAAAAACGCTGCGGAAGCCATTCAACTTCTGAGGCACATTCGAAAACAGAAGCATTTGCTTCTGGGTTTTCAGTGTTCGAAAACCGAAACATTCATCTTCCAAGATGCTTAAAAAACAAGATACCACTGTATCTTTATGTGGAAATTGTTGAATAGTGTTGTGTACTTTTTGATGTTTTATTCATTGTTTATGACTACTTTTGTTATGTTAGTAATTATGTAAAAACTTTTAATGTTGCAAGCTGCCTTGAGTATGGTTTGAACTATGGAAAGGTGGCATACAACTGAAATCATGTATGTATGTATGTATTCATCTATTCAGTGGTGTTGCTCACTTGATGTTAAAGCTTCAGTCAGTGGAACAGGAAAGGAAGGAAAAGTCCCCCAATCCCTAAATTTACTCAAGGGTTGGGAGATCGTCCAGAGCAGATTTAGGGTGGTGGTGGTGATGTATGCAGGCATTGGAGGCCGAAGTCAGGCTATATGCATGCAATGCAGGCCTCGGCCTTAAGGCCTCCTGGAGCTCCATCTGCATAACAAAAGACAGAGAGGATTCTAAAACCCTCCAGTGACATTGTTAGGAACTGGCAGGCAGCCAAGCCCTGCTGAGATAGGGCCATTGTTGTGATTTGCTAATTGCAGCATTAAGGCGACCTATCACAGGTGGGTTGTGTGTTTTGCCTTGGCTGGCTTAAGGGATGTGGGTGGCACTGTGTTCTAAACCACTGAACCTCTTGGGCTCGCCAGTCATAAGGTTGGCAGTTCGAATCTCTGCAACGGAGTGAGCTCCCGTTGCTCTTTCCCAGCTCCTGACAACCTAGCAGTTTGAAAGCATATCAGTGCAAGTAGATAAATAGGTACCATTGAGGCAGGAAGGTAAACGGCGTTTCAGTGCACTCTGGTTTCCATCACGGTGTCTCCTTGTGCCAGAAGTGGTTTAGTCATGCTGGCCACATGACCTGGAAAGCTGTCTGTGGATAAACCCCGGCTCCTTCGGCCTGAAAGCAAGATGAGCGTTGCACCCCTTAGTTGCCTTTGCATGGACTTAACCTTCCAGGGGTCCTTTACCTTTTACCTTTTACCTTTACCTTTAAGGTAAATATACTGGTCCAAGTGCCCCTGTTTGTCATTCTTGTTCCTGTTGATGCAATAAATCCTTTTGAGCTGGTCTTGGGTCATGCCTGAACCCACCTACACCTGTGGTCACCAAAAATTGCTTTGCTTCCTATCCTGCAGATGGGAGCTTGCCCATCATCTGAGCAAAGGGGTCAGATATAGCCCATGTCTCGGCTTACTTTCAATCGCTGTTTTTTTAATGTGTGCAAGCTTTGTACGTGTTATTACCGACTAGTCTTGGCTAGAAATTTATGGACACATTAAGAAGGGAGGATATGGATGGGGGAGGATATTTATTACTTTGTTTTATTGGATTTAACATCAGTATGTAAGCAGAAGCTCTAAAGATGAATGGATGGTCGTTGTCAATGGAAAAGGGATGGTAACAAGAGGCTGGGAGCTTAAATGGGGTCTGCAAAAAGGATTTTGTAAACCGCAGTCGGAGTTTGCTCCCAAGAGGAATGCCCTTGTTAGGCAAATGCAGATCCTTCTTCAGCAGTTGGAAAGCAAGGACATAAGTTGTTGTATGAGGACGTGAATTGCCTGCGTCTTGGAACTAGAACTTGTGCTGGTTTTAATCAGAGTGATTTCATTTGCTTTAATAGAGCTATGCTGATTTATACTGGCAATTATACAGGAGCACCGCGCAGTTTTAAATAAATTTATAGTCCTTTTGAAAATAGTCAAGATTAGCTCGTTCCTTTTCTGTCTTTCCTGCGTGGGCTCGGAAAACCCCTTAACGAAGCCAAACAGAGTTGTCTATATGACAGCTCACATTAATGGAATTATAATGATGTCACATATACGAATAAGAATTTCTTTTTCTCTCTTTTCAGCTATATAGATGAGGGTTTTTTTTAGCTGTCTCTGATATATAACAACGAGTTTGGCAGGGAGCAGGGTGTATTCCAGTATTTTGGGGGTCTGGGGTTAGTGTGGTGTAGTGGTTAAGAGCAGTGGACTTGTAATCTGGGGAACCGGGTTCGCGTCTCCGCTCCTCCACATGCAGCTGCTGGGTGACCTTGGGCCAGTCACACTTCTCTGAAGTCTCTCAGCCCCACTCACCTCACAGAGTGTTTGTTGTGGGGGATGAAGGGGAACGAGATTGTTAGCCGCTTTGAGACTCCTTAGGGTAGTGATAAAGCAGGCTATCAAATCCAAACTCTTCTTCTTCTTCTTCTTCTTCTTCTTCTTCTTCTTCAAAGTGAGCCCAGACATGGGACCCTTTCCAAAACAGCCCTTTTGTTCTTCTCTTAAACGGGTTGTGCTGCGGCAGTCACTAAGTGGCAGCAGTGTGTAAGCTTGATGAAATCCCACGAGATCTCGCGAGATTTCAGTAAGATATTGCCAGTGGTGGGGGGCACCTCTTGGGCTTCTGCCACCCAAGGTGGCTGCCTCACCAGGCTTCATGGGCAGGGCAACCCTGATTTTATCACCCTGTTTTAGAATTGGTTGCAGAAAAATGCCGAATGATATGGTCATTTTCACTCCCGGTGTGGACTTTTTAATCTACTACACACTTTTTGAGATACCTGACACCAAATTGTCGGTACAAGTTAGTACTGTATGCTAGTTCAGCTATGCTTTCCAGAAATATGTCTGGTTTCTTTATGGGGGGGGGGTTGTCCCTCAGAATATGATAGCAATCCACCACACTTGGCACCAAACATCTCTCCACTAAAGAAAAAACCCACACATCTTTTCAGTCAGCACCCAGGATCATCTACAGGAGAGTTCCATATGCACCAGATGGATAATCTTCCTAACTCAACTCAGGACAGCTGGGGGCAGCAGATAACAGTAGGTCAGTAATATTATATGTGCATCTAAATGGGAAAGGTTCAAGAAAGGCATGTTATACGTTTTATCTCCGAGGGATATACCATCCTATTTATACTGATTCTAAATATGCTAGTAAACAGATCCTAAATACAAGAGAAGCACAGTTAAGCACAGCAGAATGCTGAACTTAATGATAAACATTAAATAGTCTGTCTGAACAGATCTTGGGCCTTGAGGCCAATGGCTCATTAAGTCCGGAAAGGCAGAAAGAACTGGGGTAAATCTGACTCTTGCCATAAACATTTAAGCTTCTTTTCAGCCTTCAGCGCCTAATGTGCTTCTCTTACGTCTTTTTTGCAACTGTGCATAGTGTGTGTGTGTGTTTGTGTGTGTGTTGTGTGTAGTAACAGCTTTGTTCCAACCTCACGGTGTTCATCAGTCTAAAACACATTTACAGAAATTTTGCAATAATTAAATATTCCAGGTGGAATCCAATGTCACACTCTTAGGAACGTTCTGTCTGCAGAAGCATTTCAGCCTGTCAGGTGGAATGATCCTCCCCCTTGTGCTGTTCTGGGGTTTCCCCCGACTCCCCTGAGCCAATTTGGGGGGGTATGTTGTGGGGGAGGAGAGAGGGAAAGCCCCATGGCATAAGCAGAAGTTTTTGTGTGAGCCTCCTGCTGACAGGGCTTCCTAGGTCAGGCATCCCCAAACTTGGCCCTCCAGATGTTTTGGGACTACAATTCCCATCATCCCTGACCACTGGTCCTGTTAGCTAGGGATGATGGGACTTGTAGTCCCAAAACATCTGGAGGGCCGAGTTTGGGGATTCCTGCCCTAGGTAAATCCCATCCATTCACTCACTCACTCACTCCAGTGTTAGAAACTGAGATATGAAAGCTAGGAGCTAAATTGCACCTTGTACCTAGGTTATGAGCGCAACAGCGGAATGTCTAGGCACATTTTTTTATAACGAAAATACAAAGCTGAAAATGAATGAACTGCAGCTAAAATCTTACATTCATTTCCACATGGTCTAGTCCTTCCCCTGCCCACCACCCTAATATTCTTAAGAGGGTCTCTTCTCCAGTCTTCAAAGAATAGCTGGAAGGGGGAGGCAGAAAAAGGTCCTCCTTTCCTTCCATTCTGTAGTTTTAATCTGAATTCTCAGGAGCTGTACTGCACCCAGAGCTCAGAAACTGCTCGCGCCAATGAAATTCCCTGTTGCAAAATGCGCCTAGGAGTGTCAAACGCTCATCCACTAACATTACTCAAAGTCCAAACTTTGACTTTTCACCTGCTTCTAGTAGTCAGTGCATTTGGATGGAAATTGATACTGCATCTTCAGAAGAGGGGTAGGAAGCAGGATGAGATACTTTTAGTACAATCCTATCCATCCAATCCTATCCAGGGACGCGGGTGGTGCTGTGGGTTAAACCACAGAGCCTAGGACTTGCCGATCAGAAGGTCGGCAGTTCGAATCCCCGTGACGGGGTGAGCTCCCGTTGCTCGGTCCCTGCTCCTGCCCACCTAGCAGTTTGAAAGCACATCAAAGTGCAAGTAGATAAATAGGTACCGCTCCAGCGGGAAGGTAAATGGCATTTCCGTGCGCTGCTCTGGTTCGCCAGGAGCGGCTTAGTCATGCTGGCCACATGATCCGGAAGCTGTACGCCGGCTCTCTCGGCCAATAAAGCGAGATGAGCGCCGCAACCCCAGAGTCGTCTGCGACTGGACCTAATGGTCAGGGGTCCCTTTACCTTATCCATGTCTATTTAGAAGCAAGTGGACATAGCATTACAGCCCGACTTTGGACTGTATGGTACCCTAGAAAAAGAAAACATATAAGAAGAGCCTCCTGATTCAAACCAATGGCCTATCTAGACCAGTGTTCTATTCTCACGGTGGCCACCCAAAGAGAGAGACAGAGAGAATAAAATCATTTTAATGATAATGACCATTTCATTATACTTAGCTTGAGTTTTAACCACAGTTGACTGAAACAGTTGCATCCTTCTTTCGTTTTGTACAGTTCTCCTAATGAACTTTTAAAATGCAGCCAGTTCATTTTCAGCTTCTCCTTGTGCCTCCTGGTCCTTCAATTTATGTCCTTGTTAGCTCATTCACATGACTCTGCTCAAACCAACTTCTTTCAGAACATAAAATTATACTCAATGATGGGAAGGAAGGAATGATGTATTCATTGCGTCTGGAAGTAGCCAGTGATGAGTTCCTACATTATTCATTCCAGGAAAAATTAGCACAAAGACTGGATCAGAATTGTTTTTGCTTTCGTCTAGAAAATAGCAATACTGCATCTGGCAAGTTGATCCTTGGAAGGAGGCTGTTCGGATAGTTGCTGACCTGTGGACTGAGGGTGGTTTAGAGTTCCCCCAAGCCTACTGACCACTCCCTTTTGTGTAAGAATGATGTTGTTACCAACAGTCAGAATGAGTTAACTACAGTGGTGCCTCGCAAGACGAAAAGAATCCGTTCTGTGAGTCTCTTCGTCTAGCGGTTTTTTCGTCTTGCGAAGCAAGCCCATTGACGGATTAGCGGATTAGCGCTATTAGCGGCTTTTAGCGGCTTATCAGCTTATCGGATAAGCAGATAAGCGGCTTAACGGCTTAGAAAAAGGGGGGGGAAGGGGAAAAAAACCGCAGGAACTCGCAAGACATTTTCGTCTTGCGAAGCAAGCCCATAGGAGCTTCGTTTTGCGAAGCACCTCCAAAACGGAAAACTCTTTCGTCTAGCGAGTTTTCCGTCTTGCGAGGCATTCGTCTTGCGGGGCACCACTGTATTAGTACATAGAATCTAAAAAATGTTTGCAAGGAGAAATCTAGGATTCAACCACAATTCTCTTCAGATAGTACAGTGATTCAATTTAAGTTTCATTAATGTTTACAGTACTCTGAATGGCTCTCTACATTGTAAATTTTCTTCCTTTCTTATTATAAAGTCTGTTATGCTTGTTTGAGTCCGATGCTTCAGAAGACCATTTGTGACTTAAAAAGTGGTGGCTGTGTTGAGACAGCTTCTCCTGTGCTTCAAGCAAGTGTAACAGACAGGAGAATCTGGCAGATGAGGGCAGATGTTCAAATCATCCTTCAGGGCTTGAAAAATTCTTTGCATTTTTACCTAATTAAAACAAAAAAAAGGGGGTGAAGAGAAAGTTTGTCAGGGCTATAAAAGTGTTGCACACACATATGTACTGTAGTTACATTCCTGTAACTGAACAATGTGGGGCAACAGGAATGTATTCTGTATGGGCCTCATTGCAATTTCAAAGAGCTTTCAGTTGTCAAACAGTGCCTCTAGATATTCTGGAACAGGTACGTATGCCAACACCTACACTATCATCTATCCAAATGACCAAGGCTGATTTGAACACGTATTGAAATGGTTCTAGAGAATCCATGTCATCCATGAATTCCTGTAGCTGCCCCATCATGGCCCACTCCAACCCCTTTCCTAAAAAGGCAGTATTTGTGAGTGGTCAGTAATTAGTCCAGACCAATAGGTCCAGGGACAGCTTCTTTAAGAGTGGTGGTACCACCATCTCATTCAAGGCAATAGAGACAATCCCCTCCCTTAATGAACTGGTAACCATTGAATGTCCTTCTCCCTGCCACATATGAATCATCTATTCCTTGATTTAGATGTCTTGTGATTACATATATTTTTGTCCAGACTTTCCACAATCCATAAGGTTGGACCCTGCTGTTTCTGAATTATTGTTTTACATGTTTTTATAATGCTGTTTTGTGATATTGTTTTATTGTATTCCTGTTAGTTCTGTATACTGCTTTTAAATATTCAAAATATTTTTAAATGTTTAAATACTTAAAAGATTTTTAGAAATGCTTTTGAATAAATGAACAAAACATCTGGAGGACATCAGGTTGGCATAGACAGACCTATGTCTTGCCAGCTTGACTCCCAGAAAGTTCACCTGCCCCCTCACCACATTTCCCTGCATTTTATAGATCCATTTTTGTTGTTTAATATCTGACTTAATGTGCTATTCAAGAATCATAATGCAAATACCTGTCCTTCCTTGTCCTTTCTCAGCCTTGGCTCTTGAATTTAATATCAAGAGCAGTATGCAGCAATCTAAATTTTTACCTGATACCCTTAGAAACAATTTATGGGGAAGAAACAAAAAAACAAGAAATCCATCTTTTGTCACAATTGTGATTGTTTCCTCATTTGCAAGTGTTTCCATTATGTGCTTTTGGAGGCCTGAAATTTATTAATGTCACAGAAACAATTGCTCAAATTCAAATGGCCAAAGAATCTCACTGAATGGAAGTCGCTTGTGTTGATTGTCATATGTGAAGCAATTCAGGTGCGATCCTGGAAGCAACAAGCTGAGCTGAAATTTCTCAGAAGACTTTTTACCCCCATGAGAAATATGCTGAGGTTTTCCTCTCTCACTCTTCTTCTAGAGAAGAAGGTGAGAATCTTTCAGGACCTTCTCTGTATATTATTCGCTATTGTTTTCTGGCAGGAGACAAACACAAACCCCTCACCCTCCATCCTGGAATGACACTAGGCTCAGTACAGTATGAATGATACAGAATGATAGCTAGGCTGCCAACACGGCGGCAGCTGTTGTCGCTTGCAGCAGCAGCAAAAATAAAAAGTAAAGAACCTTTTGGTGGAGCAGGGCGGGGGAGAAGGCATGCATAAGAAAAGCCCCGCTGGATCAGACCAGTGGCCCATCTATTCCAGCATCCTGTTCTCAGTGACCAATCGGATGCCTGTGGAAAGCCTGCAAGGAGGACCTGAGCGCATAAGCTGTCTCCCCTCCTGCATTTTCCAGCAATTAGTATTCAGAAGCATACTGCATCCAACCACAGAGGAAGAACGTAACCACCATAGTTTCTGACCACTTTTCCTCCACAAACTTGCCTAATCCTCTCTTATAGCCATCCAAGTTGGTGGCCATCATCATGGGAGGGTGTATTTTTTGTATAGGAGACTGAGAATATAAAAAAAAATACAATCAATATTAAAATTAGTTAACACAATTGATCTATTTGAAAACAAGCAGGTCAGCACACATCAAAATAGCCTTGCTGATAGTCAACGCATTACATTTCCGACCCTCACAATTATGCACTATAATCATGGACTGTTCACTGGCTTAGTTTCACACTTCACTAATGTAATGGGTTTAGGGGTTGCTCGTGCGTAAGTTGCCGCCACTCCTGGCTAGGTTACCTGGTTAACCCTTTCTGACTGAACAGCCTCCAGCATCGTGACTGTCTCAGTCGCTGGCAGAATCCGTCAGTGGGCGTTTCTTAAACTTCTTCCAGCACAAAAGTTCATTGACGCCAAGTCTCCTCCTACTCTCCCTGCGCGGAAGTCTTCTGCGCAGGGAAGGTGTGGGCAGTGGAGTACCCGTACTCTCTCCGCTGGTCTCTGGCGAGGAGTCTTGGAGCCTTCTCCCCGATTCCCCCATCTGCCCCCTTCTCTACTGGTGTTACGCTGATTTCCTTCCCCAGCAGACGGGCTCCCTCTCTCCCTACTGGGACCCTCTCCGCCATCCCTTTGGAGCCTTCCCTCCGCTTCCAGCTCCGATGGCAGTTCCCTGACAACTAAGTTCTACTTTACTAGGATTGCCATATTTTAAAAAATGTAAAATTCCTGACACCCCAAAGTTGTTGAGCCCCAGAATCTCCAAGAGCCAATTCTTCTTCTTCTTAGAGCAGAGAAGGAAGGGATTCCCCCCAACTTTTTTTTAAGCGTGAAAAACCCCTGGGAGACCCCCCCCATGAAAATGGCCAGGCTCTATTGCACCCCTTTCTCCAACACGGCCCCCACCTTACTTTCCTCTCTACTACACCCCACCCAGCTGCTCAGGCCCCCAACAGCCCTCAGAAATGTGTGTTGAGGCACTGCAACCTTCCCCCCCAAACTTACCACAGCCGGTTATGTTCCCCTTCCTCACAGTTTGCTGCCCTCGCTATTCAGGCCTATCCAGGTCTCGTTTAAACTCTTTCCTGTGCACACGCACACACTGTTCCCTGCCTGGCCCCCATCTCCGCCTTGATGGTGCTGCAGCTGAAAGTGGACGGTGGCCATGAATGGCTGAAGCCCACCCTGACAATATGAGGATTTGCTTGCAGCCATGTTCCTGACGTTATGGGACACAGGTGGCACTGTGGGTAAAACCTCAGCGCCTAGGACTTGCCGATCGCATGGTCGGCGGTTCGAATCCCCGCGGCGGGGTGCGCTCCTGTCGTTCGGTCCCAGCGCCTGCCAACCTAGCAGTTCGAAAGCACCCCCGGGTGCAAGTAGATAAATAGGGACCGCTTACCAGCGGGAAGGTAAACGGCGTTCCATGTGCTGCGCTGGCTCGCCAGATGCAGCTTGTCACGCTGGCCACGTGACCCGGAAGTGTCTGCGGACAGCGCTGGCTCCCGGCCTATAGAGTGAGATGAGCACACAACCCTAGAGTCTGGCAAGACTGGCCCGTGCGGGCAGGGGTACCTTTACCTTTTTATGTGCCTGATGGGTGAGCGGAACTAACACGGCCACCTCAACCCCCTCAGGCGAGGTGGCTGTGCCAGCAGCTCCTGAGTGCCCAGCTGCAGACCCCCTCTAGCTGCCTCCGCCACCATGACTCCGCAGGACACCCCGGCATGGAGTCCCTTTTTCAACCAGCTAGGGGCAGCTAGACCGCTATGTTGCCTCCCTCCCTCCACAGCCTCCTCACTCCCCCCTCCCCCGGCTAAGGGAAGTGACATTTTGTCACTTCTGCTGCTGCTGCTGGGGCAGCCTCCCCAGGAAATAAAAAAACAAAAATGGGAGGGGGGCGGGTTGCCATACATTCGGGAAATTACGGAGATTTCTTAACCTTCAACAAATTTCCACGGATGCTATTTTAGGTGTCCGATTTCTGTACAGTGGTACCTTGGGTTAAGAACTTAATTCGTTCCGGAGGTCTGTTCTTAACCTGAAACTGTTCTTAACCTGAGGTACCACTTTAGCTAATGGGGCCTCCCGCCGCCTCCGTGCCGCTGCTGTGCGATTTCTGTTCTCATCCTGAAGCAAAGTTCTTAACCCGAGGTATTATTTCTGGGGTAGGGGAGTCTGTAACCTGAAGCGTCTCTAACCTGAAGCGTGTGTAACCTGAGGTACCACTGTGCATGTCTGGAATTTTCTGGATGTATGGCAAGCCTAACTTTACTGCTTCCTGTCCAGAGAAACAAACAATGCTATATTGTGCCTGTGTGAATTGTAAAACACTTGCAATGTTCAACAGATACTCATTACCTAAAACCGACAATCTCAGCTGTAACTATCATTGCCGACTCAGAAGTTAAGCTGTGTCCAGCTGAGCTAATCCATTCTATGTATGTATATAAAATAAAATAAAATAATATTTATGCACAATGAACAAAAATATAGCTATTTCTTTTTCACTGGCACTGCAGAAATATTATTCTCTTTCAGGACCGCATTTAGGCTAGATTTGTATGCCTGGACTGTCTGACGGGGGGTGGGGTGGGTTTATTTTGGGATTTAAATGGACACTTTGCTTTGGTTGCTGTGGAAACCCTAGGTTCATTTAGGGACTTTAATAGTCCCTTCCACAGGGTTGCTGTGAGTACTTCTTCACATAATTAATCTGTGGATTCCTAGGATGTTGCGATGACGACGCTTACTAATATAATAGTATATATAGGTAATTGGTTAAAATACATGGAACAGCAGTATAGAAATGACTACAAAGTCATAATACCAAAAGTACATCCTCTATGTTCATAGACAGTACACTAAATTGTTAATAACAATAATTTATTATTTATACCCCAGCCACTCTGGGCGCCTCCCAACAGAATATTAAAAACATGATAAAACATCAAACATTAAAAACTTCCCTCAACAGGACTGCCTTCAGATGTCTTCTAAAAGTCAGATAGTTGTTTATTTCCTTGACATCTGATGGGAGGGTGTTCCACAGGGCGGGCGCCACTACCAAGAAGGCCTGGTTCCCTGCAACCTCACTTTTCACAGGGAGGGAACCACCAGAAGGCCCTTGGAGCTGGACCTCAGTATCTGGGCTCAATGATGGGGATGGAGACGCTCCTTCAGGTATACAGGACCGAGGCCATTTAGGGCTTTAAAGGTCAGCACCAACACTTTGAATTGTGCTCGGAAATGTACTGGGAGCTAATGTAGGTCTTTCAGGACCGGTGTTATATGGTCTCAGCAGCCACTCCCAGTCACCAGTCTAGCTGCTGCATTCTGGATTAATTGTAGTTTCAAAGCTAGTTGGGCTATTGATGATCCAATTTTTATGCTTTCTCGTTTCCCCCCTTTTTTTTCTTAGCAATGTGGCACATTTGGAAATAGGGAGGCAGCTGACTGGGAACAATGGGAGGAAAGGCATGGCTACTTAGGGTGAAGACATCTCTCTTCCTGAACACTTGAAATATTTTAGTGACTCATTTAAAATACAGCCACCCTACCTTTCTCTTCTACCCAACTATTCAAGGTGATCAATATAATCATGAGTTAAAAACAAATCCAATATATCAAACTAAAATCTCAAAAAGAAAACATCTTAAATAACAGCAGAAAAAAATGATGATGCCAGAATTGGATGATTCCTCAAAGGTAGTCAAATCCAACCCACAGCCAATGCAGAAAATCCATTAGTGGGATTTCTTTACAGTGAATAAATGTGGGACTCCTTGTCCCCTTGTTTCTTGTTGGAGAGAAATGCTGAGCTACGAGATCAGACCACAGAAGCCGTAAAATAACTGCTGTGCCCTCACCTTACTCAGTTACATATAATTTTTGTGCAGTTTTGAGTGAAGGAGGACTTTTGAGATGCTGTATGTTTAAAGCCATTACACAAATAGCAGCAATATGAGGCAACCCTCTCATTTAACTCCACAGCTTTCCCAGAAAGAATTTACTGAGAAAGACACCTCACAGAAAACAAATCAGGATTGCAGCTCTTGAGCTTATTACCATCCATTGCACAAAGTAGTGTGCACTTTACAGATACATCTTGGTGGCTAATTTTTTTTTTTTTTAAAGGGGGAAAGAGCTCTTTCTGCTTTGCTGGATTGTTGACGTTACTTACCCAGGTAGGCTCAGTAAAGTTCTCAAAAATATTTATCACAGACATATTATGGCCTCTTTAGCTGAAACGTGTTCAAGTCATAGATACTAAGGCTGCAGGTGATAAATGTTCTTTAATGGCTCATTATTCTGCTCTGCAAGTGACTCTTTATGAGGACAATGAAAAGTAGACTTCAACATATATCAGTGTCAAAGCAGAGCAACTTAGATTGTAACCCTAAACACACATACCCAGGAATAAGGCCTATTGAATACAGCTGGACTTACTTCTGAGTAAGCATGCATAGGGTTGCACTAATATACAACATACAATAGGGGAGTGCAACCAAATAAGAGGATGTTAGACAAAAACGTGTGGATTTTTTGATGAATATTGACAACTGAAGATGTAAAACACAAGAACATATGGAAGGGAATATTCATGGCTTGTGAAGGAAGTAGAAGTATCCTAAATCATCATCATCTTTTAAAAATACCCATTAATTGGATTAAGTTCTAAGGAAGTGCTTAAAATCCTGTCATAAAAAGAACTTACAGTATAAGTGCACCAAATGTCTGGAGTCTGGATTTAAAGTAGTTTTTTGTGGGGCAGGCAGAATATTCTCTAGGAAAAAAGGAACGTTTCAAGAATGTTCACCTTTTGTGTGTTTCCACAACAGATGTAGCTACAAACACACACAGACACAAAGGGGTTTACACCTGAGTTGAATAGGATTCAGAATGCAGCAGTCTGATTGGTCCACAGGAGCCACCCAATCCAGCTCCAGGTGGAAGTGAATCCACAACCTGATTGGCCTACAGGTGAATCCCGGAATTAGCCAATCACGTGGGGCCTATTGTGTAAATAATGTATATAAAGCAGAAATTCCATTCCTCCTCACCACTATGAGCTGAATAAAGAGCATGAAATCCACTCTCTACTCCGAGTATATATCAATAATGTACAGTGGTACCTCAGTTTTCGAACGTAATCCATTCTGGAAGACCGTTCGAGTTCTGAAACGTTTGAAAACCAAAAACTCAATATGGAAGCCTCAAAACAGAAAACTCAAAACGGAAAACGCCGTACTGTTTTTAACACTTGTTTGGGAGCTGCCCAGAGTGGCTGGGGAGGCTCAGCCTGATGGGCAGGGTATAAATAATAAATTATTATTATTATTATTAGGAAGCCGACTTGAAAGTTCGACTTCCGAGGCACATTCAAAAATGGAAGCATTTATGGCGCTTGAGTTCCGAAACGTTCATCAACAGAGACGTTTTAAAACAGAGGTACCATTGCATATACATAGAAACATAGGAAGCTTCCTTATACCAAGTCAGACTGTTGGTCCATCTAGCTCAGTACTGTCTACACTGACTGGAAACAGCTTTTTTGGATTTCAGGCAGAGCTCTCCACCAGCCCTACCCAGAGCTGCCAGGGATTGAACCTGGGATCATCTGCAAAACAGATGCTGTATCACTGAGCTGCGGTCCTTCCGCTAACAAATATACAACTTTGGTACAACAAAGAAAGAAGAAAAAACCCACCCAAGTTTCATAGTATATTGTCAAAGAATTGTATTTGTGTGTAGGACCGACCCAAGGCATTTTGGCACCTGAGGTGAATCACAAAATGGCGCCTCCCCTGCCAGGGAAGAAGGAGTGAGTGAAGAGCTACATCAGGAGCAAGAGGGAAAGAGGGAATAGGAGCCTATTCTTTTCAGAAACAGTGTGAACCCTGGAGAACACAAAACAGGAATCCCTCAAGGAATCACAGAGTTCAAAACTCATGCATGTTTAGTCAGAAATAGGTTTCACTGGGATCAAAGGTGCTTGCATTCAAAGACAGGATCCTGCTGCGACATGGCTCAAAGGATAGGAGTCATTCTTGGGTGCCCTGCGGGCAGAGGATTTGCAATGGCAGCTCACGAAGTTTCAGCTGCAATGGTAAAGATCAACAGAATTTATTTCACTGTTCACCAGGAGCAGCTCAAGCCATTTTGCTGCCTGAGGTGAATTTGCAGGGATGGTGCATTCCCCATTCTGTGCCCAAAATCTGACTAAACTGGTAGTTGGATCTTATTGCAGCAATGGTGATAAAACGAAGTCTTCCACCACACTTGAGGGCAGCAAGCTAGCTTAGAAGATGCAGGGCAGACAACATGGCACACATTTCTAGCCAATTTCCGCCCCTCAGAATTTTCCACCTGAGGCAGCTGCCTCACTCTGCCGGTCCTGTGTGTGTGTGTGTGTGTGTTTGTTTGTGTATGTTTGTGTGTATTACTTAAAGGTCAACATGTTCAAATATCAGATCTTTTAGTGTGATCATATCAAAATGTCTTCATACCATGCAGGATCTGACTTCAAGAGGGATGAATTCAGAACTAAATGCCTAGCCAGTGACAATATAAATCCATTCATTTTGATGAACCATTTTGCGAAGTGTCGTTATCTAAAAAGAAAAATAACCTAAAATTCTTCCCTGATTGTGCTTTAACAGATTTTGTACAGCCCACTAACTGTTACTCACACTAATGTCTGAACACTACCGTCACCAAAACTACCCATTCCACTTAGAATGACGCAAAGCCACTCTACAACCTAATTACTTTGCAATTATCTAGATTACCTCTTAATCGTCCTTTATAGTGAACATAGTTAACTCCCACATAACCTCTTGTTTCAGGGAACACTGTTGAAGAACTCTAGCGCTTAACAACAAGATGAAACAGGCTTGTGGTTTTAGGATATCTAGTGCAATTTGCAGCTGTTTCCTGGTTTGCAAAAAAACACACCAAAACAACAACAACAACAAACAAACCCCACCCACACAATCCCAGTTTGTTTTGGCAATTTGGAGTGCTGGTGCTGAGTGATGGCAAACCTGAAATCGGAAACTGATTTTGGAGCTGGCACAAAGAAAATCTACAAGGTGGTTCAAGGGGAAGTGGAAGGCTGCAGATTTAGTTTACACATGTGGTGTCTTCCCTTCCCCCCCTTTTTGTTCTATGTCCATTATGGGAGGACACTTAGCTGGCCAGTCACTTGCAAGAGTTCTGCTGACAAGTGGTTTCTGATGGGCAGCCAGTGGCCATGATTTCCCACCTCCAGAAATACATTCTGTGTGGAACGTCATAGTGCAAACCTACATAGTGCATCTTTTTGGAGCAGGGAACTCATCAGTGCTCCATCAGCAGAGCTTTCATTCTGGGTGACCAGCTCCTTAATCTTAATCTCCATTACTCTCCCCCTGCCCCTGAGACAAGGAATCAGAAGGAATCCACTGCTCCACCATACTACATACATACCTCCCTCTTCTTCCCTCTTCTCAGAATTACCTCATCTTCCTGGAAATTGGTAAAATGCCCTTTTCCAACTCACCCTCTATGAGTTGAATTGGGGTATTTGATTGGGGTAGGGAATTTTCCATCAGCCCTAATAAGTTCCTTGTGGGTTTCCTGAAAGCATGTGGTTGGTCACTATGAGAACAGAAAACTGGACTAGATAAGTCTTTGGTCTGAACTCAGCAGGCCTTGTCTGATGTTCCCAGAAGCTGAGAAAATAGTCATAACCCAGTGTCCCATAATTGTGGAATCATTTTAAAGCAATAATGACTATACAGGAAATCAGTTTACGTTAGATAAGCATAAACAGGAGGGCAACAACTGCAAACATTTGTGAGCAGAGGGTTTGGGGGGCAGGGATACAGAAGATTTTCATAAGTGAGCCACCCTGCTCCACACCATGTTGGTAAACTGTAGTGTCACCTGTCTTAGGAGGGACACTTTGCAGTTCTGCCCCACCAAACCAGCCGCTACTGCATGCTGCTCATAAGTTCTTGCAGTGTTCATCCCCTGCTAGGGTTACCATATTTCAAAAAGTAAAAACCAGGACACCCCGAAAGTTGTTGAGATTTTCTTTTTCATTTTTTTTTCTAATTGATATTTATTAAATTTTCAAAGAATAACAACAAAAATTTCCAAAAAAAGAAAAAAGAAAAAAAATTGAAGATACAAAAAACAAAAATAGTACATAAACAAAAAAGAAAAGAAAACCCAGCCGCAAAGAAGAAAAAAGAGAAACAGAAAAACAAAAATATGAAGTCCTTTACAATCTCTATTGACTTCCTTTCTAGACTTCCTCCTCCTCCCCTCTTTTGTTTCTTAATTTTTAATTTTTACAGCAAATCCTTTCTATTTTTTCATAACAATCTGTCATTACGTTTCCTTATTCTATTTTCCCTCTTGTCATATAAAAACTTTAAACCTTTTTACGAATCATTTACCAATCCTTACTTAAGCCATGTAATTTCATTCAACATCCTTCAAACATTTATAAGCATTCCCAATATTAAAAGATAAAAAGGAAAAAATAATAAGTCAAATTCAGTCCAGTCAGCTTCCAACCTCCCCTCCCCTGGACCCGGGATTGTCAGTCCTTTTAACCTCTTAACCTGGTTGTCTCGTATCCGAGGCCCTCAAGTCTCTTTCTTGCCCCTTTCGCCACTCTTGTTGATAATTCCCTTCCAGTCGTGGATGCTCCAGCAAGAAAATGCTTTTAACCCTTTGCGGCAAGTCCATCCCAAACCCATTGCCCAAGCCAGACAGCAAGTAATACCACTTCAGATTTCCACAAAGCTTGGAGACTTCGGCTGCTCCAATCCTCTGATAGCCCATCACCAGACTCGGAAGGTCCAAATAACCATATGGAGGGGGGTCGATCCATCCCCCCATTTCCAAATCTAACCACATTTCATCTTTCCGAATCTGGTTTGTCCCAAGTTCATTTGTCAAGTTCAAAGGCTGATCTTGCCCGTCCAAAGGTCCCTCCATCTCTGAAGCCTCCGTCACTACAGCAGGTTCATATACTTGTATAGCCTTTAACTGAATTTCATTTGTTTGCTGCTGTGCTCTGGTGACTTCCATCATCAAGGTCGTCTCCTGACGCATCTGGTCCAGCTGGGCACTTAGTTTTGAAAAACCTTCCAGGAACAATTGTTCAAGCCTTTGTACTAGCATTGTTCTTCAAGGTCAAAGAAAATTCTTTCCCACGACAATAGTCCAATAGTCCTTCTCTTTTAGTCTCTCTACGTTGCAATTTCACTAAATTCCACTAGATGGAAATTTTTATTTTTATTTTTTTAAAAGGAATAAAAGCAACAGCAACAATCTTTCTTTTTCCAGAAACACTTTATCCAAAATTCCCCCTTCCAAATTCAAGAGGCAACAGTAGAATCAAAATGTTACCCTTCTTTTAACTAACTGTCGAGCTAGATAAACTTCAGAACGTCAATTCTGACAGCCCGCTCCTGGTTCAGGGCGGTGGAAAATTGCTTTATTTTAAACTCACTTCCGCAGGATTGAAGAGTCCAAATACAACCCCCTTCTTCTCCTGCAGTCGAAGGGGGGGTTCAGAAATCTTAGATGTTGAATTCTAGTTCTCTTAGAATTTAATTTTCAAGCTTTAATATATTTTGTCTTTGCTTTCTTCACATAACAAAAGAACGGAAGGCGACTTCCTGTTTAGACCTTCCCATTCCGAGTCCCAATTAAGTTCAATTTCAAGTCCAATATTATTTGTTTATTCACCAGTCTTAAAAGTGGTTCAGCTCTTCCAAGATCAGGTACTCACGGATAGATATTTTAGATGCCAAATTGTCCAGGAAAAAGGCAGCGCTCTCTGATAACGGCAGTGCGGCTTTGCTGCACGGAGGAAGCAGTCGACTCACAGCACCACGCACCCCCGCTCCGGAGCCCGTTACCGAGCTCCTGTACAAGGGGAGAGAGCGCTCTCGGTGCCCGCCGAGTCCCACGTCCACAGGCTTCTTCCGCCTGTGGTTTTTGCGGGTCCCCGCTGCGCCGTAGCGGCAGGACCCAAGCCTCCGTGCAGTGGGTTCCCTTCAGTCCGAAGGGAATTCCGCCATTTTCCGGAGGCGCCACCCCGGAAGTCCTGAGATTTTCTTTTTCACACACACACACACACACACACACACACACTTTTTCCTTGCCAAAGATCCAGGACAAACCACCACCTCCTGAAAATTCCCCCCAGACGTCACTTCCACCTTTCAAATCCCGGTAATGTCCGGGAAAATCCAGTCATATGGCAGCCCTATCCCCCACTTCTTCTGTTGCTGTACCATGGACAGAACAAGCAAGAGCTGGACTTGTTCCACCATCCAGATCTGGGTTCGCGGTTTGTTTCTCTCCAAACGAATAAACCTAGTATTTGAAGATTGTTTCAGGAAACAAAGAAGCTGGACTCTGGATTGCTTTGTTTGCCATGCAGTGGGAGCACGAGCACTTTTGAGAAGTGTGCACCAGCACACTGCTCATTCACATCAAACCACTGGTGATGTGTGAACTGGACCAACAAATGCATCATTAACTGAGATTTGCATTATGGCAAACATGGCTATGAAGTTTTCATTTTGGATTACAAGACTCCCTCCCTGACCCCCCCCATAACATTTTGTATTTTTATTTGAAGATGCAGCCACGCCTGGTGCTGCCTTGTATTTTCCTGGTTCCTCTTAACATGCACTTTGCACAATCAAAGCAGGTTTCGAGGAAGGCCCTTTGAAGCCAAGTGGACTTCAAAGTTGGTGGCAAGGCTTTGTAGTTCAGCTCATGCATCTAACTGACTCGTTTCTAAAACTGGAGGATTACAAATCCTCACTGGCTTTATCTGTTGCTTCAAACAGGAGAAATGTATAGTGGCAGGCTTGCTTTGCAATAAGGGCCTTCCTTCACTTAAAGGAGGACCTGGACAGCTGCATACTTCATCAAATGCTAAGTTACATTATCGGTTTATCGCCAAGGGGAGGGAAGGATTGAGGTTGGAGGGTTTTTTTGCCTGCATCACATATAATCCACTCTGAAGCTGTTAATTCATTCATTAGGCACCTAATTGTATTCTCTTTTTAATTAAAAAGGGTAGCAGCCCAAATGGTATATATTGTTATTCGATCTACGTAGGTGCAGGGCTACTGCACTGCTGGTAACAGCACGTTTAATTACACACACAGGGAGACACAAGTGTGTGTGTGTGTGTGTGTGTGTGTGTGTGTGTGTGTATGCTCACCTCATCAAGGTCATACCTTCTCTTTCTAGTGTGCATCTGAAATACATGGCTCACTGCCCTTAGAAAGAGAATGAAAAATGTACATCAGCAGAGACATGAAAGAGAGCCAAAATAAAGCAATGAAAACAGCAACAAGAAAAATAGATGCTGGCCTATTTTTCAAAGCAGTAAAGAGAAATCCTGGTTCTACCCTAGGATTTCCACTTTAATGTTATAAAAAAAAAAAGTAAGGGCCACCGCCATAGAAACAACTTTAAGGTTTTCTTCACATATTATGTTTGTGTAATACATAAGAAGATCTACAGAGCAGTCCTACGGATGTCATTTCAGAAGCAAGTCCCTTTCACTTCAGTGGAATTTACTCCTGAGTAAGTGTGTACAGGATCGCAGAGACAGCACGTGTAGAGCTTTGCACCTAAACATTTTATTTATTAAATGGGGGGGGGTGTGCTTTGTGCATGGAAATAATTACTGCCAAGTACTCCTCTATAGTCATTGACTCTTTTCCTGACGTATCACACTTTGACCAGTTGATTTACATCTTGTGCTATGTTAACTTCTGATGTTGAGATCGAAGAATGTTTGGTAGGCTTTGTTAGTGTTTTGTAGAGAAATATATACATGACTTAAAAGAAAAGAAAAAGAAAAAAATGAGCAACACAAAATGGTGAAAAAATGGAAAAACTAGAGGTCGCCTTTATGGCTGTCTTGTGGGAACCCAGCCTTGAAAGATTCCATGTTGGAAGTGTCAGCCTACAAGAAGAAATGCTAAATATTTGTGCTTGAGCCCATTTGCTGAAGTGTTTTACCGCCTACATTGCTACTTTGTGTGAAAGTTTTCAAAGTTTTGAGGAAGAAGTACTTGACCTTAGTGATGTCATGAGTAGAAATCATGTCTTCAACAGCAAAAAAACCCTAAACACTTCCACAGGCCCATGTCTGATGAAGCATGAGAAAATAAAGTTGTTTTGGAAGGCTCTCAAAAGTTCAGAGCAGAATCATTTTATCCAATTATTAATAGGTTACTCACTTGCATGAAGTTCACATATTAGTGCCATCAAAGTTGCACTCAACAACTTTCGATTCCTCAGCAATTTGACTGAGATGTCGAGCGAAAACATCTTCAATGCTGCTACAGATTTACAAGAATGTTACCCCCAAAGACCTTGTTAAATCATTTCCTTAAGCATTTCCCCCCAGTTGAAGTGTCTTGTGAAACTGTCATGTTTGCCACTGCCTTCTCTAAATAATATATGAGATAACAAAATGGAGGGCGCTTTCCTAAATGTAGATGTTGCCCTCTGAATTTACTTGTGGTTGCCCATCACCAACTTCAGTGCCGAGAGGTGGTTTTCAAAAATCGCACAAAGAAAAAAATGAAGTAAGGGCAAGCATGCTGAATGCAAGACTAAACACTTTGGTGCTGATGAGTGCAGAAGCAAGTCTTCTGTGCAGCCTAGTGTTTGAGAACATAATCAATGACTTTACAGAAGCAAAGGCAAGAAAAGGTCAACAGTAAGGTAAAGCTTCTTTTCTGTCTAACTCTTCATCATTTCACCGGGTACCAGACAACATATGTGCACCGTTAATTTTTAGGCACCTAACTCGCAACATTTCTTTTTATACTGCACTTTTCTAGTGCATTGTCTGCCATTGTTTTATTATTACCGCTGTGTTGTTAGTGGGTTTTGAGTTTTTATACTGCAGCAGACATATACACATATCTGAACAGTGTACAATTCTGAAAACCCATGATTGACTGGGACTGTAGTCCAACAACATTCAGAAGTTCACAGATTAGCCACCCTTGAATTAATTAACGATTAGAAAAAACAGAGTACTCACTCCTTGCGGAAACAGCTTCTCCTCAAAATGTCACTTGCAAGTTCCTGGAGAAACTGAAGGTACTTCAACTCTTCTTCTCTTCATAAGCATGAAACAGAATACCAAGATAAGTAAATTAAAGAAATACTGTTTTTTATGCGTTACCAATTTTGCTAGCAACTTCATTTTTTAAAAAATAATATTTATTGATTTTCCAACCATTTAAACACAATAAAACAGAGAAAACAAAAAAGGAAAAGAAAAAGCAAAGAAAAGAAGAGAAAAAACATAAGATTAACAAAACAAGACGCAAACCATTTAAAACACAAAACAATTTCAATATCTTAACTTTCATTCCCTTATTTCCACGACCTCCTCACACCTCCCTTTTTGTATTCCACTTCTATTAATTGTTTCAGCAATTCCTTTCCATCTTCCTCTGTTTTCTATCCTATAATTATCTTAACATATTCTAATCTTATTTTTCCCTTTAATACTCTATTAGTCTATTTATACTTAATTCCTTATAGCATTTCTACTAAAGCCATATAACTTCATTCCAACATTTTTCTAACATTCATTATTTTTACAATATTTCTATAAATAGTCTTAAACTTTTTCCAGTCTTCTTCCACCGACTCTTCTCCCTGGTCTTGGATTTCTGCCAGTCGTTTCCGCCAATTCCATATACAGTGGTGCCTCGCAAGATGAAATTAATTCGTTCCGCGAGTTTTTTTGTCTAGCGAATTTTTCGTCTTGCGAAGCACGAAATCCCATAGGAATGCATTGAAATTCAATTAATGCGTTCCTATGGTCAAAAAAAGTCCAAACAAAGCCAAATTTGGTACAACAAGAGTTTATTAAGTGCTCTTTAAAGTCACACATACTGTAAAGAGCATTTCAAAAATTGAAGGAACAATAAATTAAGTTTCTAAACATGACAGAAAAACATTTAAAAATCAACAAAGTGTACAGTACATTTTCTAAGACTCTGGGGGACAACTCGAAGAAGGTTCCTCTTCCACTCTTTGCTTCTTGCTGAAGAACCCCCTCCTCAACTGTTCCCCCAGCCACCCACCACACAGAAATTCAAATCCAGATTCTTTTTTTTAAAAAAACACAGCAGAGTGGCCCAATGGTCACAGAAAATCATAAAAATTCAGAAAAAAACCACACAAGCTTCCAGATTCTTGCAAACCCCTCCTCAACTGTTCCCCCAGCCACACACCACACAGAAATTCAAATCCAGATTTAAAAAAAACAACAAAAAACAGCAGAGTGGCCCAATGGTCACAGAAAATCATAAAAATGCAGGGGGGAAAAACAAGCTTCCAGATTATTGCAAACCCCTCCCCAACACCAAGTCCTTGAATTCCAAACACCCCAACCCAAAATCCAAAAACCCCCAAAAAAGTTTTAAAAGTTTAAAAGAAGTTTTGGAAAAGCTTCAAAAATACCAAAGTCTTCAAAAATCTCAAAAAGGCTACCACACCGCGTTCTATGAGTTGCTCCTCGAAGTCAAGTCGCAACTGTATTAACGGTGTTAAGAAAAAGGAAACAAACTTGCAAGACGTTTTCGTTTTTCGTCTTGCGAAGCAAGCCCATAGGGAAATTCGTCTTGCGAAGCAGCTCAAAAAACGGAAAACCCTTTAGTCTAGCGAGTTTTTCGTCTTGCGAGGCATTCGTCTTGCGGGGCACCACTGTAGTCCATCAACTTCATCTGCCATTCTTCCAGGATAGATAAGTCTTGTGTCTTCCAGTACTTCACAATGAGTATTCTTGCTGCTATTGTTGCATACATGAAAAGAGTTCTATCCTTCTTTAACACCAATTGGCCGGCCATGCCCAGGAGAAAGGCCTCTGGTTTCTTCAAAAAGGTATATTTAAATACCTTTTTCATTTCATTATGAATCATCTCCCAAAGTGTCTTAATCCTTGGGCATGTCCACCAAAGGTGAACTCTAATCCTCAAATTCGTCTGTTTTTCTTTAAGTTCAGTCATAGCAAGCGTCAACTTATATTCATCAAGTTGCTTCTGTAGGGCTGGGGCTCTCTTTCTCTTTCTCTCCAGTTGTGTTTCTTTACATTCAGCAACAACAGCTTTTTCCCTGGCCTCCTCCGCAGTTTGCCGTATCGAAATAGGTTCGTGTGTCAATTTCTGGGTAGTTTCTATATTAGTATTATTTATACTTTCTATATTTAAGTTAGTTTTAATGATTGAAACATCCACTTTCGCATTTATCGTGTCCATTTTCCTGTGAAGCTGATCCAATGAGTCATTGATCTTAAATAATGCAGCCACTAGAGCCTCTTCTGTCAACATTTCTCTTGGTTTTACATATACTGGTACAAAGGCTGCAACAGAAAAAGCAGGGGGCCTGATGATGGACCTCTCCTGGATTGTTGCCAAGTCCTCCCAGACCTTAATGTTTTGTCAGCAGTTGACTGGTCTGTTTTTCCTCTTCCATTTACCATAACACTTGAAAGATTCAAGGTCAGTCCCAGAGTCTTGCAGCTGGAAATTCCCCTAACCCAACTCTTGTAAAGCAACCGGTTTCAAAGGTTTCCACTAGGGGGAAACAGTTTCTATTTGTAATAGTCAATAGTATCCTCTTTTAAACAATCCAAAAATTAGTTTCAAGTTAGTTTCAATTTTCAGTTACTTTTACTCCTTTTTAAAGCAGCCGGAAACAGTAGAAACAATGTATTTCTCTTGTTTAACTAGCTGTCAATGAACGTTCTAAACGCTGTCAATGAACATTCCAAAATACGTCAGTCCTACTAGCAGCCCGTTTCCCGGGTCAGAGCAGCGGTGTTTTAGATCTCTTCGCTCTCTCCTGCAGGCATACTCAGTCCACAACTTCCCCCCCTCTTCTCCTGCCTCCAAAGAGGGGTTTTGTTCTTTACCGATGGAACTTTAATCTTTTACAAAAGACTTTCCAGGACTCCAGCTTACAGCTTCATTGCCTCAGTCTATTTACAAAAGGGGAAGGCGGACTTCCTGTTTTGAACCTCCCCGCTTCGATACCAAATTATACTTTTAGAAATCCAATTCTCCTGTTTCAGCTATACTCACGGGTAATTACTTTAAAATCAAATTGTCCACAGGAAAAAGTCAGCGCTCTCCGGCAACGGCTGTGCGGCTTCGCTCCGTGGAAGAAGCAGACGATTCGAAGCACCGCGCCACTCACCCCACGTTGCTCCGGAGCCCCGAAAACGGGTTTCCCCACGAGTAGGGGAGGCGCAGAAGGTGCCCGCCGAATCCCACGTTCACAGGCTTCTCCCGCCTGTGATTTTTTGCGGGTCTCCGCCTTCGCCGTGGCGGCCAGACCCAATTTCCCACGGGGCAAATTCCTCCCGGTCAGAGGAATTCCGCCATTGCCGGTGGCGCCAACCCGGAAGCTCGCAACTTCAAGTACATTAGATGAAAGGCAGATCAATGGGCATGACCTGTCAAATTTAAGCATTTTGTAGACCCACTGATTTGAATACGACAATAAAGCTAATAGGTGTTATTCTTGCATTTATTTTTAATGTTGTGATTGCTTCAAATACCATGAAGCATTTCAGAGGCCCTGGCTTCAACTCATGCCATGTCATGGAGATCGCATTTCACCTCTGAAATTCCAGAAATCTATCTGAGACTCCCCACTTTGCTGTGGGACTCAGGAGTCATCTGAATCTAACACATACCCCTATTAGATATGCCAAACCTGAACATACTAAAAAGGGCCCCATTTGCAATATACATTTAAAGCGGTACCATACCACTTTAAATAGTCATGGCTTCTCCCAAAGAATCCTGGGAACTGTAGTTTGTTAATGGTGTTGAGAGTTTTTAGGAGACCCTCCCCTAGTCCCCTCACAGAGCTACAATTCACAGAGTGGTTTAGTTCAAGTTCAAATTTATTGCGGCCAAAGCCAGTGACACTAAGCACCATAAGATCAGACAACAAGAAAACAGCAACAACTTTAGAAAAGAAAAAAGGTTACACAAGAGAACTTCCCAGTGTGCCATTCAACAGAAGAGATTTACGCTTCTTAATTACTAAAGTGCAAAATTTAGCCACCTCATATGATACTGAGCTTGAGGAATCTTCCAGGAGGTATTTTCGAAGAATTTCAGGGAGGATTCCAAATAATATTGAAGGGGTATAAATTTTGATAGAAGTGGTAAAATAAGTTGAACTCGTTCTTCACTATAGAATTCGCAAGATAGAAGAATGTGTGTGACAGATTCTACCTTATTAGACATACAAGGGCAGAGACGCGCATGCATTGGAACTCGCGTGAATTTGCCGTACAGCACTGCTGAGGGCATTGTCTCAAAGCGGGCTCTAGAGAAAGCCCATCTATAGGTTTCGTTAGTGATGTTAGTTAAGTAAGGGGCAGCTGCAAAATTAGGCCAAGCTTTTAAACATCTATACGTCTCTGGGAGTAGGGCGCCTTCTTGTTGTAATTCGATATCATAAAGTCTCCGAGTGATAGTAGTTTTTGCCTTGTTCAAAGTTCCAATAAAAATATTTTCAGGGTTTAGGCCAATTTGTTTGATCTTGTTAGTTATTTGCAAAAGCCAAGGAGGATAGGGAACTGCGGCCAGGAAGCAAGGTAATAGACCCTTAGGATTGTAATGGATTTTCAGCCAGAGGGATATTGCTTGTTCCCAGACTTTTAATTCCACACAGAGTGGTTTAACAGTCAATCCCTCTTCCCAGGGAGCCCTGGGAATTGTAGTTATGTACCATGAATGGAGTACAACTCAGTACCCTTAACAAACTACAGTTCCCAGGATTCTGTGCAGGGAGCCATGGCTGTTTAAAGTGGTACAGGACTGTTTTAGATGTATAGTGGGGTCTAGGGCTATTGGTCCCTTCAGCCAACTTACAGGCTACTTCACAGCCTCATGTAGTTACTGCACTAAAATCCTTTAATTGCCAGTGATAGAACAAGATAGAACCAGTTGCAGGCTAAGTCTGCTCTGTCCCTGAGGCACAAAATGTCACATCAATATGGGAACTAAGTGAGAGAATCAGGAAATAAGGCAGGAGGAGAAAGTCAGTGACACAAAAGAAAAACATAGTTTGAAGGGAACACACCTTCAACCAGCAAGGAAATCAATGCAGAGAGTAAGGAGTTAGAGCAGGAGAGAAGCACAGCAGCAGAAATGATATTTATTTTGAAGAAATTAAGGCTTCAGTTTTACATAAGTCCAGACTCTTCATTAATAGTAAACTCTTTTAAAAGCACTTATCCAACTTTGACTGTACTGCAGTCTATGAACCAGACACATCCTCCTTCTTTTTCCTTGTACGCCTATATTGTACTGATCACTGAGAAGATAAAAGTTACAAAGACAGAGAGAGGATTTGTCCTGCAAACAGGATGCTGGACTACATAACCATTTGGCTTTTGGTGTGACCCAGCAGGCCTCTTCTGAAGTTCTTATAACTCAGTTATCTTCATATTCCAGGTTGTCTGAATCTTTTATAAGCATTAGGTTTTTAGTATTGCATTACATAGGGACGGGTGTGTTGCTGTTATTATTATGATTATTATTAAATAATGTACAATATACTTACTTTGCAAGAAGCAGTGAGTGAAGAGAAATTGAGTTATGTGGGTGTTTCTACAATGGACAAAAAGAAAACAAGCAATTGCTTTATATTCTAGTATCGCTTAATCTTGTATTTTGTAATTCTACAATAGCTAGCTTCCTGCTAGATGCATTATGTGAACCAACAGTGGTCTAACCACTGTTTGCTTCTAGAAAAGTACCCTCTTTTAATAGGGAAGCTCATAAGGTACACAGTGTGTAGGCATGCACAGAGAAGATGTCCTAGGAATCAGTATGAGGAAAGGTACTTGAGAGCTGACCATAACTCTCTCGGGTGCAGTTCTTACAATATAAACCACACACTCCTTGCATTTATTTGTTTGTTTGTTTGTTTTACATGTCAATATTGTTTACAAAAGAAGTGCACTACATATCAAATTTGAGCCTGCTTTCTGCTTGGATGTAGATAACAAAAAATACTTATTGTTTTAAATAAAATAGGGCAAATGCTCAGGTACAGGCAGCTCCCATTTTGTGCACATTCAAAGCATGTGCAGGTCATTTTCTGACCCGGAAGAGGGCAGGGCATAACAGGGGAAGGGTGGGCTTATGCAACCCTTGTGCAGAGTCGGGGTTTGCCTGTAAAAACTTCAGAGTTTAAAATCTGTGAGTCCCTGATCAAATTTCACAATAGGTTCATAAGGGAGGTGTCCTTCATGCTGTTGGAAAGTTTTTTTGAGCCAGTGGAGACTTTCAGCAGTGGAACAGGAAGAGAAGGGATTTCTGCTGATTCTCCCTCCCACTGCAGTTGCCTGACCCCACTCCCCACCCCACAGTCTACTCCAAAGGGTTGAGGGACCCTTCAGAACTTCACTGGAGGTGAGGTGGGGTTGTGGGACAGAGAAAGGATCAGCAAAAATTGCCTTCATTCCTGTTCTGCTGAAAGAAGACTTCACCGGATCAAGGACCTTCTGACAGCATGAGGGTTACAATTGCGCTGTTTCTGATCTCGTGAAAAATAAGCAAAAACCCAGGCAAATTAGTCTCCCAATGGTGCCCTATTGCCCGTTGTTTTACCAAAGAGGCAAAACTATGATGTTCATTGTTGAGCCTTGCTTTGAAAGGTGCAAAACAGGTCTGGAAATTTTTGCTTAGGTAGGAATAAGCTAACCACACCATTTTTATACCAGCTCAGGAAGGCATTTATGATTATACATGTGCTTTTGTGATACCTTAGGAACATAGGAAGCTGCCTTAAACTGAGCCCACAATTGGCCCCATCTAACTCAGTATTGTCTACACTGACGAGCCCTGGATCCCAAGGGTTTCAGGCAAGGAGTTTCTCCCAGCCTTACTTGGAAATATCAGGGTTTGACTCCCTTCTGCATTCAAAGCAGATGCTCTAACACTGAGCTACAGTCCTTCCCTGCATTCTGAAACTGCTCTTATTTTCCTTTTTTTTAAAAAAAAAAATTGCATTAATCAGGAAAAGTAAAAGGAGAAACTTTACGTTCAGACGTTTTTCTTTGCTATTTTCTTAAAGGGTAAAATATGGCAAAGTGAAAGGATATTGTGTTCCTCAAGATCTGTAACAACATTACTTTAACTGAACATATTATTTGTGATTTTATGGTCTCTTTTTTTGCAGGGAGAATACTGGGTTGGGTGATTCAGCAATTATTGTTGGGTGATTCAGCAGTTATGCTTTTAAACACCTATTGTCATATCCTTTAGGGACAGCTCAGTCAGTAGAGCGTGAGACTTAATCTCAGGGCTGTGGGTTCAAGCCCCATGTTGGGCAAATGGATTCTATGATTCTACTGTTTATTTTAAGGCTAGCCCTGTTTTAGATCAAAAAGGGCCACTGTTATCATCCCCCTCGAAATACTAGATTTCCCAAGTACAATTTCCAATTGCTTTCATAACAGTTTGACTTAACAGCACCTAATAACATTATTCACTGTTTTTTAAAAAAAGTTTAGCCATTCCGGATGCATTTCTATCATGTTTCTAATTGCTTTTTAAAATCACACTATGCTCAAGACCAGAATTGCTTATATTTCTGAATATTTCTGCTCGTGTAATTTCATTCAGCACCCAAACAGGGAACAACAACCTCAACTGGATGCCTCACAGAGTAATCTGCATAAGATCTTAGACATTCATCTTCTGAAGACCTGAAAAATGAAAAATGAAATGTTGAATAACACTGACAAGCCATGGCTGTGTTTAGCCCACTACATGCAAACTAAGCTGATGAGTGGCCTACCTGTTAAACTTATTTGGTCTTTTGAACGATTGTTGATGAAGCGAGGGGCTTTTCTTTCCATGTGGGCCATTATAATACCTGTATTTTGAAAGGTATGGCTTGCTTGCTGTTTTCAAAACTCTGGGAGTAAAAGGCTGGACTGTTTCAGTGAACCACTGTGCATGTCTGTCCAGGAGATCAGCAGCAAAAAAATTCTTCTGACGGATTTGAAGCTTCTTCTTTCTGGCATGGCTCAGAACTGGTAGGCGAGACTTGGTGGATGAAAGAGGACGTTGCGGGAATATACTTCTGCCACTGTTTTGAGTCTGAGATAAAGACCACTGGACAATATCATGGATGGCCTCCTCTGCTCTCAAAACTGGGGAATGACTACTTGAAAGCATCTTCTTGAAACACGGAGGACAGTGCTGCTCTGTTTTTTTCATGGATCGCATTTGTCCACTGGAAGTGTAAGTCGGGCTGCTCTGTAGCCACTGCAGATGGGAGAAAAAACATTTCCTGACTACTTTTGTTACATTGTAGAGAAGGTATTTTTTCATGTTGTAAGCCATCTTCAGCATGGTTTAAATTATGGAAAGGCGGCATAAATAATTATGTATGTGTGCTTTTGTTCAGGACTGTCTCGGTTCACGTGTCACGGTAAACCACAGTTAATGCTACCTGGTGTTATATTGTGACTGCGGTTTGCAGGTTTGCACCTACAAAACATCACTAGTGGGCCATCAGTTGCATGGACCTGACAAAAACAATTTCTTCCAAACATAGAAGTAACCACAATACCTCATCTCTGCATCAATCTCTAAATTGTATTTGGTTAGATGTTACATGACTTCCTGCTTATAAGTCCAGAGAGAAAGTAGGCCTCTTCAGACAGGCAGGTGATGGGTTTTGGGGGCAAGTATATTCTGCAACATGTCACTGGTGCAATAATGAAGCATTAGTGGTAGATTTATACTGAACCATCCGCACATAATTAGCTGCTCAGTGATGTTACTGCAATATTGCCATCTAAAGGGCCACTCTTGAACTATAGCGACTATTGTTTTCAGCCCAGCCAGCTCTTTACCCAGCTAGGTTCCTAGTTCCATGGATTCTTTTTAATGCAAGGAAGTATTTTCTAACCGCAGGGATTTCCTTTACTTTTTAAAAATGCATGGGAAACATGCAAAACTCTGCTTACCCAAAGTCTGCAGTGGGACAAATTGATCACTTCAGAATTCTTACCCCATTATTGTGTGGCATGTTTACAGTTGAGGACTTGGTTGCACATAAAATTTACCTTGCCAGGGTCTGACTTAAAGGTAAAGGGACCCCTGACCGTTAGGTCCAGTCATGGACGACTCTGGGGTTGCAGCACTCATCTCACTTTACTGGCTGAGGGAGCCGGTGTACAGTCATGTGGCTAGCATGACTAAGCTGCTTCTGGCGAACCAGAGCAGCGCACGGAAAGGCCGTTTACCTTCCCGCCAGAGCGGTACCTATTTATCTACTTGCACTTTGATGTGCTTTCGAACTGCTAGGTTGGCAGGAGCAGGGACCGAGCAACAAGAGCTCACCCCGTTGCGGGAATTTGAACCGCTGACCTTCTGATTGGCAAGCCCTAGGCTCTGTGGTTTAAGCCACAGTGCCACCCGCGTCCCTAAGTCAGGGTCTGACTTAGAAGTCCCCAAAAGCTGTGGGGTTTTTTTTTAGGTGGGAGCAGGTTTGCCACGATGGCATCACTGTTTCTTGTTGAGGTGAGGCAAAAACAACAGGATGAAGTGAGTGACTGGGATATTGAGCTGAAGGTGGCACTGAACACAGCTTAGGTCATCGTGTCAATGTTTATGGCTAATGTCTCCGACTCACAGGAACATGCCAGATCACATGGGGAATGTGCCAATTAGTTTCAGTTGCAGAGTGGGCGAAACAAATGGTGCTGGGGAAAAGAGTTTAAATTAAGTACTGACTGCGCAATGCCTGGCTTAATGCTAATGTAATAGTAATAAGAAGTTTAATTAAAACAAAAACAAGCTTCGTTGAGTAAGGGGAAGCCAGGGGTGCCACTGAGCAGCCACCAACCCAAAGGAGTTGTTCAGCACACAGGTCCTCCAACCTGGAAGAAAGCAGATTTTAAAAATCCTGGTAATTTTAGTTTGTTTAGGTTGCTGGCAACTGTGAGGTACAAACCACAATTCCCAGGATACTTTAGGGGAAGTAACATGGTTTAAATGTGCGTTAAATGTGTGGTCCCTTCTACAATTCTATGATTCATTCCAAATGCAAGATTATCCTGATTTCCCCCCATGGTCATCACCAGACTATCATATGAAACTATGTCTGGAGACCCATGGAATTTTAAAACAATATAATTCTTTCAATGGTACAGTTAGGTAACTTAGACTCTGGACTTACTGGTCTAAAATGGGGAGGACTTCTTTTAGATGGTAGAGTATGCTACTTCACATAATTCATAAACTAAATATTATATAATAATTTTAAAATGTGGTAAGCTAACCTTGCTGGGTTTCTCATTCTGTTGAGTGGGGCCATGGACCTCTGCCCTCCCCCCAAATCCTGCCCTGATGGCATGACTGAGTTCTTATTTTCTTTCCAGCTGCCAGCTTAGATTCAAGCATTTATGGACAACCTGGAAGTCTAGAGGCTTGCTTTACTTTTTTAGAGGAGGAAAAAATGGAAAGCTGAGATTGTCAGAATTCTTAATAGGAGTGGAAAGTGCCAGCCATAGGTTGAGCTAGCTTGGGACGTTGTCCCTTGGGAGCAAAACAGAAAGGCAGCTAATGTTTCAGTGCCTTCAGAAATAAGTTGCATACAGATTGCACAATCAATATCCTCCGCATACTTTACAATTCTCCGTGGAAACACTCCTGGGATGACATGGAGGTCCAGAAGGGATCTGGGACATTTCTTTTTTGTATTTCTCAACTGCTTTAATGAGCGCCTCTCTTTTCTGCTGGTCCTGGTCTGCACACGGGAAAACAGGAAGGGTTTGTAAGCACAAATTAAATGGCATTTCAGCTTCTTGGAGTACAATAAATAAGCACAATGGCATGGAAAGAAGCTGGACAAGGAGTGCTCCTGCAATTACATGTATGCCTTCACCTAGTTGGGAATGGATGTCACAAGTCTATTTCTTGTCCAGGTCACTTCTTCAGCCAGCACATTGCTAAACAAAGAAATTGGTTCCCCCACAAAAGAAGCAGTAATGGTCACCACCTTCTACCACATGTGGTGGACATGTAAGGTAACAAAAGCATTATGGGAAATGATATATAATGAATTGGGGGAAAAATGTTTAAAATAGCTTTTGTTAAAAACCAGAAGCTTTTTTATTAGGAATTGTAGGTACCGATATTCCAAAGGAGCAGAAAAGACTTTTTATGTATGTGACAACAGCCGCACGGATATTACTAGCCCAGAGATGGAAAGAAGACAAAGTCCCTACCAGACTGGAATGGCAAACTAAGCTGTTGGATTATGCCAAAATGGCAAAAGTAAGTGGAAGGCTCAAGAACCAAGAAGACCAAAATTTCAATAAAAAAATTATCTTGGAGACCACTATAGGCAGATGAAAACATTAGCAGGATTGTACTAATACTTGTAATGTAGCAAATATTATGGACAAAATGGAAAGACATAAAAGATGGATTATGAAAAAATATGCAGCTGAAAAGGTTGACAATAGGACCCATGGAGGGGAAGGTGGGAAGTCCAGAGATTCGGAGAAATCTCTAAATATGGATATGCATTTTGTATTGTTATAAAATTTATTTCAAAAAAGAGAAAGAAAAAAAGAAGCAGGGATCATCACCAACATGTTTGCCTCTGAACACCAGTTGCTTTAAGTCACAAGTGGGGAGAGAAAACACTGTTAGACTCAGGTCCTTCTTACAAGCTTTCCATAGGCATCTGGTTGATCACTGAGAGAACAGGATGCTGGACTAGATGTGGGAGTTATTGTTTTTGTTTGTTACTATCTTATGTATTTTTGTGATTTCGTATTGTGAACCACCCTGTGATCCCTGAATGAAGGGCGGTATACAAATTGAATAAGTAAACAAATAATCTTTGGGTTGCAGCTGTAAGGAGTGCCGAAACTGCACTCTTCTCAGCCTCTAAGATCAGGGTCAGTCACTGGACTTCAGCTTAGGAATGTAGTAAGTTGCCTTACACTGAGTCACACCATTGGTCCCTGCAGCTCAGCACTGTTGGCACTGACAGTTATCCAGGGTTTCAGGTGAGGGACCTTCCTAGCCCTATCTGGAGATTCCAGGGATTGAACCTGGAACTGCAAAAGCAGATTCTCTACCATGGAGCTATGACAATTCCCTGCAGCTTGTGAAGAACAAATGGGTTGCAGTGGTGGCACCATGATTCTTTCAAATGCTTTTAAGACAAGTGAAGGAGAAAGGGAAAGGAAGAACAATAGGCTGTAGGCAGGAAAAACAGAGGAGTATTAAGAGACGCTAAGAGGGAAACAGAAGGGAGGGAAGAAAGAGAGAGGTGGACATCATATGATAAAAAAAATTAAAAGTGGGTCCTATGATATAGGCCGAGTTAAAGTTGGGTCTAAAAAGATTGAAGATAATTAGTCTCGGTGTGCCTTGTTACACTATCTCCCCAGAGCGATTTGAAGGACATGGTGGTGCCTCCAACTTTGAGATGTTAGAAGTCAATGCAAAAAGTATTGCTCTAAAAGCACATCATCTAATACCCACCAGCCTCTGCTCCGAGTAAGGAATCTTGGAAAAAGCATCATCCTATATTACCTGCAACATGACTAGCAGTGTTTTGTGTATTAGCAGGGAAATGCTACATGGCATAAGCCAGGAAAAAGCAATTGTTTGCAGAAAGGAATCCACTCATCTATTTTTCCATCCACAAACAATTGCTTTTTGCAATATTTTCATTAGCATTTTCTTCTGGTCATGGTAATCAGCTGTGTCCATTAGTATCTGGCACCCACTCACATTCAGGAGAAGTCGTGTCTGGCACCGTTGACTTAACAGAATTGATTGCCCATCATCACCACCCTGTTTTCCTTGCTCCTGTTGGCATGGCTATAAGTGACAGCTGTCTTCTCAGTCACCATTACTCTTTTGGGAACATATCCAGGACACTGTATAACCAATTTGTCGAACTCAGTACAAACAATGTGATAAAACAATTTACTCCATGCTAGAAAGCTAGAAAGCTGGATATGGAACAACTGATTGGTTCAAAATTGGGAAGGGAGTACAACAAGGCTGTATACTGTCTCCCTGCTTATTTAACTTATATGCAGAATTCATCATATGAAAGGCTGGACTGGATGAATCCCAAGCCAGAATTAAGATTGCTGGAAGAAATATCAACAACCTCAGATATGCAGATGACACAACTTTGATGGCAGAAAGTGGGGAGGAATTAAAGAACCTCTTAATGAGGTTGAAAGACGAGGGTGCAAAATATGGTCTGAAGCTCAACATAAACAAACCTAAGATCATGGCCACTGGTCCCATCATCTCCTGGCAAATAGAAGGGGAAGAAATGGAGGCAGTGAGAGATTTTACTTTCTTGGGCTCCATGATCACTGCAGAGGGTGACAGTAGTCACGAAATTAAAAGACGCCTGCTTCTTGGGAGAAAAGCGATGACAAACCTAGACAGCATCTTAAAAAGCAGAGACATCACCTTGCCGACAAAGGTCCGTATAGTTAAAGCTATGGTTTTCCCAGTAGTGATGTATGGAAGGGAGAGCTGGACCATAAAGGCTTTTGAATTATGGTGCTGGAGGAGACTCTTGAGAGTCCCATGGATGGCAAGAAGATCAAACCTATCCATTCTGAAGGAAATCAGCCCTGAGTGCTCACTGGAAGGACAGATCGTGAAGCTGAGGCTCCAATACTTTGGTCACCTCATGAGAAGAGAAGACTCCCTGGAGAAGACCCTGATGTTGGGAAAGATGGAGGGCACAAGGAGAAGGGGACGACAGAGGACGAGATGGTTGGACAGTGTTCTCGAAGCTACCAACATGAATTTGACCAAACTGCGGGAGGCAGTGGAAGACAGGAGTGCCTGGCGTGCTCTGGTCCATGGGGTCACGAAGAGTTGGACACGACTAAACGACTAAACAACAACAAACAACAAGAAAGCTTCAGAAGCAAAACTTGACATCCAGCCCACTCAGACAAGTGCTAGCCCAGTCTTATGGGTGAGTGTTAATACTAGATTGTTGCTGGCTACAGATGAAGGAGAAATTTAGTTGGCTTCACAGTTTTAATGCAAAGCTACCTAATATGCACGTCCTGAAACAATACACACACCAAGGGGCAGCCATCCTTCAAAACCCCCAATTTTGCAATGCAGTTCTCCAAATAAAAAATATTTTCTTGTGAATTGAGGGAACGATTAGGCTGTATGATACCAGAGTCCCTTCTAATTCCTGGATCCAGTAATGGTAACACTAATGGAGCATCCCATTGTTGAATTACAGGCAAGGGCCATAACGGTCCTTAAGTATGGGTCCTATGAGCAAAGAAGTTGCTCTATGCCACAGGGCAAATGGGTGGACCCCTCCCTCACCTGGCTGATAGTGAGAAAGACAAAAGAGTGTGTGGTCGTGGGGGGGGGGAGAGAGATGGGTGAGAAGCAGGCAGAAGTCAGAGAGTGAGATTTCTGCTGCAATCCAAAGCTATGACTATGGGAACCCCCCCATTGTAGGCTCAGGTTGTACATATGTGTAACGAAAGCATATATCATGAAGACACCACAGTTTCCACTGTGCCTCATTGCCAAAAGAAAACATGAACCCTGGGAAAGAACCTGGAACCCCAGGAATCTTGCACTGCTCAGAGATTAGGGTGGCATGCAACAATATTGAAAAATGCATACATTATGTGAAAGCATGCAAAAATGCATTATATTAGGGGAAATTGTTTGCAGAAATGTGTATATTAGTCAAAATGACATACAAAATGTGTACGATAGCGGGAAAGCACAGTAAAATGCTGATGAATTTTCAGGAGGACTTTTAAAAGAAGAGTTTGCAAACTGAACTTAAAAATGAGAAGGAACAAAAATTTTGAGATTCCTCCATCCCTATTGCTGGGATAGCTCAAAGTGGCAGCATATGCTTTGCAGCAGAGGCAAACATGCCCCTCTCTGCCATGTTTGCCTTTCTCCCTGCGAAAAATGCCATAGGACCATGACATTTTTCCAGAGGCTTGAGGAAATGAATGCCCACTTCCTGACATTCTGCCACAGTCCAGCATGGCCAAGGAAAGCAACATCAACCCAAGATGGGGCTAGCAAACGAATGACTGGGGTCGATGAGATGCCAGGGGCACAGGTTTAACCCTAACACTGTCCTTGAGTTCACCCTTTTAAATCCTTCCACAGAATGAAGAGTCACCATTCGCTCCTCCTACAAGGAAAAGGAAGCAGCTACATTGCTGGGACACAGAAAAATTATGTGATGCTGCCATTATGCCGTTGCAGGGATGACACTACTGCGTTTTATCAGGCATAGGCAAACTCCAGCCCTCCAGATGTTTGGGACTACAATTCCCACCATCCCTAGCTAACAGGACCAGTGGTCAGGGATGATGGGATTTGTAGTCCCAAACATTTGGAGGGCAGGAGTTTGCCTATGCCTGTGTTATATGGACACACTGCTTGTGGCTTCACTAGCTCACAGGAGGACACATTGTTAACCACAAAAAGGTATAAGTGGGTACGAGACTTACAGAAAAGAGAAAAACGCAGTGCCTTTCAAAGGCACTTCACCCGACTAGCTTATCTGTTGCATTTATGGGTGCTATAGAGAGTTTATGGCATGTATGTAGATAAAATCATAAATGAGGTAGCTTTTCCAAATAGCTATTTGCTTACGCTTCAATAAACAATGAGTGGTACTTGACTTGAGGAAACTCAAATGCGGCAAGGTTTGCAGTACTGTTACTTCAGAAAGACAAGGTCCATGGCAATACAGAGGGTGGCAGTGTGTGAAAACAGGCAGGCTATTAAACTGCGAAAGATTGATACAGAGTGGAAGATTGCTATGGAACAAGCTGAGTGATTGGTTTTCCCAATTGGCTGTATAATCCTTTTGCTATCTGAGTAGCATTTAGTACTGTGTCAACATGCTGTTTCCACTAGGCACCTGCTGCAAACCGCTCATCTGTACACACTTGTAATTCTGATCACTTAACCTTAGAATAAATGTATGTCAATTGGTCTTCATAGCTACGCCTTTCCTCCTAATCTACCCAGAGCCAAAACCTTATGCTTAAAAAAATAAAAATAAATCTCTGCCAAGCAAATCATGCCCATACATCAAAATAGGAAACTGGTTAGCATCTGAAACTCCTTTAAAACAGTTTCGTATAGTTTTTTAAACCAGATGTGCATCCTCATGATCAAATTAACCATTTGGAGGCAGGAACTAACCAGAAAAGTGTATCACACATCAACACAGAGAGAGGCAGCAAGATAGTATGGTTAAAAAGTCTGGCCACTTGAGCAGGTAGAATTTGACTAACATTAGGGGCAGCTGAACCCCCACCTGAAAACACTTGAATCTTACATTTTCCTGTCACTTTTCACAACTGCCCTGTTTCCCTCTTTGTTGTTACTGCTTCATTTGTCATGGAGCAATTTCAATCAATAAAGGGTCACATTCTCAAAGTGATGGCATCATAGTGCTACGCAGACATTGAGTTGACGTCGCTAAGGGCAAATGAAGCCAATTTAAAATGAGGACAGTGCTTCCTATATTAAATCACAGGAGCTAATTCTAGCCAATCAGGGATCATGCTAACTAAAATGATTCTGGGAGAAAAGGAGGGGGGAGATCCCAGGAACGCTCTTTTTTGATGGATTGCAGCCACCAGGGTTGCCATATGTCCGGAATTCGCCAGACACAGTTGGGATTTGGTTGTCAAAAACTGTGTCGAAAATTGCTTAAATGTCCGGGAAAATCTGGATGTCCGGCAACCTGGAACCTAGGCCAAAAAAGAAAAAGAGAGCGAGAGCGAGAGAGAGAGAAGCTCAACAACTTTGCCAAAAAAAGGCTCAACAACTTTTGTGTCTGGATTTTCACTTTTTGAAATGTAGCAACCCTAGCAGTTATCCTTTTAAAGCCTTAAAGAATATTGGCAAAGCAAGACCCTGAGGTTTACTGGCCTATTTGGCATTCTCTCTTTGTTTTCAACATTATATTTCTCTTGAATGGTGAAAGATACTGAAATGAAATTTAAAATGCATGTTTAGGACACAATTTTATCTTTCAAATTCAAATATTAGACCCCTTTCCATTCATAAGAGAGAAAGAATAGGCTAACTATGCGTGTTGCAAAGGAACGTTTCCTTTTGTCTGTCTGTCTCATTGAACATCTCCTCCGATGACCCAAGGTTCTAGTATTATGAGAGAGGAAGAACAATCTTTTGCATCGGTTTCCTCCCATCATGCATAATTGCCAGAAGGCAACTAGCAAAAACAGCAGTGTGGAGATGGAGAAAGAGAAGCCATCCCCTGAATAGTTATTTGAGCGACTGAACAAGTTGATTCTTCCGAAATGCTATACAATTTCATTAGTTTTGATTAATAGGGAGTAATAATCCTACATGGAAAAGAGCCTTGCTGACTTGCTTGAGTGATGGAGATCATTCATATAGGCTGGATTTCTCTTGTGGCAATTCCACATTCGTTTGTACATTTCTACAATGAAGTAGCAAATAAATAAAGGGCAGAATCCAGTTAAAATTCAGTACACTTTGAATTCAGCGGGAGAGATAAGTTCAAGCATAAGCTCTCCCATCTTAATCCATTAGCGGGTGGCATGATGGGGTGATGCCACTACCTGACCTCTGGCCATGTGTATTGCTGCTGCTTACTGGGAGGTAGAAGGGGAGGCAAGAGGCAGAAGGGAAGTTGTTGTGGTGCAAACAAACTAGCGGGAGTGCCAGATTGGCTCCACTGCCGTGTTTGCACCACACTGACCCCACCGCCTTGTCCCTCTACTTCCTAGTACACAGAAATTATGCAAGTGACCAGGAGGTCAAGTGAGTGATAATGCCCCACTACACTGTCCACTATCGAGGACTAATGAGTGCTTAACTTTGGCTGGCTTGGACCCAAATGCCCAGAAATCCACGTAGAAACATTGCTCTGAAATTCTGCAGTCTTAAATCAGCACTGAGCTCCCAAACAATTTACAAACTTAATAAAAAAAGGCAGTGTGCTATTCTAAACTAATTTAATTGACTAATATTTGCCCCACAGAGATTACTGCAGTGAAATAGCAGATAATAATAAGCAAGGTCTCAGCATGCTATGAGCTATAAGCTAAACTGCTAGGCTGACAGAAAAACAATCTGCTACACTAGGTAATTCCCCCCCCCCCTTTTCCAGAAATATTGGCTTCACAAAATAGTTCTATATATAACCTAAGCAGGCTGATAACTCATATTTATCTATAGCAGATGATCAGACCTTCTGTGCAGCTTCTAGATATAGATATACACTGGCATAAATATGTTTCCCTTTAGGTATGAGTATTTTTTTTAAGGAAAAAAAAATCCTACATACTGTGAGTGGTGATCCTTATGTAGTCAAACTGGAATCATACATACAGAAGAGGGATAAATCAATGGGCTTGGGGGAAGTCCATGGTTTGCAAAGTACCAAAAAAGCCCCCCAAACCTTATTAAAATCCCTAATAGAAGAAACAACCCAAAACAGGCCAGTGAGAGCTAAGCATGCTTAGTAGCCACTGGGAATTTCAATTCCGTTCGCATTTGAAGGCAAACATACATATTTTGCACTTTCTGAAACCCTATGCAAACAGAAACACAGCTGATCCCTTTAAAACTCGCATTTCTCTGAATTTTGCAATGCACTTTTCCAGCTAAGTAACAGGGTAAGAAATGCACATACTAGAGTAAAGTCTGCGTATGACTGAACATTAGTGAAAACAGATACAAAATGCATTATATTAAGAGGAATGGCTTTGCAAAATTGCATACAAAAATGTGTGTATTAGACGTTCGCCCTAAAATAATAATGAATTTTCTTGAGATCATTAAAAAAAAAAAATGCTGAGGAAAAGTGGAGAACTGAACTTAAAATTGACTGAACTGAAACTGACCAATTTGCCCATCATGGCTTGTGGCATCCTGGGAGTATAAATTGCCCTATAAAGGAGAAGTACTAAACTTTGCTTTTTTTTTTAAAGATATTTATTAAAAGTTTAACAATTACAGAAAAAGAGAAAAAAAGAAAACAGTAAAAAATTACAATACATTACATCAAAATAAAATAAAAACCAGATTAGAAAGGAAACAATGCAGCACAACAATAAAAACAAAAAAAGCAAAAACATTTAAAAACAAAAAACATTTAAAAACACATCCAATATTCATTATCTTTACCTTTCATTTACCTGTTTCATCGACCTCCTCACACCTCCCTTTTTGTATTCTAGTTCAGTTAACTATTTCAGCAAATTCTTTCCATCTTTCTCAATTTTTGTTCTATAATTTATCTTAATGGTCTAACCTTTAATTTTTCCATTTTTACCCATTATCAATCAACTTTTACTTAAGTCTTTATTACATTTCTGTTAAAACCATATAGCTTCATTCCAACATCCTTCTAACATTCATTAATTTTGCAATGTTTTTGTAAATACACTTTAATTTTTTTCCAATCTTCTTCCACCAACTCTTCTCCCTGGTCTCGGATTCTGCCAGTCATTTCCGCCAGTTCCATGTAGTCCATCAGCTTCATCTGCCATTCTTCCCTGGTAGGTAGATCTTGTGTCTTCCAGTGCTTTGCAATGAGTATTCTTGCTGCTGTTGTGGCGTACATAAAGAAAGTTCTATCCTTCTTTGACACCAATTGGCCGACCATGCCCAGGAGAAAGGCCTCTGGTTTCTTCTGAAAGGTATATTTAAATACCTTTTTAATTTCATTATAGATCGTCTCCCAGAATGCCTTAATCTTTGGGCATGTCCACCAAAGATGAAAGAATGTACCTTCAGTTTCATTACATTTCCAACATTTGTTATCGGGCAAATGATAAATTTTTGCAAGCTTGACTGGTGTTATGTACCACCTATAAATCATTTTCATTAAATTCTCTTTTAAGGCATTACATGCCGTAAACTTCATGCCAGTGGTCTATAACTGTTCCCAGTCAGCCATCATGATATTATGTCCAACATCTTGTGCCCATTTAATCATAGCAGATTTCACCATTTCATCTTGTGTATTCCATTTCAACAGCAAGTTATACATTCTTGACAAATTCTTAACTTTAGGGTCTAACAATTCTGTTTCCAGTTTTGATTTTTCCACCTGGAAGCCTAATTTTTATCCAAATTATATGCCTCCATTATTTGATAATAGTGGAGCCAATCTCGTACTCTATTTTTTAGTTTTTCAAAACTCTGCAATTTTAATCTGTCTCCCTCTTGTTCCAGGATTTCCCAATACTTCGGCCATTTGGCCTCCATATTAAGTTTTTTCTGTGCCTTTGCTTCCATTGGTGACAACCATCTTGGGGTTTTATTTTCTAACAAATCCTTGTATCTTATCCAGACATTAAACAATGCTTTTCTGACAATATGGTTTTTAAACGCTTTGTGTGCTTTAACCTTATCATATCACAGGTATGCATGCCAACCAAATACATTGTTAAAACCTTCCAAAACCAGCACATCCATGTTTTCAAGAAGCATCCATTCTCTCAGCCAGCAAAATGCGGCTGATTCATAATAAAGTTTAAGGTCTGGCAGGGCAAATCCACCTCTTTCTTTAGCATCTGTTAATATCTTAAATTTTATTCGAGGTTTCTTGCCCTGCCAGATAAATCTAGAGATATCTCTCTGCCACTTCTTGAAACAGTCCATTTTATCCAAAATTTGCAAAGTTTGAAACAAAAACAGCATTCTTGGCAATACTTTCATTTTTATCGCAGCAATTCAGTCTAACAATGATAACTTCAAATTTGACCATATTTCTAGATCCTTTTTCACTTCAACCCAGCATTTTTCATAATTATCCTTAAATAAATCCACATTCTTAGCAGTCATGTTAACCCCTAGGTATTTTACTTTCTTTACCAGTGTTAATCCTGTCTCTTTCTGAAACTTATCTCTCTCCATTTCAGTTAAGTTTTTCTCTAAAACTTTAGTTTTCATCTTGTTCAACTTAAATCCTGCTACCTGACCAAATTCTTGAATCAGTTCTAATACTCTTTTAGTACTTGATTCTGGTTCCTGTAAAGTCAATACCAAGTCATCAGCAAATGCTTTCAATTTGTACTGTTTGGCTCCCACTTGTATACCTTTTACCAATTGGTCCCTTCTAATCATGTTTAGCAAAACCTCCAGGACCGAAATAAAAAGCAATGGAGAGATTGGGCAACCTTGTCGTGTTCCTTTCTCAATCTTAAATTATTCCGTCACTACGTTGTTCAAAATTAATTTAGCCTTTTGTTCTGAATAAATTGCACCTATACCGTTTCCAAAACCTTGACCAACCCCCATCCCCAGTAAATTCTTTTTCATAAAACTCCAGGAAATGTTGTCAAAGGCTTTCTCCGCGTCCACAAATATCAAAACTGCTTTAGTATTGATCTTCACTTGTAATTTTCTAGGATATTAATTATATTCCTCGTATTATCAGACAAGTGTCTGCCCGGGAGAAAGCCCGCTTGATCTTTATGAATTACTTCTGTTAGCACCTTTTTAAATCTTTTAGCCAAAATGTCTGCAAAGATTTTATAATCCACATTAAGCAATGATATGGGGCGGTAGTTCTTAAGCTGCGTCTTTTCAGTCTCTGTTTTCGGTATAAGTGTAATGTACGCTTTCTTCCACGACTCTGGTGCCCTTTTCCCTTCCAGTATTTCATTACAGACTTCCTTTAAAGGTTGTATTAACCATTCTTTCAAAGATCTATAATATCTAGAAGTCAGTCCATCCGGTCCTGGAGATTTACCCAATTGCATATTCTGAATGGCCCCTTCTACTTCCTGTTCTGTTATTTTATAATTCAACATTAATTTATTTTCTAGGGAAATTTTTTGTAGTCCATTGATTTTCAGAAATTTTTCAATGTCCATTTCTTTCTGCTTCTCCTGTGTATAAAGTTGTTTAAAATACCTCTGGAAGCACTTTCTTATTTCCACTGGGTTCTGCACATTCTTTCCTACCACTTCCAAGTTCGAAATGGTGTTAAGTTTTTGTCTTTTTTTCATTTGCCAAGCCAACAGTTTTCCACACTTATTTGCTGATTCAAATGTCTTTTGTCTCATCTGTTTAATCTTCCATTCTATTTCCTGGTTCATCATTTTAATGTATTGTACTTGATATAACTTTATCTCTTTCAAGATCTCCTGGGACTTTGGTTTCACCCTCAATTTCTTCTCTCCTTCCTTTATTTTTTCCAGGATCTTATCTTTTTTCTCATTTTGCATTCTCTTCTTAATTGCATTTTGTTGTATCAGAAATCCTCTCATAACAGCTTTACTTGCATCCCAGATTACTCTTTTTTCCACAGTAGTGTTCATATTTATCTCAAAATAGTCTCTCAAAGTTTTTTGGGCCTTCTTAATAAATTCTTCATTCCTAAACAAAGAGTCATTCATCCTCCATCTAAAGGAACCAATTGGCATCAATTTCATTTCCATCTTCACGGCATTGTGGTCAGAGCAGGTTTTGGGACAAATTTCAGCTTTGCTAATCTTCGGGGCCAGTCCTCTAGTTACCCAAATTTGGTCAATTCTTGTCCATGTCATTTTAGCCTCGGAGAAGAAAGTTCCCTCTCTTCCCAAAGGGTTCCTCGTTCTCCAAATATCAATTAAGTCCATATTTTCAGTCATGTCAAAAAAAGTTTTTGGTAGTCTTCCATCCTTAGTAAGTGGCTGTCTTTGTGCCTTATCCATGTTTGTAGACACTACGCCATTCATATCACCCATCAAAATCATATTATAGTCCATATAGTCCATCAGGGTCTCGTGTAGTTTTTTAAAGAATTCCGATTTTCCTTCATTTGGTGCATAAATACCTATTATCAGGAATTTTTCTCCTTGCGTTTGAATTTCAATTGCTACAAATCTTCCTTGATCATCTTTAAATTTAAATTTTGGTGCTAGGTTCTCCTTTGCATAGAGGACCACTCCTCTTTTTTTAACCTTATCCGATGAGATAAATTCTTGGCCTAGTCTTTTGTTATTCAATAACTTCCTGTGTGACCGTATCACATGTGTTTCTTGTAAGCAAATCAGGTCCAGATGTTCTTTTTTCAATAAATGAAATACTCTCCGCCTTTTTTTCCGGGCTGTTCAGTCCATTAACATTCCAAGTCAGAACCTGCAGTGCCATCATGTAGTTACTTTTGTGCCCCCCCACTGCCCCCAAAGCTTGCTCCTCTTCTGTTGGTGATGATGTTGGCACGTTCACTGGGGGGTCCAATCCAAAAGATAATGTTGATATGTCCAGTGTTCCTCTATTTGGTGATGTTCTCTCCACTGCACTTTGCTCTGGTCCTCTGTCTGATGATCCTCTGTCCAGTGTTGTTGGCTCTTTTCCAATTCCCTTCTGTAGATCTTCTTCGTGATTGTACAGAAACTTTACTTTGTCTTCTACAGATCTTATTTTTATTTTCCTTCCTTTGAAACTGAATGATAGGCCTTGAGGGAATTCCCACCTAAAGTTAATTTTGTTCCTTCTCAGCAAAGCAACTAGATCTCCAAAGTTGAACCTGAGGTCCAGAAGGTGTTTTGGAATATCTTTGAATATTTCCACTCTTGACTGATGTATTACCAAGGTTTTCTCGTAGTGCCAGCCCAGAATTTTGTCCCTCTCTTCTTTAGATCGGAGGGTAATCAAACAGTTTCTTATTCTATTCTTCTCCTTCTTCCCTCCTCTTCCGAGTCTAAAGGCCCTCACAATTTTAAACTCCTCTGTTCCCAGATCCAAGTCCCAGTGGACTGTAAATTCCTCGGTAAGATAATCTACCAGATAGTCTTTTTCTAGTTCAGGTACAGCTCTAATCCTCAGGTTTGTCTGTTTCTTCCTAAGCTCAATCATAGAAAGGGCCAACTTATGATCCTCAAGTTGCTTCTGCAAGTCTGGAACTCTCTCTGTCTCCAGTTGGGTTACCTTCACTTCCACAGTAACCACCTTTTCCTTAACTTCCTCTACAATCTGTCGGGTTGAATTAGACTCCTTGACCAATTTCTCAATAGCTTCTGTATTGGAATTAACTTTTTGTCCCAAACTATTTATGCTTTGTGTATTTTGATCCAATTTTTTATTCATTTGTTCCAGTGAATTATTAATTTTGCTCAGAGCAAGTGCCAGAGCTTCTTCTGAAATCATTCCTTTTGGTTTGGAGTGCACTAATGCAGCTGCAGATGAGACAGGGGGCCCAGATGTAGAGGCTCTTCGAAAAGACTTCCCAGACCTTGTTATTGGGGGATCTATTTTTCCTTTCCCATCTGCCATAACACTTAGGCCCTTCAAGGTCAAATACAGTCCCAGAGTCTTATCTTTAAAGTTGGAAAATTCCACTCCTTGTAGCAATTTCAAAGTCCTCCTCTAGAGGGAAATTGTTATTGTTTATATTATGTTAGTCCAAAGTATCCCTTTTTTAAAGAAATTTCAATTGCACCAATATATTTAGTATCAAATCTCGACTTTTAAATCAAAAGAAGGTAATTGAAACTTTTGAGCCAGTAAAAGATAGTAGAAGATAGTTAAAACAATGTATCCCTCTAGTTTCACTATTTCACTGACAGTCAAATAAGCAATCTGTTCACAGTCTATGCGGAGCTCCGAAGTACAGCAAATTTAATGGCTGCCGTTCCTAGGTTCCGAGCGATGGAAATTTAGCTTCTCCCTCTCTTTTTTTTGCAGGCAAATAATGTCCAAAAATCTCTCCCCCCTTTTCCCCTGCTTCCAAGGGGGGGTTCGCTATTTTGTGCTGGAAATTTAGGTGTTTAGAATAGACTTTAACTTAAATCTTTTTGCTTCCGACTATTTACAAAAAGAGGAAGGCGGACTTCCTGTTTTAAGCCTCCCCCCGTTTGTTGTCAAATTCCGTTTTTTAAACTCCAATTCTTCACTTTTACTCACAGGTAGTTACTTTTAAATCCAATTGTCCACAGGAAAAAGTCAGCGCTCTCCGGCAACGGCTGTGCGGCTTCACTCTGTGAAAGTAGCAGTCCATTCGCAGCACCACGCCACTCACCCCACTTTGCTCCGGAGCCCCAGAATGGGATTCCCCCGCGAGTAGGGGAGGCGCTCTTGGTGCCCTGCCAAATCCCACGTTCCCACGCTTCCTCCACCTGGGATTTCTATAGGGTCCCCACCTTCGCCGCGGCGGGTAGACCCAGTTTCCACTGAGCGGGTTCCTCCGGTCAGAGGAACTCCGCCATTAGCCGATGGCGCTAACCCGGAAGTAGTACTAAACTTTGCTTTTGTGTTGTGGCTGACCCAAGCTTATTAATTTTATGCATTGCAAGTATTATTTTTAACCAGTGACCATCTTTATCTGCTATAAACAAACACAGCATGTTATGTTTCATTGATTCTGCCAGTATCCACAAGCTGAGTGTAATGCTAATGATGACCCAAGTGCCATTTCATTCAGATTTCCACAATTGCAACAACAACAATCATCATCATCATAATATATGAACAACTGTCTATTAGTACAGAAGAAGCTGCATGCACATTTTTGTCTCATCTGTACTTGCTTTATATCAACTAGTAGAACTCAGTGGAGGCTGGTGCCCATTTGGCACAAAGCAAGGAGGCCAACTCTAGGTGGCGCCAGAGCCAATGACAGGCAGAGCCAACTAATTCTAATTTTGTCCCCATCTTCCTCCCTGCTAAGTTCTACAAGGGGAACAAATAAGACGAAGCTAATAGCTGTTCTCTGGACTGGATGGAAGCATTGCTTGCAGTTTGTCAGGTTGACTATCAAAGAGCCTAAAGGACTAATCTTAGCTCCAATGTAGCTTTTAAAAACAGAATTCAGTTTACCTGAAGAGGCAAAGACGATTATTGGGCAACTGTGGGATTTATACAGGCTAACCCATCTTGGCTAACCCATCCCCTTAGAACTCTTGTGAGATCCTGCATGATCCACAGGAATTCAGTTTCTAAAATTCTGATGTAAGTCAGGTCCTGAACTAATATGTGTATCAGAATGTAATTATCCATTGGATTCTGCACATTTATGCATTTCGCAGTACAGTTCTTTGTTCAAAAATACATTAAAAATGTGTTTTGGATATGTTATTACCCCTAGATACCTTGGAATTTACCTCAGGAAGGAAAAATGGTCCCAGACCTATTTGCGTTACATTTTTTTAGGCATCTCGGTTATTGTTAAATAGATAATGTTCCCTATTTGTTGTTATCCTAGCCGCCCTGAGCCCAGTCTCAGGCGGGGAGGGTGGGATACAAATAAAAGTTGATGATGATGATGATGATGATCTACCCTGAATCTGAATTTAGTTGCTGTATGTGAAGGACAGCCAACACGATGAACTCCAGATGTTGTTGGAATCCCACCAGTCCTAGCCAACACGACCAATGAAAACATAAGAGCCCCGCTAGAGCAAGCCAAAGGCCCATCTGGTCCAGCACCCTGTTCTCAAAGTTGCCAGCCAGGTGCTGGTATTGCAGAGGCATCCCAGGTGGATCCTGGAGGTTGTACACAGCCATCATGGATCAAGGATGATGGAAGTTATAGTTCAACAAAGCTGTAGTCCAACCGCACTTTGAGGACACGTTGGGTGGAATTCAACATGGTGCTATTATAAATGCTCCATCTGTACAAGCACATCAACTTGCCAGACGGAACAATCCCCCTCCCTGTGTACTTTTCTGGGGGTTCTCCCACACCCACCCCAAGCTACACTGGTACCTCGGGTTAAGTACTTAATTTGTTCCGGAGGTCCGTTCTTAACCTGAAACTGTTCTTAACCTGAAGCACCACTTTAGCTAATTGGGCCTCCTGCTGCTGCCGCGCCACCGGAGCACGATTTCTGTTCTCATCCTGAAGCAAAGTTCTTAACCCGAGGTACTCTTTCTGGGTTAGCGGTGTCTGTAACCTGAAGCGTATGTAACCTGAAGCGTATGTAACCCGAGGTACCACTGTAATTACCGGGGGGAGAGGCAATTGTAAGTCCCCTATTGTAAGTCATCAAGAACGACTGCTATTTTTCTACAAAAAGGGGTGCCAGAACTCTCCATGAATGCCTCCTTTGTTCTCTTATAATTGCAATGGCACCCATCTGAGAGCTGCCGGAACTGAGTTCCAGCTGGGGAAAAAACCCTGTCAGCTACCATCGAACAATTTATACGTTTATCTTTTGTTATTACCTGAATTTATTGTTTTCCATCTGTGGGACAGGTGACGTACATGCTATGCTTTCAAAGAGTGAATACATCTTTATGAGCTTTCATGGATTAAGGATAAAAATCTGGTGCCATTCAGTATGACGGGTGATTATGTTAAGGCCCTTGTTTATCATGGCACTTGCCATTTTTTGTAACCTTCACGGGTTTTTAAAAAAATGACTCCATATTTATTCAGTGGTAATGTCGTTAATCAGGGACAAGTCTTCTCCATTATCATTTTAAAATGTATTAAAGAGGTAACTGCATACCTCACACAACAGAAAATTGACAATGTCCCCACATCACTCTGACATACTCCTTGTTTATCCAGTAGCTTTACAAATGCAAATACTAATCAGGACCTTCTTCTGGTAGATATTATGTCATTTTATGTCTAAAGAATTGTTTGCTCATTGGGCCTATGAACTCTGTGCCTAGAGCTTACATTGAGTGAGCACCTTACAGTATTTATTTTGAGTGGATGCCTTATTTGAAATGTTACAGTAGAGTCCTATAATGTCCTAATGGATATAAGTCCCACTGAATTCAGTGGGGCTTACTCCCAGGTAAGTAGGTAGAGAATTGCTGCCTTAGATAAATAAAATGAGTTCATTAGGTCACAAGAGCCACCTCAGATCTGACTTACCTGTGGTAGTGAACTGAGCATTTTGGTAAATCAGTACAGTCTTTTTTTCTTTTTTTTAAAGGAAACAACAACAACAACCATGAATGCAAAAGTGAAAGTTAAGACTCAGCTATATTAGTCAAAAAACACCAGATAGCGCTGGAAAGCAAAAAAAAAATTCTATGCGATTTTCCATTGCGTTTTTTTTTCTTTTGTAATGATTTAATTTCTGACTTATTTATAGCGGGGGGCTTTTTTGTGTGTAGATTCACCTTTACTTTTACAGAACTGTAAGTAAGGTTTCAATAGCACTGGGAATTATCTAGTCCAGTAACAAAATTAGTTTGGAGGAGGGAATCCAAACTCCAACAGGTAACTACTGAAACATATTAAAATTACCCTTCCTTGACATTTGTTCTGTATGTTTTGGGAACTGAGAACATTTTCTCTCCCTCAGCTAGTAGATGTTCTGCCTCATTGTGCTGTTTGTTTTATTTCCCCCTTAGTCTCTGTATTTAGAACAGCTTTAATTTCCCCTCTGTAAATCCATTAGCAACTGATCGCACCTTAGGTTATCCCTATGTAGCAATTTAATCCTGTTTAGGTCAGAAGAAGAAAACTGATTTGCAGCTGGCCTTGCATTGACCTTTCACCCCATCTCCACCATCTCTTTTATCTCAAGTCAGATTCAGCCATCCATTATTCCTTCTTCTACAGCTAGGTCTTCGATCATCTGCAGATTATTTGCTGTACAGGTTGTGCTCAAGTTACTGCTAAATTATTACAAGTTATCCTGCAGCAGGATTTCTGACAGGATTTCTGACTGGCTGCCAAGTTCAAGGTGTTACTATTGGTATTGAAACCCTTAATGTTGTGGGACCAGTTTAGTTAAGGGATCACTTTACCCCATATACGCCCACTCAGTTGCTTGGATCTGCAGAACTTGCTTGTTTACATGTGGCATGCAATGCCTGCTCTTCACTTGTAAGAAGTCATTCCTTGTACTTTGGAACTCCCTGCCACTTGATATTAGGTAGCATCCCTGTATTCTTTCAGACGCCTGCTAAAAACATTTCTGCTTTCTTGGGCCTCTTGAGACACAAGATTTGGTCACACGTTTTACTGTATTTGAACCATTTTTAAAATATGTCTGACTTTTAATTTTAATTTTGTCAAAGATATTTGTTGCTCTAGGCTCCTTCTGGAGGAAATGTGGGATATAAATATGACGTATAAATGAATATGAGGGACGCGGGTGGCGCTGTGGGTTAAGCCACAGAGCCTAGGACTTGCCGATCAGAAGGTCGGCGGTTCAAATTCCCGCGACGGGGTGAGCTCCTGTTGCTCGCTCCCTGCTCCTGCCAACCTAGCAGTTTGAAAGCACATCAAAGTGCAAGTAGATAAATAGGTACCGCTCTGGCGGGAAGGTAAACGGCATTTCCGTGCGCTGCTCTGGTTTGCCAGAAGCGGCTTAGTCATGCTGGCCACATGACCCGGAAGCTGTATGCTGGCTCCCTCGGCCAGTAAAGCAAGATGAGCGCTGCAACCCCAGAGTCGCCCACGACTGGACCTAATGGTCAGGGGTCCCTTTACCTTATAAATGAATAAATTGAAGATTGATTTACATGAAAGCGTGGATTGGATGTGAGTTTAGCTGACTGGATATTGACACAGCCCAATGCATGTTGAGACAAAGAACATTATGTTCAAAACGATTCTAAGCGGTTAATCCAGTCATTGTTACATCCCCCCCCAGATCTTGGCTTTATACTTGTTAGCATCTTCTGTATCTCACAGCACTGATTTTCTTTACCCTAAAAACTCTCTTGACATTACTTCAGTCAATCAAGTGTTCCTTACGGTTGGCCAACCAATAAACAGAGTACAAAATATAATGTACAAATGCATAACCTCAGCAGAACAAGTTATTAATCACTAGCGTCGACATGCTAGGAATTAACAATCATAGCAAATCTCAGCGATGTGAAACATTCGGATATCTTGCCACCTGTTCAGTAATAGGCCCGTGAAGTAAAATACTCAATGTGGCCTCAAAGAATGAACCAGGAAACACATTGTGAATCACGTAATCCAGTGATTCTCAAAGGATGTGGCACACCACATGGGCGTGGCAGGAGAGGATGGCAAATGTGTTGGGAAGATTCAAGGACAATCAATATTATATTTCGCAAATGATTCATGTTCTTATGTAGCTGCATTGTTTTATATTTTCTGGCTGTCCCATGATCATATTATAAAGTAGTGTTCTATGTTAAAAATCCAGCACTGCTAGGAGTTACTTCTTTTTGTTTTCCAATGTATTTCTTATATAAAAAAAATTGTTGTGGGTCAAGCAAATTTTTATTTTGAAAGTGTGGCCCAGATAAAAAAAAAAGTTTGAGAACCATTGATCTAACTCACTGATAAAATCTACAGTAGAAGAATGGGAGACACCGATTTAAAATCTCAAATGATTACAAGGATAGCACCTATCCTTGAAAGGAACTATGGCAAATCTGCTGCCTAGGATCTTAGAGGGTAAGGGATCAAATCAAAGCCCAAGATGTGCTGGGAGGAGGGAGGTTTCGAATACAGTGGTACCTCGGGTTACATACACTTCAGGTTACATACGCTTCAGGTTACAGACTCTGCTAACCCAGAAATAGTGCTTCAGGTTAAGAACTTTGCTTCAGGATAAGAACAGAAATCGTGCTCCTGCGGTGCAGCGGCAGCAGGAGGCCCCATTAGCCAAAGTGGTGCTTCAGGTTAAGAACAGTTTCAGGTCAAGAACAGACCTCCGGAACGAATTAAGTACTTAACCCGAGGTACCACTGTAGGCAGATCTCTGGCTGAGCTACACCAGCTAAAGCCAGAGACACTGTATACCAATGTAGGACCTCCATCGCAGATGAACCAGGGCTGAGCTGAAATCTCAAAAGAGGGGTGTTCTGGGGCCGGGCAGGGGAGACCTATCCCATTCCAGTCTCCTTTCAGCTTGGTCACATGACCCGGCAACCCCACAGTAGTTAACTTGGCAAAAAGAGTGGTGCAAGTCAAACTCTTTTTGAAAGTCTTGCTTCCCCTCTGCCAAGTTTAGGCCACCTAAGCCAGCAGTAGCCCTGCTTCTGAAAGGAGTTTGGAACAAGGAAGCTCCACCGGCATAATTTACCTTGGCATAAATCACTCTGGCTTCCTCTTGCTTGGATTGCTGTGTAAAACATTAACATGGTCCCGCAGAATTGCTCTTCTTAGGTATAGTGAGAAAAGTTAGATGTGGTATCCATTGGTTAGAGGTGGGTGTAGGGCGGATCTACATTAATGGTTTATAACATTAAGGAAGGGTTAAGGAATGATTTTCACAACATAGATGGACACATTGTGTTCTGCTTGTAACAGAGCAACCAGGAACTGGCAATAGGGAAACTGCATTATTACGGACACAACAAGGTAAGGAACATTTTAAATTTACCAGTATGCCCTGTGATGTTTCAGAATGATGTATCTAACATCATTCTAATAACGATAAAAGAGTCAGTGCAGATCCAGCCCAAGAATACGCTGCATTTGCTCCTGCATCATCTATATCCATAGATTTGGCTTGCAGTGGGTGCAATGGCAGCAGATAAGACAAACCCACAATATTTTCCCCAATTAACTTGCTTTTCCATAGAGACACAACAAGAGTCAAGCAACCCGTGTTCTGCCACAGACAGCGGAGAGGCAGAGGAGCAGATTCAATGCCATTGACGAACAAGCTACTTAATGAGCTAAGACTAACTTCCAGATTAAGGGCAGAGCTAGCAACACATTTGCTATGTCGTACAATCTTCTCCTTCTCTTCTCAGCCACCTTTTCGCTACGCTATGCAAGTCCTGCTGTTTCTCTCATAAGGAGGAGGACTGCGCTTCTTTAATCATTCTAAGGCACTTTTGCAAGGAACGTTGTTTCGGGAGGAATGCTTGCTCAGCAGATAATCTGCCCAGTAATGAGAATGAATCTGGAAGGTAATACGAGGGGTAGCTAATAAAGTCCAGAAGCCAACCCAGAATTCAGTAGTAACTCTGTGTGTGGAGTGAGGTGGGAGAGGTCTGCTTGCATGGGACCCATTGTGACATTTGAGTTTATTCAAACCAGAAAATCTAGAGGGCTGTAGAATTATGAAATGGCTTCCTCTTTCCACTCCCCAGAATTAGGATCATACTCCCAGGGGCCCTTCCACACACCATCCTTTTTCGTGCAAAAAGCATTTCATCCATTTCTTATTTGTTGCTTACAATCTGCACATCTTTCTGCAGGCTCTTTATGGAAATAACAAAAAAAAAATTAAATAATTTTATTCATTTCATTTCTATACCAGCTTTCCTCCCATGGGAGCTCAGGGCAGTGAACGGCATAAAAACACAATCTGTGCAATAAAATATATTTCCAAAACAAAAACAACAAACAACAAAAACGTGCAATGGAATACGAGCTGCCAAAATTTTAGTGAACGTTGATTTTCTCAAAAGCCTGGGTGAATGGAAATTTTCACAGTTGGTGTCTAAATGCCACCAATGTATAGGGAACAGGCACACCTCCCTATGAAGGGGGCTTCATGAATGAGGTTTTGCCCCATCATGGCGCCAAACACATTGGTGGCAGCGCCATTATCTAGCTAGTCAGACAGGTGACACAAAGACCACAGGAAAGTTGATATGTGGAAGCATAGTTAACACACACACACTTAGATAAGAATAAATCCCCTTGAACCCAAGCCCCTTTCTGGTGTTTGCCCTCACGGGATTAAAACCATGTGAGGGGGGCAGTGAGGCAGCCCTTCCCCCTCATCATCCACACATTGGAGGGATGGCCTGGAGAGTAGACTCTCTTCTCAGTGGGTAGGCTCCCTGTCCCCTGGTTAGAACTCTGCCTGATTAAGATTCTAAATCACAGAGGGAGCCTATGCACACCTGGGGCAGGTTACACCCTATTGTTAACGGTGGGAGGGTGACTGCCTGAAGACGGCTGCAGTGCCACTGAATCTTAAATTGACATACGTAGGATTGTGCTGACCTGTGGGACTCTCCCTAGGCCATGTTCCTTCTCCCCAGGACATGCTCCTGGATATTTTTGCCTGGCTGGAATGTGTCTTCAAACCTCTCACTTGTCTGAATGGAGGATGGAGAGGTCTGAGTGTAACCATTCCAGAATTTTGTGCTATTGAAATATAACGTACAAAGGTCAAAGCCATATCTATTGCAACCTTCCCCTGTGCCCCCACCCACCACTGCAATGTGGCCCCTGGAAATTTATCTGCAACAGAGCGCGGCCCTCATGCTCTAAAAAAGGGTCCCCGCCTCTCTTTTAAAACATGGTGTAAATGCTTTTAAGTCTGGATTTAACTCATTCACCCCAAGAGTGCAAGAGGTTTCAATGCACTTTGAAGCAGCAAACTTGAAATCAGTATTATCTTTTGTATAATCCATTATTTTTTTTTCAACAGGGAGGTTCAATGTATCTAAACGAATCACTTCCTGCCTATAGGGGGCGTTGGGATGCAAAGGAATGCACCTGTGCTTATAAATAAATGTCTTATAATGGATTGCAGCCTTCAACTTGAAAAATTCACTTTGTGCTTAGACTTTTGGATTTTACCACTATTGTGAGAATCAGATTAAAATACATGTTAGCAGGATACTTTAATGAACAGATGCAAATAATTCAGATGCAACAGCACCCTTCCCATGCAACACAGACGATACTAAAGTAACGGACAGTGCTATTTTTCTTTGCCAACAGGTCAGTGCTATATGGGATGCTGAAAGTATTGTGGTTTGGGGGAAATGGAATGAAGGTTTTAGGAGAGAACGAGAGGGATCATCCAAAGCAAATATTTCCAGACCAAACAAGGTGAAGCCAGACGTTATTTTGAAAGCAAAACAAGTTATACTTACATTTAATGCTCGTGTTCAAACTCTTTGGAGCAGATGAATCAACAGCAGCTGAATTAACAAAACAAAACAAAAAGTTGTTTATCTATGTTTGCAGTATTTTGCTTTCAAATTACAGGAAAGAGTAATGTATGACCTGCTTCTAAGCGATAGGGTTGTTGAAAGTCTGGATTCAATTAAAAGCATGCTCTTAAGTAACCTCCTTCTCTAAACCTTTTATTTAGAAATCTAACCGCAATATGGGATATATAAAAGAGGAAATTATTTGTGGTAGGTTTCTATTTCTTCTTCGTTGATTATGAGGCCAAATCCTCAGCTGCAGCTTAAAATTTTGGTGGCTAAGGCTGCATATGGAAGAACGAATGTGACCTGGGGTGCATAGCATCATGCTCCCTACACAGGCTTGGTTTAATGATTGAAACAGAGATAGTGTGCTCACAGTTAAGATGCTTGCATGGCTCCATCTCATTACCATGAACAACTGCCAGAGCCCTGCATTTTAAAAGATTAAGCATTGCATGTGACATTGATGTGATAAGGTTATCTTTCAACATCTCAACTCAGCTGTTACCTTCTTCCAAGACAGTAATGCCCACTCACATCACAAAGAACTCATAACCCACCTACTCTCAGCAGCCAAAAGCATCAAAACCAGACACTGGAGAGACCTGTCAGGAGCAAGCATGGACCAATAGTACCAAATAGTATGGGAAACAGCCTTACTAGAAAAATCAACCAATGAACTGAAACTGGTGCGGGGACAAATAGAGGAAGACGCCTTCACCCCAGTATGGCTCTCCTTTATCAAATACACAGCCCAACAAGACAATGACAAAAATCCATCAACAGCATACAAATCAATATGGCTAACCTGCAATCCTAAACACCCACCCACCCCACTCACACATGAAAACGAAGATCACCACAGCCAATCACAAACAACCACACCGTAGGCCAACCCCAACTTTTCTCACCACCAAAGGAACACAAGCAAATAGCAAAGAGAACCTGCACAAGCGACGCCGACGCAAAACCCCACGCATACGTTAAGTAAAATAGAAACATCGCTACCCCACCCCACCCCCATCCACCATGGCCCCCTCCACCTCTTCCCCCCTTTTCTTCCTAATGTAACACTAATGTCTCAACAAATGAAACTAATCTGTAGAAAATGTAACTTGAAAAAAGAGACATTGCACATACTTTCGTAAGAAATCTTTAATAAAAGATACATATTTTTTTTTAAAAAAACTTCAGCTGTTACCATAGTAATTACTGAGTAAATAGTATATCATGCATTAAGCAAGCCAGACATTTTGCGGGTCTGTACTACGCAAAGGTAAAAGTTCCAATGTAATAAACAATGGTTAATTGCCTCAAAAAATGTTATTTATTCCATGGCGGGGGGGAGACCCTCAATATATTATTTTTAATATAGGACCAAACATCCAAATTAATAACTTCAGCCACAACTTGGCTAGAGCATACAGAAAGTGTATTCAACACATCAGAAAGCCAAAGGGTCAAATCCCTTATATTCTGAATGGCTTTCTTCCTTTGGGTGTGTTTAACAGCTCACTGACTGCAAGCAGAATCCTTCCTGAGTTTGGTATTCTGAGCAAGGTATTCTGATATCTTTACTCTATTCCTATGAGCAAACAACAGCAGTGGCATGCCTTAGCCAGCTTAAAGAGCAGAAGACTTTCAGCTCCCTGTAGTCACTGGGCTTGTGATTTACACCACCCAATTATTTTGTTGTACAGTCTGTGCATACTCACTTGAATGTAAGGTCAAGCGAACATCAGAGGGGTTTGCTCTCAATTAAATGTGTCCAGGGCTGCATACAGGGGGTAGAGCAGGGACCCCAGACTCTTCATTTTTAGGTGTGTGTGTGTTTTTAAGTATGTCAGCCAAATATTTCTGAAGAAAGTTAGAACATGTGGAAGCAACTCTGATGCTTTGACACTTGGTAGGCAGCACCACTGCTAAGGATACTTAATCACCGTTGCTAGGCAGACAGTGGAAAAAGTGTTGACTACTGCCACCTGGGACACAGAAGGGGGCCACCTTACAGCAGCAGGGAATGTAGGCGAATATGGTGGATAATATTGGGGTATGTTCGTTAAAGCACTTTTCTTGTGTCCACACTATTTCAGTCACTCCCCAGGTGTTCCAGCTTTTGCAGAATAAAACACAACTGGCTGGTTTGGGGATGTTTTACTCAGAAGTAACTCCCTTAACACAGGGTCTTTATTTTTTCTTGCATATACTATTTTATCTTTGAGGGTTTTTGTTTTTTTTACAATCAAGTGGTGAATAGATTTTATGAAATAAAGAACAGGCGAGCATCCTGGGGAGAGCTTTCCACAATGAATCAGCAAATACAACCATAAAATAATTAAACACTTTATAAGTTAAAATTCTTATAGGCTCTACACAAGGATATACCGCATTTCGTACAGCCTATAAGAATTTTAACATACACATATGAACACATACACATATAGGGAGAATGTTTTGTGTGTACATATGATACACATATAGGGAGAATGTTTTGTGTGTACATATGTTTTGCTGAGCGTCGTGAAACTGCACATACTTGTTGTTCATTGTTGTATATTTGCATCTTGATTTTCCTCCCAGGAGCTCAAGGCTGCATTGTTGAAATATACCCAGAGTTGAGAGTGGATTTCATGCTCTTCATTCAGCTCATAGTGGTGAGGAGGAATGGAAGTTCCCCCAGAATGTCTGCTTTATATACATTATTTACACAATGGGCCCCATGTGATTGGCTAATTCCAGGATTCTCCTGTAGGCCAATCAGGTTGTGGATTCACTTCCACCTGGAGCTGGATTGGGTGGCTCCTGTGGACCAATCAGACTGTTGCATTCTGGATCCTATTGTTCTAGGACCAATCAGACTGATGCATTCTAACTCCTATTGTTCTAGGACCAATCAGACTGATGCATTCTGAATCCTTTTTTTTTTAAGAATAATTTTTTATTAACCGACCAATCACATCAAATCAAACCAAATTACATAAATTCCAAATTACACAGCCGAATTTTAATTTTTTGTTGAGGGTACCCATATTTCAAGTTCTGAAGGGGATCCAATCAACTTCTTGCTTCTTACTGCTGTTTTAATGTCCACAAATCTAACCTTATGATGTTCACAGTACTATCCAGTCCTTTCTTATTGTTTTTCCACATCTCTTGTTGTTATTTTCATATATTTTTCCTTTCTCTTTGTGACCTCTGATAGTCTCCACAAGCTGGTTAGACAGTTTGTAATCCTGTGTGGATATTATTATTTTTTATCCAGTAGCCATATCCAGACATTTTCCATGTAACATCACTTCCATACATCAAAACAGTCTTAGCGTCATTAATCTTCACCAATCTGCCTCCTTTCTCAAAACCTCTGAGGAGATTCACTGGGAATGCAGTCTGAAAACAAGTCCGTTCCTTCTCTCGGCTATAAATCCTTTGGCAAGATGACGACTCCGAATTAATTGCTGCGCCATTCCAAAAGCTCTTATTGCTTCTCGATCTCCATAAAGCATACTTTTGGTTAAAGTTTATCTCCACACAGACCTTAATCATCCTGCTTGGGTCAGTTCAACCGATGATTCTAATGAGGAGGTGTTCTTGTAAATCACATAGAAGGAAAGTAAAAAAGGTTTTTTCCCCCCCATTCAGTCCCGTTGTCAACATACCCAGCCTTTGGTGTATCTTCATCGTAAAATATTCCTGTTTCTCCAACCCGTCGTCTTCTTTCGCAAAGGTCACTTAAATTAGCAGATGATGCATTCTGAATCCTATTGTTCTAGGACCAATCAGACTGCTGCATTTGGATCCTATTCAACTCAGTACATAACAATTGTCTTCCCCTTCCCCACTTTTATCTTCACAACAGTCCTGTAGGGTAGGCTGTGGGCTGGTAGTTTTAGACACTAAAGTTTTGAAACCGCACATATTTAGAACATTGCTAGCTTGTTAATTTTTCAGGGTCGGCAAACTTTTTGTTTGTTTTGATATTCAGCTAGTCTGGAACCTCCTGAGATAACAAAATCCTAACCTTCCTCTGCTTCCATTCTAATCAAAGCCTCGCTGTTCTGCCTACAAATTGGCTGCTAAGAGCCCTGAGAAATCAAGGGTACTGTACAGAAGGGCTTATTCTGCAGACCTGTTTGGACAAATGGCTCCCAAGCAAACGTGGAAACACATGCATGGATGGGAGTCTTCCTCAGTTGCTCCAGCAACAGCCACCTTATCCTTGTCAGAAGTCACCAGGTGTTGTTCAAGCCCACCTCAGAATTACTGTTCTTTGGTAGGGTCAGATGCATGGAATCTGTTATATATACTTATAATTCAGAAAATTGTTTCAAATTAGCTTTGAATCTCCCGAGTTACACACATATATAACAAGCTATCTACTTACTAAGGGACACCAGGTGGGCTCTGGGAGCCAAACTACAAGATAATGTGAAATCCCCAGGATCGAAATAAGACAACCTGACTGGAAGGAAAATGCCTCCCTAATCCAAAATATGTCAGTAAATGAGCTTGGGAGTGAAAGTAAAACCTTTCCATTCAAGATGAATGTTTTCTGTTCTTAGGCATGATACAACTCATACTAAAACCAGAATACCTAAGGGAACAATGGATGTTAGTTTTGCTATTTCAATACCTGCACCTCAGGGATACAATGGCATTATGGGGAGGGGGAGTCATAAACAGTGCACTACCTATATTTTCACATGCAGAGCTTTTATTTAAGCATGCCTGCCATTTTTCTCCATTTCCCCTGTTTAGCCCAGTAGGGAACTGGTGGAAAAGATTTGCAATGCATGAAAAGAAATCCTTCACAGGTTTTAATTTTGTGCTTTGATTCTTTCCAATGACTCTGTGCAGAGTTTAAATGCTTGAAACTGAGCTTTGAGGGAGATTTCTTCTGAATGCCTGAAACCTGGGTCAGATGTAGCTGCGACTTGCCACTCTGCGTAAAAGGGTTTGCAGCTTAAAAAGAGCATGCTAGAGTTTGTTCCAGTGAGCAGTTTCAACGTGGGAGCAAAAGTGAGACTTGAAGTTGATTTGGACAAATGAAATCTTCCATCCGAGGTCCTGGCGTGTGAAGAATTCGTCCCTATAAATTTTGGCTTTGGCTTCAAGGAATGTAATGGACTGAAAGAATTGGCTGAAGGTCATGCGAGTCCTTGAATTAGTTCCTTCATGTTCTGTTGGGAACCTCTTCTTTCCATCTTCACAATGTGGGGGCAGAGAGCAGAGATAAGGTGCTACTCAGCTTTGTTGTTGTTTAGTCATGTCCAACTCTTCATGACCCCATGGACCAGAGCACGCCAGGCACTTCTGTCTTCCACTGCCTCCCGCAGTTTGGTCAAACTCATGTTGGTAGCTTCGAGAACACTGTCCAACCATCTCGTCCTCTGTCTTCCTCTTGTCCTTGTGCCCTCAATCGTTCCCAACATCAGGGTCTTTTCCAGAGAGTCTTCTCTTCTCATGAGGTGGCCAAAGTATTGGAACCTCAGCTCCAGGATCTGTCCTTCCAGTGAGCACTCAGGGCTGATTTCCTTAAGAATGGATAGGTTTGATCTTCTTGCAGTCCATGGGACTCTCCAGAGTCTCCTCCAGCACCATAATTCAAAAGCATCAATTCTCCAGCGATCAGCCTTCTTTATGGTCCAGCTCTCACTTCCATACATCACTACTGGGAAAACCATAGTTTTAACTATACGGACCTTTTTTAAGATGCTGTCTACGTTTCTCATTGCTTTTCTCCCAAGAAGCAGGCGTCTTTTAATTTCGTGACTGCTGTCACCATCTGCAGTGATCACGGAGCCCAAGAAAGTGAAATCTCTCACTTAGCAGGTGTGAATTATGGATGCCTCCCCTCACGTAGTTGAGATGCTTCTGAACATTTATGAGCATGAGATTTCCAATGGTGAAAGTTTGGGTGCTTTGCCTGCAATAATCCTGGCTGTTTCTGTGTGATTTAAATGCATTGGGGGACAAAGGTGGACAAATGTTACTACAGACGGAAAACGGGTAGGGGTACCTATGCATGATGGCATATTAAAAGAGAAAACAGACAAACACACCTGTGGTATTTTTGGTAGGCATATTCTGTAACATGTAACTGATGCAATAATAGTGGATTTATACAGGATCATCCACAAATCATTCTTCTTTATTAGTTCTTCAATACAGTGGTAACTTGGGTTACATACGCTTCAGGTTACATACGCTTCAGGTTACAGACTCCGCTAACCCAGAAATAGTGCTTCAGGTTAAGAACTTTGCTTCAGGATGAGAACAGAAATCGTGCTCCGGCGGCGCAGCGGCAGCAGGAGGCCCCTAAAGTGGTGCTTTCAGGTTAAATACGGACCTCCGGAACGAATTACTGGTAAGTACTTAACCTGAGGTACCACTGTACTTCCCAAATGTTACTGCATTATTGCTATCTGGAAGGGGACTCTTACACTTCAGCACAACAAAAGTAGGACCAACCTCCCTGGACCCTCCAATATTTGTGATATACACCAGTTGCAAGATTTCAGCAGGAGAACTGTAGGCCCAAGATCTCACCGCATCATGCAAGACAGGACTCTGGTCTTGGAACCTCAAAGCATATTTAACATACAAGACCAGACTGTGCTAAGTAGGAAGCATGATGGAATTGCCTTAAGGAACAGAACTGGAACGAACCAGGAATCAGCACACCCACAGGCCCAGGAAATAATAAAAGATGCCATGACATAATAATAATAAATCATCATCATCATCACCTTCGTCTCTCATTCATGTAGGTGGGACTGTAACACAGATTTTGCTCATGGTCACATGTTTTTTTTCTAAATCAAGGATTGGGGAACCTGTGACCCCCCCAGAAGTTGTTGGACTCCAACTCCCATCATCCCTACCAAGGAACACGGATGGCGCTGTGGTCTAAACGACCAAGCCTCTTGGACTTGCCAATCGGAAGGTCGGCAGTTCAAACCTGTGGGACAGGGTGAGCTCCTGTTGCTCTGTCTCAGCTCTTGCCAACCTAGTAGTGTGAAAGCATACCAGTACGAGTAGATAAATAGGTACCGCTGTGGTGGGAAGGTAAACACAGTGTTCTGTTGCACCAGAAGCTGTTTAGTCATGCTGGCCACATGAGCCGGAAAGCTGTCTGTGGACAAACACTGGCTTCCTTGGCCTGAAAGTGGAGAAAGCGCTGCACCCCAAAATCAAATTTGACTGGACTTAACTGCCCAGGGGTCCTTTACCTTTACCATCTCTAACCATGCTGGCTGGGGTTGATGAAGCCCAATAATACCTGGAGGACCACAGTTTACCTACATCCCTGTTCTAAGTAGTGACTACCTCACTTGCTAGACAAAACAGGGAATTAAAACTCAACTCTCAATATGTATTTAAGATTTTGAGACATAACATTTGGAAATGTGATCCCTTAGAAAGTACTCTCACACTCTGGTTTTGCATTTGAGAAATACTCTCTTAGGCCTAAGTTTTTCTGCCAGTTGCTAAGATGCCAGTCAACCGCCAAAGAAACAAGTCCCGTTATGTGATTGTAGCTATCAGCTTGATGGACACACTTATTATTTGACAGTCCAAATACCTCTGGCAGATAGCAATTTTCTGTAATGTGTAGACATGTGATCTTGAATGATGTACTGGCTTGACAACTTGCATGAAGAACTGGGAGAAAAGGCTAAGAAAACAAAAAGTTTTTTCAGTCAATGGGTTTAAGAAGTATCTTGCACATTCATTTATTTTGAAAGATCTGGATTCTTACACAAAGAAATACACTGTATGAGAAATCTGAAGCAAAATAAGTGATAATTCAGCATAGCTTCTCCACTCCTGTTTGATTACTCAGTCAGTATAGTTTACAATAAATAATGTATGAGTTCTCTCTCTGTATTCTTATTAAATCACAATTTTTATGTATCATCTGCCATTGAAGCTCTCATGAGAACATGGTGCTTGCTGTTGTTTAATCTTCAATATCATCTTCATTTGGAAAGATTTAAAAGGGATGGAGGCGGAAAAGCAGAAAGAAATGTATGCATGCGTATTTTCACTGCACTACAAATATGCAGACAGGACTTTGTTTTTTAGATTAAATGAGTAAGTGAGAAACATATAAAAGTTTGGGAAATCTGAATACCTTCTTCCATTACTTCTGCTTTCCAAAGTTGCCACTCTAAAATATTCATCACATGTGATGTCATCATGTAACTGTAACTGTAGTCCTGTAAACAGGGTCACTAGCTGGCCATAAACTAAATTAAACTGTAGCTGAGGGTTGTTTTGGGGCCAGTTGCATAAAAACAAGTGACAATATTCTTTTTCTCCTTCAGGTTTTGTTTTATATACCTTGGAGAATTGTGGATCTTCACTGCAGTAAGAGCTTCTCCCCCACTCCCTAAAATGCAAATAGCAGCTGCAGGGGCGTGATCTATATTGGAACCCAGACATGCAATACAGGCAGGCTTTAACCTTATGCCCTCCTCTGAGGTCCAGGTCAGGTCCCTGACGCCTGCAATTTGCATTTGAAAAAAAATCTCCTGTCAGCCTCCTTGCATTCTGCCCTACCAGTACCAATGGTCTTCTGCTGGAAACAGAATTTGGAGAGATGGGAAGCAGAGCTCACCCCACCAGCTCTTCAGTGACCGACCTGCTCCATTAGGCTTCCTCTTCCTCAACCATCACCTAGAGGCATCCGGCTGGCTCCATGGGAGAGGTGGGAAGCAGAGCTCACTCCATTAGCTTTGCTGAAAGACCACCTGTATCAGGAACCTCCTAGCCCTCAGCTGCACCAACGGTTATTATAAGAACAACTGTTTAATTGTTGGTGCCCAAATTAGATCTGTTCGTCTTCCTGCTCTGTCCCTTCTCCCTTGTGTGCTGTGTGTGTGTGTGTGTTTAGATTGTAAGCCTATGGGCAGGGACAGTCTTATTTTAATTGTATGCAAGCCAATCTTTTTGCCTAAAGGGTAGCTTACAAACCAGGGTTACCAGATGTCCCCAGTCCTTGCAAATCTGTCCCCGGACAAATTCCGTCCCCGGAATGTCCCCTGATCAGTCAAAACAAAGGGGGAAGTGGGCAGGAGATCGGGGGAGGCTCAGATGTCACAGGAGTTGGCCAGTTTTTGCCCAGTTTTAAAAAAACTCAGAGCTTCACAGGGTGCGAAAGAAGGGCTTTGCTCCCTTATACAATATGCATGTGTGCTTGGGCCCAGGGTCTTTTGCCTCACCATCCCCACTACTGATTCCCTGTTCCTACTCTGCTTCAAAGAAGAAGAAGAAGAAGAAGAAGTGTCCCCGGATTCATTGAAAAAAATCTGGTAACCATATTACAAATGCTCTACCTAAGTAAGTAAGTAAGTAAGTAAGATAGAGTAATATCCAACTGTGTGGGTCCATTTGATTCATGGGCTTCTGTTCATGCCAACAGGACTTCCTTATCCCCCCCTGCACCCCCACATGTGCCCCCAATCTGTTCCAGATGGCTGGGTGACCCCCTCCTGGAGAGAATTAGGGGCATGGGGGGCCTGCAAGGGGAAGGCAAGGCCTGTCATGTCTGCTGGTGCAATGCTGGCTCTCACCCACAGATACTTCACTACGTCAGTTCAAGTCTGCGTTGGCAGCTGGAGCTGTAAAAGTGATTGACTGTTGAATGCTTTGTGCCAACAAGGGGCAATGTTAATTGTCAGTGTTAGGCTCCAGCATTTTTATTTGGTAGGAAGGCAGGGATAAAAGCAATCTGAAGTGGGTGTCCATATGTGATGGGCAGTGTGGGTCACAGTAACCCTTTCCGGCAACTCCAAGTTAAAGTGGTACCATTAAAGTAATTTTCCTGAATGCATTCCCCATTTGCACCGGCACTTGTGGCTGCAGCAGTCCAGCCCTGCTGGTTGGAACGGATGAGTAACATATACAGGAAAGCAGGAAACGAGTGGCATTTCTGGAAGCTTGGAGCTGGATTATGGGATGAGTCACTTTGGCTTGTGTTTCATTTGGGAAAGGCCATAGCGCTGCAAAACTCCTGCTTTGTATGCAGAAGGCCTCAGGTTCAATCCCTCACATCTCCAGGGGAAAGGTAGGTGTTGAAAACTCTGGAGAAGTGATGCCAGTCAGCTTGGATAATACTGAGGTTGTTGCTGCTGCTGTTGTTAATATCCTAGACAAGGACTCAAGGCGGCTTACGCAAATGAAAACCACACAAATAAAAGACAAAAAGGCTAATAACATATACAGTGGTACCTCTAGATACGAACGGGATCCGTTCTGTAGCCCCATTCGCATCTAGAGGTAAACGTAACTAGCGACGGCACGTCTGCACACGCGCGCGTCGCTTTTTGCCACTTCTGCACATGCGTGTGACGTCATTTTGAGCATCTGCGCATGCGCAAGCGGCGAAACCCGGAAGTAATGTGCTCCGTTACTTCTGGGTTGCCGAGGAGCGCAACTCAAATGCGCTCAACTCGAAGCATATTTCACCGGAGGTATGACTGTAAAGGGTAATTTACCTGCTGAAAGTCTGAGGGTCCTGCTCCTGCCTCTCTCCACCAGGCCTGACAGACTACAACAGGACTGCTGTTGCCCAGCAGAGTGTACTGTTTACTTTCTTTTAAACTGCTTTTTAATTGTTTTTTTAATATAAAAATAAATTAATTATTTTTAATTGTTTTAAACATCTTTATGTGTTTTTGGAGGGTTATCCGGCTCTTTATATTTTGATTATGTATTTTGTGTTTTTATATTGTAATTTTGTCTTGTGAACCGCCCTGAAACCTGCGGGTATAGGGTGGTATATTAATAATAATAAAGTAATTGAACTATAATAGAATTAAAACAATATAAAAACAAACCTATTAAATCAAAGATAGTAAAAACTGCACAGCATTATTTAAAAGCCCTTTCCTCAAAAACCAGTTGGTTTTTTCTGGAAGCAAATAACATGGGAATGAGCATTAAGGTGTTTCTGAAATAAGACTGTAGCACTTGTTTTTGCTAAGAATGCTTTAGTACTTACAGCTACTTTTGATACTCATGTGTCCTCTGAAAGGCCCCATCAAGGAATACTTTGGGATCATGGTATCTGGGACCCTTGAGGAGAGAGGAAAAAATGGGCATAAGTAATAAATACTTAGAATGACAATTTTTATTGTTTGTCATCATACAGTGGATGTGAGTAAGGAAAACAGGACTACTCAGTTTGTTTGCTTGCTTATGTTGCTTTGGTTATTGTAAAGAGTATGGGTTGCTCGTGCGTAAGTTGCCGCCTCTCCTGGCTTTGTTGCCTTGTTAAACCTTTCAGTCTGGACAGCCCTTCACTTCGTGGCTGCCTCAGTCACTAGCAGAATCCGTCAGTGGGCGTTTCTTAAACCTTTTCCAACATAAAAGTTGTTTGACACCCAGTCTCCTTCTACTTTCTCTGCGCGGAAGTCTTCTGCGCAGGGAGGGCGTGGGTAGCGGAGGACCCGGGCTCTCCCCGCTGGTGTCCGGTGAAGAGTCTGGGAGCCCTCTCGCCGATTCCCCCATCAGCCCCTTTTTATTCCTGGTGTTGCGCTGAATTGCTTCCCCATCTGCTGAGCTGCCTCTCTCCCTGCTGGGCCCTTCTCCAGCATCATTTGAGAGCCTTCCCTCCGTCTCTAGCTCCGATGTCAGTTCCCTGACAGTTATTTATCAGAAGCATTCAGATACTGCCTCCAAAGCCAGCTAAAAAAAATAATCAAAACCACAAAACAACATTTGAAATACCAGTAAAATTGAAGATTAAAACCCAATTCACGGTACTTTAATACTATGGAAGATGAAGCCACATATATTTATTATTGGGCCACTACTGAAAAGGCCTCACAAGTCTGGTAGATCAGGAATGTATGCTCAGCAATTGGGACTTCTAAATCTTTAGGCATATAAAATGCCTCATACTGAATCAGAGACTATTGTTGCAGTAGCTTGCTATTGTTTACACTGATAGCTAGTTGCTGTCCAGAGTTTCAGACCAGGATCTTTCCCAGCTTTATCCAGAGATTTGGAAAACAGGCAGAATATTTAAACAGGACATTTAACAGCTCTGCTACAAATTGAGGGGATCCTTTAAGAAACACCTGTGGATCTGCAGACATATATTGAGTAGTTAGGATGGAGCGCACCACCTCTCAGTTTTGGTAAGAAATCCCCCCCCCCCCAATACTGTAAGATTGGGGCTAGGCTTAATGGGTTTTTGGAGTCTCCTCTACCCTGTATTGAAGAATTGATGCTTTTGAATTATGGTGCTGGAGGAGACTCTTGAGAGTCCCATGGACTGCAAGAAGATCAAACCTATCCATTCTGAAGGAAATCAGCCCTGAGTGCTCACTGGAAGGACAGATCCTGAAGCTGAGGCTCCAATACTTTGGCCACCTCATGAGAAGAGAAGACTCCCTGGAAAAGACCCTGATGTTGGGAAAGATGGAGGGCACAAGGAGAAGGGGACGACAGAGGACGAGATGGTTGGACAGTGTTTTCGAAGCTACAAACATGAGTTTGGCCAAACTGCGGGAGGCAGTGGAAGACAGGAGTGCCTGGTGTGCTCTGGTCCATGGGGTCACGAAGAGTCGGACACGACTAAATGACTAAACAACAACAACAACAAAGACTGTGTTCTAAAGAAAAAAGACACTGCTAAAGAGATGAAATTGGGTGAGCAAGCTTATCCTGCCAGATGCCCTTTGGAGAACGAGTCTTTGCATAAATAAAGAGTAGGCCAAGTACAGGTGAAGAAACCAAATAGTTGGAAGCCCTTCTTTTCCTGGACATGTCTTTCTTTCTCCCTATTCCTGGCTGGAGGTAATGTCATTCAGGTGTCTGCGAGCGAGAATTGTCAGGCAGTTTGGAACTGGGACTGATACACGGAGGAAACCAATGCTGTGGTGGGGACCCCTGTAACTCATTGGGAGGAGAAGGAGCATTAGTGCTATGAGCCTTCCATCTCATGCTCAATCAGTACATCTGTGTGCATAAACCTTATATCAAAGAAAACACCACCGATCTCCATCTGTCTTCATTCTAAGAAAACCAAACCCAAAGTTTGTGTTGGCGCCCCCAAAACCTCTTAGCACTTGGAGAATGGGATGTGTGTAGCCATCTTTGGGAGTAATACACAAATACTCACAAATCAGATTTCATAACACTTGAGTTCCAGTCCGGCATATTATTAGGTGGCGGACAGAGAGGATACAGGACCCTTTCATGATTATGCTATACTTCACATGATGATCCTGGATGATCTATTCATATATAAATCCAGAAAGGCTATTATATACACCCCCCCAAAGAGTATGGGGAAATGAGAGATCCATTGTTAATTTATTTGGTTCTGCTGTATCCAAAAGTCCTTGTTTTGGAGCTTATTCTGTCAAATCTGCAGCGGAAGAGTTCGGTGAGCTATTGCCCTGAGTAAAGTAAGATTGAAAACAGAAAAGAGAGAGAAGACACCACCATGGGGACCCAAGAAAATTAATTAGCTCCCTGCCAGGGCTCTATGATTTTACCTTCAACAAGTAGCAATAAATTGTGAAGCAAGCAAGGAACTTGATTTGAAAATACAGTCGTCGAATGGAAGAGAGGCTCTAGTAAGCTGTTCAAATTCACAAGCCTTTTCATTTTGTTTGTTCTGTGCTTTTTTCTATTTGCTTAGATCATGGGTAGGCAAACTAAGGCCCAGGGGCCAGATGTGGCCCAATTGCCTTCTAAATCCAGCCCATGAACGGTCCAGGAATCAGCGTGTTTTTACATGAATATAATGTTCCCTTTTATTTAAAATGCATCTCTGGGTTATTTGTGGGGCATAGAAATTCATTCATTTTTCCCCCTTCAAAATATAGTCTGGCCCCCCACAAGGTCTGAGGGACATTGAACCGGTCCCCTGCTGAAAAAGTTTGCTGACCCCTGGCTTAGATTCTATCAGTTCCTACATTCTCTAATAAAAGACCCTGGGGTTTGGGTGCAAAAATAGCTTTCCTTCTAGTCCACCATCTTCCTCCTGGGAAGTCCGCTTTCCTTCATGTTTTAGGTGCATACTTAAATATCATCCCATTTATAATTTAATGCACTGTTCTTATTTCTCGCTACAGGAAAACTACCACCACCAGCAGCAGCTTAGCTAGCTGCCTGAAGCATCTATGGCATGCAGAGGTGACCAGGGTGATACCAGTGGTGGGGTTGCAGTGTGAGTAGGACACAGCCTGGCATACATTTGTGCCTTAGGCAGCCTGGTCCACAGCAATCAGCAGGTGAAACTTTGCATGGCACAAAGTTAAAACACCACCAACTCCTAACTTCTACAACACATTGCTGTTAAAGACACAAGAGCTAATGAAAAGGGGAAAGAGTTGTGGCTTCAGTGGGGCACAGACTTGGCTACAGCAGAGTGTTATACTGTAGGTATTGTTCTGCCTTCTGCACCTACAATGTGCAGCCTTTAGCTTCCTGCCTGTTATGTATTGAGTTGAATAGGATCCAAAATGCAGCAGTCTGATTGGTCCTAGAACAATAGGATTCAGAATGCAGCAGTCTGATTGGTCCTAGAACAATGCAGCAGTATGATTGGTCCGCAGGAGCCACCCAATCCAGCTCCAGGTGAAAGTGAATCCACAACCTGATTGGCCTACAGGAGAATCCCAGAATTAGCCAATCACGTGCAGCCCATTGTGTAAATAATGTATATAAAGCAGATATTGTGGGGGAACTTCCATTCCTCCTCACCACTATGAGCTGAATAAAGAGCATAAAATCCACTCTCAACTCTGAGTATATTTCACTGCCTAAGTGAGGTAGAGGCAAAACAGCCCAGGGAGGCTGTGTGTGTCGCACTAGTGACTTTCTCTTATTTTTAGAATTGTGGTAGGGTTGCCAAAAATGCTGGCCGTCATTTATACAATGTTTATGGGCGTTGTGAGGGATGAGGAAATGATGACTAGCAAATCCTCTAAAGTAAGTCTAAGCTGCGTTGCAGCTACTATGGTTTCGTTCTTTCAGCTCAACATTATGAAACTACAGTGGTGTGAAATTGGGATGGCACCAGTTCTGGAAGCATCGCAAAGCAAGTTCTGATATTAATCAAATACAGAAGGTCTTGTACTTTCGAAAGATCTTCTGTAAGAGCAGGCTTGACCCTACTGTGCTTGATAAATAACATAAGTTGCATCATGGTTCTCTTAGAACTGGTTCCATCTATGGAGACATCTGGTTAATCTTCCTGAAGTACAATGAGAAGTATGGCCTTTGTTGTTGCTGTTATCTTCTCATCCAGAGCCTGGTTCCTGTATATATATGTGGATGGGACAGGGGTGTGTTTGAACTCTCATGCCTCTTGAACTTTGAGAGATATGAAAAAATGCTTCCTCGGGAACAGGCAAATAGTATCCATAATGGCGTTAATGGAGGTGGGGATGTTTTAAATTGTGAAATTGTTACATGTAAACTTTTTATTAGTTTAGTTTCATATAAGTTAGTTTGCTTTTAAGGGCAGAGGGTCAAGGCTGCCTCGGGAGTGGGCCTTAGCCAACATAATGGCTGGGGCAGGTACCACTAGGGTGGATGCAATAGGACACCCAACCTCAGTGATGATGGGCAGGAGGAGGGTTGCTTGAGGGCCAGATCATGCCATTACCAAGAAGGCAGGTATAGTCACTGTCTGAAGACTATCCCTGCCTTCAGGTCTGGCCTTGGCCAGAGGAATACAGGTATCAACAGTGGCATCCCATATGACCTCAAAGTGGTGCTGTGTAATACCAGGTCAATGATTAATAAGACCAGTGCCATCCATGATTTGAGCATGGATGGGGGAATTGACCTGGCATGTGAGACAGAGACATGGTTTGACACAGCAGCTGGACCTGTTCTTGCCTCTTCCTTGTCTACCAGGTTTCTCTTACGCACAGCAACCCAGGTCATGTGGGGGAGGGGCTTTTGCAGTGATTTTTATGAAGTCTTAATTTTCACCGAATTCTTATCTTAACTATGGTTGGCACAAACCATAGTTTTACATTATGTCAGAGCCCAGCCACTGTGTGTCCATCTAACCCAGTCTTGCCTTATCAGTCTGGCAGGGAACATAAGAAGAACCTGTTGGGTCAGGCCAATGGTTTGTCTTTCCCAGAATCCCATTCTCACAGTGGCCAACCAGATGCCTATGGGAAGCTTGTTGGCGCAAGAGGACTGCCCCCTTCTGCAGTTTCCAGTGAGTGGTGCTCAGAAGCATACTGCCTTTGACAGTGGGGGGTCTTTTCCAGCCCCGCTCCCTTTGAATCCTTTAAATTAAAATGTCAGGGACAGAACCTGACCTTTGGTACACAAAAGATCTGATGTCGCAATGGTCCTGTGCTTCTTTGGTGATCAAGGGGCTAGTCATGTGTCCCCTCTTACCTTGCAGCTCTTCTCCTTCTTTCTGTCTGAATAGGGATTGCATTTTATAACTTTTTGGCATAATAAAATTTACACTTCTGTCGGCCCCACTGGCAGCACGCAGGCTTTCAGCAGAGGAGAACACACCAGGCAGTCCATTCATCAGCATTTGACCTCCACATGGGGGAAGGACCGGAGAACCTGATTGCTTTCTATTACAGTCAAAGCACCTCTCAGACTAGCAGCCATGCTGTGGGGCTCATTACAGATGTCGCAGAGGAGAGGAATTAAACACCTTTCCCACTGATGGCAAAAGACATTTTTAGCCCAACGGAGCCAAAGCTTTGTGGAAGCAAAACACTTCTGCTAGTTTCCATTAGCAAGGGGGAGGGGGGATACGATTCTTGTCTCTGGTGCAGATAAGGGGGAGATAGGAAGGCAGGCTCTACGAATGAGAGTAGAATATCTTATCAATGCAATATTAGTAAAATGACTAGCAAAACACCTGCCAAAATCATGAGTGAAGCATGGTTAAAGACACGTCGCTTCGGGAGGACATAAGAAGAGCCTGCTGGATCAGGCCAATGACCCACCTAGTCCAGTATCCTGTTCTCACAGTGGCCAGCCAGATGCTTCTGAGGGAAGTGCAGAGGGTGGACACAAGCCTTCTCGGTGGTGGCCCACCCATCTATGGAAAACTCTTGCCAGGAAGACAAGCCTGGTGCTCTCTCTAGTCAGTTTTTAGGTGTTGGACTAAGACTTTCTGATTACCCAGGCCTTTGGTTAATGAATATTGCCTCCTATAGTGCTGCTCAGCTTTTGGTGGGGTGAGTAGTACTTGGTCCTTACAAAATTACTGCTGCATGAGCATTTGATGCATCTTGTATTAGTGTCTTAATTTGTTCTGGTTTTAAATACACTGCATTTTATTTTTGCCAGGTTTCTTTGAGACATTTTACTCTAAAAAGTGAATGAAAAATGAAATATGAAATTTTTGAAAAGCTGTTTTCCCTTTGTATGTTATCGTCACTAATAATATGTACATCTTTACACATATTTTTACCCTAGAATATCTAGTATGTTACTTGGCTAGAGAATTGCATTGCAAAATTCAGGGAAGTTCAAATTTCAAGGAATGGCTACAATTCAGTTCACTTACTGGTTCAGTAAGTGCGAATTAGGCAAACTCACCTTGAAATGCAAACTGAATGGCTTCACATGTGAACCGTCCCAAAATCTTGCTGAATGTTCTCAAGTAAGAAATTTGGCCCAGCGCTAATCTAAAAGCCAACATTTCCCATGCTACTCAGAATTTGCTCCTGGTGTTAACCCATCTGCTAGCACAATTTGCCTTATGGAAATTTTGAATTTCACTGCCAGATATTACTACTGTTGCTTGACCTTTTTGGAAAGATAGAGGCAGTGGTTGCTGCTGCTGCTGCACACAAGTGTTTCCCTTCAGTTATCTATTCCCTTTCTAAAAAGGTATCTTAATGCATTCTCAATCAAACCTCATGTTGAGATTCAGGGTTTGCTGGTACTTGGATGCAATTGCTGCTTTAAAAGCTACAAACACTTACCGGTAAATAGAGTTGATTAACCGATTAATGGATTGATTAGAGCTTAAAAATAGACCAGCAATTGATCAAAGCCAAGTGGCTGTTCTTCTGCCATTAGTAGCACACAGATTCAGTGGCAAAAAGCAAAACAAAAAGACCAACCTTCAGTTAAAACACATGGTTAAGACTTCACACACTAAAATGCAAATGTATACAGACTATCCTTTCACTGTTCCAGTTGTGATAAGTTTGTTCAGTAGGTTCTCTCTTAAATATTGTCTCTTTTGCTTCCTCCTGATGCAATTGACGCTCAGGTGCTAATTCTGTGGTGGACAGTAAAAGAATGAATTTCTAAATTTTGCATCTTACTGCTTTTTAACATGTGCTAATCTGAAGCTACAACTTTTATTTTTCATGGGGTTTTTTAACCATTTAATATCGCTGTGTCTTCTGTCCTGGAGATAAGTTCAATTTAAGAGCTATTGCTGCATCAGATGCTTACATGGACATGGACAGATGGATGCTTACTTTGGCCAGACAACACAATACACTGACCAGGCTTTGAGTGCAGGATGTTTCTGGCTGAAACAGCCAATGTGAACACCTGATCTGGATTCACACCCTGGCTGAGGGCTGGGAAAACCTGTAGGAGGGTTGTAGCTCTTTGCCTCCTAGTGTTACGGTCCTGATTTGGAGGACCTGCACCAGCAATTGTTATTGCATGGGGGTACTCCCATTTTAGGGATGCGGGTGGCGCTGTGGGTTAAACCACAGAGCCTAGGACTTGCCGATCAGAAGGTCGCGGTTCGAATCCCCGCGACGGGGTGAGCTCCCGTTGTTCGGTCCCTGCTCCTGCCAACCTAGCAGTTCGAAAGCACATCAAAGTGCAAGTAGATAAATAGGTGCCGCTCTGGCGGGAAGGTAAACGGTGTTTCCGTGTGCTGCTCTGGTTCGCCAGAAGCGGCTTAGTCATGCTGGTCACATGACCCAGAAGCTGTACGCCGGCTCCCTCAACCAATAAAGCGAGATGAGCGCCGCAACCCCAGAGTCGGTCACGACTGGACCTAATGGTCAGGGGTCCCTTTACCTTTACCTTACTCCCATTTTATTGAATGGGAGTATATACCAACATGCCATACCCCCCAACACTTCTCCAATGAAAATGGGGATGTCCTAAAGAAAAGCGGGACATTCCAGGATCAAATCAGAAACTGAGATGGCTTCTCTAAATAGGGACACTTGGAGGATCTGCCATGCATATTGCAGGCATGGGTCTCTTTGATACACTGCTGAAATGCATTTATTTGTTGGCCTCCTTTTAGGGGCTAACCCATCCCACAGCAGCTTCCAACATATAATATTGAGTTTAAAACCATAAAAATATAATTTATTTAAAATGAACCCCCCAAAGAAGAATGAATGATAATACAGCATTCATCCCTGGAAAAACAGCCCTGTTACTGCCAAACAATCAGTTTGTTCTGTTACCAATGTATTGGCATTAACAGGGTTAGTTATAAAAAGAAGGGAAAGAAGGGAAAGAAAGAAATGACTAGGTGAATGTTGTGGTGTTAGTTGCATATGCACAAGGGCCAGTAGGTGGCACGATGCAGGAAGGTCAGAGTTTGCATCCAGGAAAATAAAGTTTCCTTATGCTTTTCCTCTCCCAAAATGATGTCCCGGCTCCCTATTAATCCTACAGATGGTACATGCTGTCTATCTAAATCTAGAGTGTCTCTCTTCCTGGCTGTTAGGTGAGACGTTATTGTGTAAACCTCACATTTTAAAATATAAGGGGTTACACATGGTGGTCCCCACTCTCCTTCTTCCCTTCTGATGGCCATTTGGCAACGCAAAGAGATGTTCTGTGGTAAAATGACTGTTGGAGCAACTAAACCAGTGACAAATCTTGGCCCCTGCTACTTTCACAGCCTGCCATTAAATGATTTGCAGAATTGGGAACACAACCTTCCCATTTCACATACTTAAAAGTGTCCCCGCTCCCCGCATCATAGAGCAATACAATTTTATGTTGTCTCGGTGCAGACGTTCACTCTATTTCCGGGAATCCAATAGGGGAAAAGGAAAAAGGAGTGTCTTTTTTGGGAAGAGAGGCCAGTGACTGAGGACACCTCTCAATGGACTGTAGACCTGCTAATTGCTGGCCTTTGCTGTACGTCAACCCGAAAACTAGCAAGGATTAGCTTCATGGATCAGCAATATTTGCTTCACAATTTGCTCCACTATTAACACCCGAGGTTCCTACTAATTGTTCCACCGCTGTAAGTTTCAGCACATGAAGGTGCGGGCTTTAATCACAACACCGCCGTTCCAATATTGTGTTAATGAGCCCTGGGCACACAAACACCAGCAGTGAGCACTTTTTAATAAGAGCTACAGAGCAACTCTCATTTTATTAAGCAATGAGACAGCGGCATATTATTGCCCGATGGGCTGGTGCTCAATAAAGTCTCCGTGTGTCAAGGCCTGACACAAATTGACTGCCCATCAGATTCTAAATCACAGCTGTTCTATCCACCAGTGTGGCCGGATGCAGGCCGGTTGTGTGTGTTGTCTGGAGCTCTGCTGCCTCTCCAGATAGAGCCAATCATATCTGATCCCCATTGCTTCCCAGCAGTGAGCAGCACCGAGCCTGATCTCTTACAAAGGTAACAAAGGCGCCTTTTGTGCAGTACAAGGAGAAGTCACAAAAGAGATGGTTGCAGGGGAGGAGAGAACAGAAGTAACTCTTCCTGATGCTGGTTCAATAACAAGACAACAAAGAACCGGTATCTCATTTTTCTCTCCCCCATTTGTTTTGGATCATGTCCACAAGAGCCTTGCTCTCGGGACTATATTAATACTGCTGGGGATTCTGTAATCGCACCATGTCCTGCCCTGACTGCAGGGCCATCAGGAATGCAAATATTCCAATTGTTCAGGGCAGTTTTAATCAGCAGGCAGGCAAAATGGCTCATGGAAACACAGCTATGATGTTTCCCAGTCCCTACCAGTTGAAGTAGCCCATTATCCCCTTCTGCCTGTCATTTTGCCAGTGTGGCATAGCAATTAAAACATTGGATTAGGAGCTGGGAGATCGGGGTTCAAATTCCCACTCAGACATGAAGCCACTGTTTCTTAGCCTCACCTACCTTATAGGGTCGTTGTGAGTACAAAATGCTGAGAGGGACCTTGAGCTCCTTGAAGGTGAAGTGAGATACAAATGTAAGAGTTAGCAAATAAAACGAACAAGACTGTAGTAGGGCTGTGCCAATGTTATAGAGGGTGGGCCAAGAATGCCAAACTGGATGCCATGCTGTTGGTGATTCATCCTCTGTTAAGGTCCCTTTGCTAATTTGCACTACAGTGGACACTTGGGTTGCGAACATGATCCGTGCAGGATGCACGTTAGCAACTCACGTCTGCGCATGCGCGGGTTGCGATTCAGTGCTTCTGCGCATGTGCAAAGCATGATTTAGCACTTCTGCACATGCACGACTGCCAAAACCCAGAAGTAACCCGTTCCGGTACTTCTGGGTTTCGGCGGTCCCCAACCCGAAAAAACACAAACTGAAGCGTCTGTAACCCGAGGTATGACTCTACAGTGGTACCTCGGGTTACAGACGCTTCAGGTTACATACGCTTCAGGTTACAGACTCCGCTAACCCAGAAATAGTGCCTCAGGTTAAGAACTTTGCTTCAGGATGAGAACAGAAATTGTGTGGCGGCAGCGGGAGGCCCCATTAGCTAAAGTGGTGCTTCAGGTTAAGAACTGTTTCAGGTTAAGAACGGACCTCCGGAACAAATTAAGTACTTAACCCAAGGTACCACTGTATTAAAAAGAAGAAAAAATGCAACCTTCGAGCTACAACAAATATGTATTTGACTCGCTCTAGTTATGCCTTTTAAAAAGCAATACAAAGACTTCACAGGTAGACTGAAAAGTTATACAGTATGCTGCTATCAGCAGTTACTAGCCATGATGGCTATGTATTACTGCCAGTCCTAGAGGCGGCATGCTTTTGAATGCTGGCATTCACAAGTGGCAGAGCGTTCTTGCACTCCTGCTTGTGGGCTGGCCAGTTTGAGAGCAGAATGCTAAACTAGATGTGCCTTTGGTCTGATCCAGGAGCGCTTTTACGCTCTTAAATTCTCAAACCTGGAATGAGATACCAGGCCCCGAGTATAATGTCAGATATACTTCTATCTTGGAACGAGAGGCTGCTCGACAACTCCATGTCAGTGTTCTCTGAGCTCTTTAGCATATGCTGCTAACATTCCGCAGACAAAAACGGGGACACTCTTAAGCACATATAATACCTCTATTCTGACACCAAGTATCACCGCCTACAAACTCCTTCTACAATTATCACACATCACAGAAGGTTCTTCTCTGCCTGCTGTTCTGCAGCATTCAGTCACACTGCACAGCCTGTTCTGCAGCAGCCTCTGAAACGGGGTACATTTGTAAAATGACCATTAACAGTTTGCTTTTCATACCTTAATAACCTTTTACAGAATTACAGTCCCGGAACGGATCTGGTTGGATCTCGTTGGCACTGGGGAGGGACAACAATGCATTGACAAGTGTGTGTGGTTGATTAATTGGTTAGAATAATAGATCTTTCAGACTATTAACTTACTTTTAAAACAGTAAATGAACTGGGCAGATTTTTGTAATGATCTGCGGTGCACACGCTTATAAAAACTGCAGAACACAAGCACCGTCCAAGAAAAAGTATTCTCATTCCTCCCACATGCAGAAGGAAGGCCCTCTTTAAGATGTGTGCATCTGCTAAAAACAAACAAAATACAATTCTTGCCTTTGGAAAAGGTGGTTGTAGCCAGATTTACCGTATGTCAATTCACTCAGCTAAAACTCTTGTAAAGTGAGTGTCTTAAATTGATTAAAATACTTTAAATCTCTCTTGGGTTCCTCCCCCTCCATTTAAGCTGCCCACCCCCCAGCTGCCTAGATAACTTTATGTTATGGGACAACATGCAAATGTCATAAAATAGTTAATAAATATTTTGAGGGTAACTTTTGCAAACCTTGGGCATCCCTCTAGCTTGCTGATACCTCCTTCTTGTGTGCTTTCTAATATTTACATGCCTATTAAACATGTGTGAGTGACTGGCCCAAGGTCAATCACTGAGTTTTGTCACGGGTGGTGCTATGGGTTAAACCACAGAGCCTAGGACTTGCCAATCAGAAGGTCAGCGGTTTGAATCCCCGCGATGGGGTGAGCTCCCGTTGCTCAGTCCCTGCTCCTGCCAACTTAGCAGTTCAAAAGCACGTCAAAGTGCAAGTAGATAAATAGGTACTGCTCCGACGGGAAGGTAAATGGCGTTTCCGTGCGCTGCTCTGGTTCGCCAGAAGTGGCTTAGTCATGCTGGCCACATGACCTGGAAGCTGTACGCCGGCTCCCTTGGCCAATAAAGCGAGATGAGTGCTGCAACCCCAGAGTCGGTCACGACTAGACCTAATGGTCAGGGGTCCCTTTACCTTTACCTTTTTATTCTAGGTTCTAGTCCAACACTCTAACCACTACACCATGCTGACAAATTGGAACAGTTGAGACATGCAAGGAAGGCTGGAGTCCATATGTAAAGAGAATACAATGCATTTGATGGGAAGGGGTGTGGGGTGTGTGAAGCAAGACCAATTTTGCTAATTTTGTGCTATGAACAACAACAACAAAAACCCACTCAACTCCTGGTGTCCTCAGATCTCCTGTTCTTTTTGAGAGCTACTGCAAAGACTGGAAACAGAACAGAGAGGGAAGAGACATATGCTTCAATTCGAGCTTTTAAAAACAAGATTCTCTCTCTCACACACTCCCTCCCTCGCTGAACAAACAGACTTCTAGTAAAGAGGGAAGTGGGGAAGAAAGAAAGGAACAAGCCCAGATCCTTTCTTACCCTGCTGAAATGGCTAAAACCGTCTCGTTCTGGGCGCAAAGGAAAGTGAGTGCGTTTCTCAGCGTTCTCTCAGGAAGTCTGCAAAGGCTATAGGAAGGTGTTAGTGAGCAGTGAGATTATTCCCATAACAACAGGAACTACAAACCTGTCACCCAGGAAGCAATGGAACAGTTCAGGGCAAACAGGCCTCTACTTGGAAACCTCAGAGCTTGGGTCATTCTAGGCCAGACCGGCTTCTGCTCTGAAATGCTTTTAAGTCCATGTGGAATTGTTTTTTTCTGGAGAGCAAGAGCACACGTGTGGGGAAATGAAGACTTTGGCTCCGTACACACTTTACATTTAAAACTCATGGCTCTCCCCCACTGAAAAAATCCTGAAGGCTATAGCTTGTTAAAGGTCCTGGGAAATGTAGTTCTGGGAGGTGCAAACTACAGTTTCCAACATTCTTGGGAGGCAGACATGTGCTTTAAATGTACAGTGTGCATGCAGGCTTTTCTGAAATTATTTGGGAAAAGGTGGGGTGAAGAAAGTAAAACCAATCCTAGAAAAAATTTTGGACTGGCATTTTTGTACAATCTCCTTGGGAGCATGACTATAGGAACTGTCACAATGAACTTTTATATTTCAAAATTTGTCGCTATATCTCCGACTCAAGGTGGTAAAGCTGTCTGTGAGCAACTGCCTTACTACCTTAGTGACATCATTTCTGCGCTGCAGGCAGCACTCCCCAGACAGTTTTTGCTCTGGTTTAGGAGACATTCTCTTCCAAATAAGTGATTTTTGTAATCCCACCGAGTTCTTCATAAAAAATGCATTTTTATTTCAAAGCAGTCGCGTTTATTTGGGAGTTTTAAAAGCTGCTTTAATTATCTCTATTTATAGAAACACTTTTTTATTTTTAGTCCCAAGTCTCAAGATTCCTGCAATAAAGATTAGAAGCGTATGCCCGTGTGTGTGTGTGTGTGTGTGTGCGTGCAGAGAGTTAGGGAGAAATCAATGCGGATTTTCAGGTTTGAGAGAAAACGCAAAGCGCTTGGGATGTGTGATTAACAAGTTGTGCTTGAGAAGAAACATACTCACCCCGCCCAAAAAAGCCTTCTGTCATTGTGTGCTCTCTCTTCTTCACTTGATCCAGTTGATGAAAGTGTTAATGAAATCCATAAAGTCTTCCCATGCGTAGTAGAACCCTCAGTTTTCATGACTTGGGCAGGGATGGAGGGGTGTGTGTGAGTAGACTGTACGGCCCACTACAAGGGGCAGGTTGCTATAGGGGAGAGACTGCTGGAACCCCCAGGGGTAAGCTTTTAAAACTGCCTAGCAACCCCCACCCAGCCTGGGACCCTTTTAAGGAGAAGCTGCCGCCTAAGAATTTACTTCTTTCTCTGATATATTTTTGTGGGCACTGCCCTTTGCCCAGAGCATCAATGCACTGGGTCATTAATACATACGTTAAGATTTTGCTGACTTGAATTTTTACAGTTTGCATCGCATTTGAATTTTGCACATGTGAGCCACCTTGGGGGCGTTTGTTTGTTTGTTTTTGCTGAAAGGCAGCATATAAAAAACAATAATGTAACACAACACTGCCCCTCCCCGATATGAGTTTAATTAAAACTTGAAAGTAGCGTCTGACATCACAGATTGCAGTACACACGTGGAGGCATTGAGATGGCATGAGGCAAAGGGATGGAGCAAAGGAGTTTGCATACCTTCCTTTGCAATGGTCTCACATCCACATTATGGAAATCTGTGACAGACCTAATTGGGGTGTGTGTGTCCTGGTGCATATTATTATTATTATTATTATTATTATTATTATTCCTATACCACCTTTCACCCGAGGATCACGGGGCAGTTTACAATATGAAAACACAAAATACATACCATAATAATAAACAAAGATACCCCCTTCATAGCTACCCCTGATGGGAGGGTGTTCCACAGGGCGAGCGCCACTACCGAGAAGGCCCTCTTTCTGTTTCCCTGTAACTTCACTTCTCACAGTCATGGAACCACCAGAAGGCCCTCGGAGGAGGACCTCAGTGTCTGGGCTGAATGATGGGAGTGGAGATATACAGAGCCAAGGCTGTTTAGGGTTTTAAAGGTCAGCACCAACATTTTGAATTGTGCTCGGAAACGTGCTGGCTTTTTCCTCAAGTGGCCTGTTATTTACTATGCTATTTATTGTTGATTACAGATCTGCTAAATTTTGGGGTTGTTTGGATTCTTGTTTGATTAACTGTTATACTGTCTTTAAAACTGTAATATTGTGTTTTATTGCATTGTGCTGTATACTGATTGGAAACGAACATAAATATGAAATAGCCCTCACATTGAGGATGACACTGGAGTACGTAATCAGCTTCTATCACTGATTTTTTTAAAAGCCCATCTCCCTTTATTTGTCATTATGTGCTCCACTAGTTACTATGAATGGTCAATGTTAGTTCTACTTAGAGTAAACCCATGGAAGTTAATGGACCTGACTAACTTAGGCTCATTCATTTCCATCTCTACTCTGAGTAGAGTAGGACTTTTAGTTGAATTGAATTTATAATTTATATACCCAGGGTGGAATGTCAGCTATCAAACATTGCAATATTGTTTCTCTGCTCCTTCCCTACTTGAGAGTCGTTTTTCAGGGTAGGGCAAATAAATAAAACAAAAGCTCTGCACATCAAACATAACTGTAGCGACATTTTGGCAGTGCTATTATTTATGGCCATTATTGCCTTTTTATTTTAATATGGCTAAGTGCAGGGGCAGGGGGAGTTTGCAAAGGCTCTGCGTTGGTGTGCAACCTTTGCCAAGACCACGCTTAAAAATCTGGCTGCCTGGAAAGGTCTCAGCCAAGGTCTCAGCCTGTCTCCCAGGCAGCCCCATGCTATGATGCGTGCATTCGAATAAGCATATGTATCCTGTGCTTACCTACCCCTCCCTTTCTAGCAGCAACAGAGTCACCTGGTGCTGCAGGAGGAAGAACTCAGCAAGCGACTTGTTTTATGTTCCCTACGGAGCTGATTCCTAGGCAACTGTCCCATCCATTTAAGCGAAAGGACCACCCCTGCCCATTTATCAAGGGAACATTTTCTGTGCAATTTCAGGAAGGTAATGCATGTTTTCAATCAGCTGGAATTTGGAATTAAAGACCTTAAGCATTTCGCAAAACACATCCCTGGTCAAATTTAGCTATAGTGGCATTTCCTGTGAAGCACTCTCTCTGGCTGTACAAACATGGCTGAACTGCAGGACACTAGCTAGTGCAAATTCTTTGCTGGGTGATTCATAAATAAAAACAAACCAAAAGGTGAACATTAATAAGCTTTCGTTCTCTTGCCCCCCTCCTCTCTACTAATTTTTAAAACCACAAGTAGGATCAACACCAAGGAATGCTTTTGAGCAGAACAGCAAGCCAGAGCTTTGAACACAGCTTATACCTATTAGTTTTGGTTTTGCCTGTGTTTGTTATCCTGCGCTATGATGACATGGCACATTCAAGAGAATTCTCACAAGGAGAGTCAACAAGAAGATAATCTCCACCCCCGCCCCGCAACCTCAGAGAAGAAATTTCTTCAAAAAGCGAGCACACGCCAGCAGTTTCCCCCACCCCAAAACAAAAATATATTTCAAATGGAAGAATATAATGTATAAGAATAAACACTGCCACTGTACTGTTCATTCCAAAAGCCAATCAGAACTCCCACCAAGTGTCATAAACCTAGGAGGCAGAATTGGCCAAACAGGGTGGGTCAGAGCTGCTGAGCTGCCTTCCACAAAGGTGGGTGAGATAGTGACCTCAGTGTGGTACAAACACACCAGTGAAGCCAGTCTAGTGCTCCTGCAGTTGTGTTTGCACAGTGCCAATCTCCCCACCACCTTGCCCCTCCTCCCTTTTGGTCAGAAACGTTGATCCATCTGCCAGGAAGAACTAGCATGCTGGCTGTGTCCCACCTGACAAGTCACTTCTACTAGGACAAAGAGGGGTGGGGGTTATTGTTTGGGTATGTTTTTGTTCTAACCATTTATTTGTGCTTTTATCCTGTATTTTCAGCTTGTGAACTGCCCCGAGGTCTTCAGACAAAGGGCGATATATGAATTTAATAAAATAATTAAAGGTGTCCTAGGTTTGACAAAGGTTAGGGAGAAGCGGCTCCTCTTCCCATTCCTGCCCCTATTATCGTCATTATTGGTATACAACAAAAAATCTGAAAACTGCAACATACAGTGAATGCTCGGGTTGTGAACGTGATCCGTGCAAAGCGCGATTTAGCACTTCTGCGCATGCGCGACTGCCGAAACCCGGAAGTAACCCGTTCTGGTACTTCCGGGTTTCGGCGGTCCATAACCTGAAAAAAACGCAACCTGAAGTGTCTGTAACCCAAGGTATGTCTGTACATAGTTAAAGTTAACAACACATAACAGTCTAAAATCTGGTCTCAAGCAGCAGCAGAGGAAGCCGCTCGGGCGCCTGGGGCGGTGCAAGCCACCCATAGGAGTGGGGCGCACCGCAGGGCCTCCGGAGTCTGCCTGCCTCCTCCCACTCAGCCACCCTACAGCTGGGAGGGGGGCAAGGCAGCGGGTTGGACCGTTTGGGCAGTGCAGAGCCTGCGTGCGCCTGAGCCACTGCGTATCTCCCAGGCCCGGCGATGAGTGCCGCCCGCATTTTGTCATCCCCCTCAGTGGTGACACCTAGCGTGGCCTGCACTCCCCTTCCTCCGCCCCTGGTCTCAAGCGCATATAACATACAATAAAAAATGGCTGAGTCACTCTTCATGGAAAGCTGTTGCACGCCAGCCCAATCTCCAAGCAGCACGAGATTCTAATCCAGCCTTTCTCAACCTGTGGGTCCCCAGATGTTGTTGAACTACAGTTTCCATCACTCTAGCTAGCAATGCCAGAGCTCAGGGATGATGGGAGTTGTAGTCCAACAACATCTGGGGACCCATAGGTTCAGAACCGCTGATCTAGGGGTTCCTGGCACTTACCCAGGGTTCCTGTTCCCTTTTGGGAATGAGGCAAATTTATGTGTTGCCTTTATGATACGTGGTTCATTTACAGATATATATAACTTCAGCCAGCGATGGAGGGGTTCTCAGCATTAACACTCCAAGAGAGTCTTGTTTCTCCCATAGCCGCAGCCTTAGATTCAGACCCACTGTTGCTCTCCCCTGCTCTCTCCAGCTTGCTTTATCTATTGAGAGGTGGGGGCAACCATTTCCTGTCTAGCACAAACCCTTTGATCCTTTGTTTCCTTAATGGCCCAGCAATCAGGAGGCTAGCCTGGCTTAATTAGCTGCTAACACTTGCTAGATCCAGGGATTAGAGTAGTCTGACACTCAGTTTAACACCCTAAACCTTGGCTCAATTATAACACTTGCTGAATCCAGGAATTAGAAGTGCCTAGTACCCAGAATCTCATAAAAATACTTTCTATTTTTCAATTCCTCGCTCCCCAACAGGTTTCCATTCCTACTGTAAACCTTCACCGCATGATAGGCCATAAACTGGTGACAGCATAAAAGCGATGACTTGAAAGTGATTAAGCAACTCCACTCACTTTCATATCATTTCTGCATTTGACACACATACACAGGTTTTTACTTGAAGCAACAAGAGCTACCAGTTTGACTGGCACTTGATCTAAAATATCTGTCTGTATCTGTCATCCTGCAGATATAAATAGCACCGCATGCTTCTTGGAATTCTGCAATTTCTTCGCGCAATAAATTACTAAAACATACTGGCCAGGCCTTTAGCCAGGAAGTCTAATTTGTTAATATTTTAATCACCAATTTAAAGTAAGGATCTGGAAACCTGGACCAACAGGAAGGATGTGAATGAAAAGAAAAGCCACAAATAGCTTGTTGACCGTGTATATTTAATGTAAATTTCAGTGACAATATCAACCAGCGTGTTGTACAATTTGTCCTGTACCGTGTGATCCTGACCCTCTTGGGATACATCCTGTCTCAATTTTCACAGCTCTACTTGCTATCCCCAGGAAATTATGTGTTAACCTATGAACTATAAACACTGCAGCAGGAGAGTATCGGCGGAGTCCCCCCTGCATCCGAATAGACAGAATTAATGTTTTTAGGTAGAAGGCTGTCTAATCTAACCCTCTGCTGCAAGGCAGGGTGCTTAATCCACACCACAGAAAATTTAAATCCGTCACAGAGGACCATAACAGTTCAAGGTG